CTAAGAACCGGTCATACTCAATATACGCGGATACTCTAGCATCCCGTGTACAAGCACTTAAAATAATCCTGTGTAAGCTTTCAGTTCAATTCATGTTTTCAAAGCATGAATTCCGAGAATTTTTTCTGGTGTGGTGCGGAGAAAGGGAAGACTTGATCGTATAAATGAAATAACGAATTAGATGTGGTGTTTGTTTTCAAAGTCTTCAACAAAAATTTAAACAACGAAATAATGTCAAACGTTTAACGTTTTTCAGATTTCCCTGTACGTAGACAAGATTAAGATAAAGTATTCACGTTCATATGAATTAGGAAGAGCAAACAAGAGGATAGATGGCGTCATTTTAGATGGATCGCAAAGATTGAAAGATCAAGCAGAATACGCGAGCACTAAAACTACCCACATTGACTGGACCGTTGAAGGATCTACCTACCATGGCCTCTCTTTCGAAAGACACAGTTATGAAACGTTTTTGGATGAGTCATATGCACAAAACAGGATAATGTGTATTAAATAATGTATAACAAGTGTAACTCATAATCATGACTAATATCACACATCCGTTGTCAACGGACCACACACCTTTTGATTACACTTTTAATTTTTATTTCAATTTCTTACTGAGTCTCATAACTCGTATAATTGGGATCACATGTAATATTCTGAACATCGTTGTGCTAACTCGTCCTAAAATGAAAAATCCAAACAGTATGATCTTAACTTGGATGGCAGTTGCAGATCTCGGCAATCTCCTCATCGGTTTACCCAAAACGTGTTGGTTGGCGAACGAGTCCTCGTTTGTTCCCGCCCATGAAAACGATCTTGGAATCCGAATCTATTATGTATTTATTATGTTGTCCATCGGTTATGTGTTCATCATGGCCATGAATTGGCTGATGGTATTGCTTACTGCCTATCGATATATCGCGGTATGTTGGCCAACGAAAGTTATCACATGGAGTTCCTCCAAGCGCACCAAGATTAGCATTGGGGTGATTTATCTTGTCAGCTTGTTTGTGTTCGGCGAGAATCTTCTCAACAACGCAGTTGGGCCAACGAATGAGAATGGTGAGATAGTCATGGATATCATCAAAGGACCATTGAACAGTCCTGTTTACAATATTGTATACAACTCATTTCAAACAGGGGTAGGACTTTTCCTGCCTTGTATACTTTGTATCATTCTTACGATTAGGGTCATTGTAGGGGTGAGGCAGGCTAATAATAAAATTGCGGCTATGACGGTTCAAGCTGATGCAGAAAATGAGAAGATGATAAAACGTAAGAAGCAAGAAAATCAAATGACGGCTCTCCTGCTTATGGTCGTGTTTGTGTATGTCACGTGTGACGTCGTGCTCTGTACAAGGTATATCATTAGGTCCAAATTGGGTCTGGAGGAGTACTTCGATTACATGAATGGATATGAAGTTTTCGATTCTGTTTCTACATATCTTATCGTATTTAACAGCTCTGTCAATTTCGTTCTCTACTCGGCAGCTAACAAGCAGTTTAGAAAAACATGTTTTGAAACATTTTGCTGCAAATCAAAATTATATATTTCAGAAGGAAAAAATAATGTTGAAACCATCATAACAAAATATTGAATTGATTTAGTTTTGCAATATTTCGATTTATTCTTTATATCTTTTTCAAGCAACTGAAAATTGTCCCTATAATTATGACATCTTAGACTAAAACAATAAAATAAATAGACCATTAATTATGTAATACAGGTATTTTACAGGTAAAGAATTCATTAAATTGCATTAACATAGAAACTGCATACAAAATATTGAATTGATTAGAATTCTCAGTGGTTCCTAGAAGAGATAAGGTAAAGGATGGAGTTATACTAGGGCAAATAGGTGTAATTCTCATCCTAATTAATAATATTTCGATAGTTGACAAATAAATTAACTAATTGATATTTCAATAGTTGACCAAAAAATGATTTCAATGTGCTTTTGAGCTTCAATGCGAGTTTCTCTCTGTGACAGCGATCCTCACAGAAACATCCTATGGCTTCAAGTTATGTATCCATATGTGCTGGTAATGCTATAGGAATGAGAATCTAATATTGATATTCCTTTTCATATTCTTAGTGTATATTATATTTTTACTGTAACACTTCTAGGCCAATTTTTTATTCAAGCATTGTCATTTTAAAATTCTATTACATTCTAGTATATCTATGATATTAATTGTAGGACTCTTAGAACAAAAACATGTTTTGAAATGAAAGAAAAAAGTTTCGAAAACATGTTTTTATTATGTCACCACCAAATAGTGGTGAGATATTGTTATGGTCTCCGTTTTTGACGGCGGTCGGCGGTTGGCGATCGGCGTCTGTAACAAATTCTTACAACTTCCAATAACTTAACAAATACTGTTTAGACTGACTTTTTTTTCAAAATCATCTATAATTTTTCAAAAGTTCAAATCTGACTTTATATTAAAGATTTGACCTTCAATGGATCTTTCAAGGTAAAAAAAGATTAACAAAGGTCAAAAAGATTTTTTTCAACTTGATTCAAATTGACCAATTTTCTTTTCAAAATCATCTACAAGTTATCAGAAGTTCAAATCTGACTCTAGATTTGAGATTTGACCTTCAATGACCTTCTAAAGGTCATTAAAGGTCAAAAAGGTATTTTTTCAACTTGACTTTCAATGACATTCTCAAAGTCAAAAAGGTCATTTTTCATCTTGCTTCAAATTGTCCAATTTTTTTTTCAAAATCGTCTCCAACTTCTCAGAAGTTCAAATCTGACTTTACATTTGAGATTTCATCTTCAATGAACTTCTCAGGGTAAAAAATGGTCTTTTTCAACTTCAAATTGACCAATTTATTTTTTCAGGTACACAAGATTTATGACCCCAATTAGATGAAATATTTGACCTTCAATGACCTTCTAAAAATCAATCAATCAAAAATCAGAATCATCTCCAAGTTCCCAGAAGTTCAAATCTGACTTTACATTTGAGATTTCACCTTCAATGAACTTCTCAGGGTAAAAAATGGTCTATTTTCAACTTCAAATTGACCAATTTATTTTTTCAAAATCATCTATAAGTTCTCAGAAATTCAAATCTGACTTAAGATTGAGCTCATAATATTGTGAGCAACTAGGTGGTGACATTTTGTCATGTTAATGCCTTGTTACAATTTGTAAGACAATTATATGTCAAAGCTGTTTAAATGCCACATGGGGGCTCTAGTTTTGAAACATTAAACAATAAGCTCATTTACTTGCTTACCTAATAAACTACGATTTTCTGTTGTGAAGTTAATGATTATGTAGCTTGTTGGATTATATCACAGACACTTTTATTACATTAATGGGGCAAAGTCCCACCCATATAATTACCCCATGGAGTTCATATCGATCCCCATAGACTTATTATATTTGAAAAACAGATCCGTTTTCTCCTTTGGTCTAATTCAGAACAGTTCCAATTTATCAATTTAATACGTTTAATAAGTTTACAGGGCAAATCGAGTCGCTGAAATTTTCTTTCACATTATCACGGGCTCAACCTGGGGATATTAGCGTGAAGTCAATTAGAGCGTCTGGGTGAAGTTAGCGATTTATTCAAATATCTCATCATGATAAACCATGACATCTCATTTCTTCCCAGCCCTGAGATGCCATGATATATGAGCTTGATTTGGCGGTCTAGGAGAGCCCAAAATTTAGGATTTTCCAGATCTTTCCATCCTTGGCCCAAGAGTAATTCATTGCACTACATTGATCTGCTATAAAAGCAGTGAAGGACCGATCTTGAAGGATGAGATCTTTCATCCCAGCTCATATCTCATCTAATTGGGGTCATAAATCTTGTGTACCTGTTCTAATATCTGCCTTTTATGTAATGCATTGGCATTAAGGCAGTAAATGATTACATGATTACTATCTAGTACATGATAACTATTACACTTACTGATAGTTAAAACTCTTCCCATCTGATGTGCTAGGACCACAGAATGTTTCAGGTTAAACAATGTCTATTTGTTGCTACTCAAGATACCGTGACATATCGCCTCACTGACATTCAATCTGGTCAGGTCCACCCCACGTTGTAGTTGGTAGCCTTTCTTTAAAGACCGATTTTTGAGTATTCATGGACTAACGTTGGTTAGTATCCACCCCTCAATTGTAAATTAAGTTAAAATACTGTTAAATTGTTTCGATTAGTAATACCTCGCCCAGATAGACGAGCCCTGATGCTGAACCCATTTCGTGTTTCAACAGGGTTTCGGTGAATGAAGATTTTCTTCAGTGGGAAAAGATTTCTCATCAGATCATGGACTATGTTTACCATTGCTTCCGTAAATGTTAATAAAGTTAATACTTGCAAACGTCGCAGCTGAATATCTTAAATGTAAATAAGTAAATAAGAAATACAATGTGATAAAAGCAATAGAGTTAGATAATGAACTTGTGTCCTCATATACCCTTGTGGAAGCTATTACTCGTATACCCGTGAATATTCCTGATCTTTTAAATTACATCTAGAACTATTTCTCGATCTCGAACAAATGCTATAAAAAGAACAATATTTCAAAATGGAGATGTATGCTGCTGATATTGATACAGATAAAGCTTTAGGAAGTCTTGGAAAAGCAAATAGATGGCAGTTGGTTACATTTTGTTGTATCAGTTTTTTCGTGTGCTTCCCTCCCGCGTGGCATGGAATGGGAATTGTATTTTTAGGTGAGTAAATGATTCCATCGTTTTTGTTTAGTAATTAGTTTTCTTCCTTCAGTGAGACAATGATAGCGTTTTGAGTCACCAAACCTTGAAGTGTGAATTTATTTGATCCCATTGAGCAAAGTGCCTAGATAAACAAAAACGATTCTTGGATCCAGATCAACACTTTTTATGATTTAGAATGAAACACAACGTTTTTTGGTGTGCAATTAATACAGGACACTTCCAATTTATAACTATATGCACCAGTGATCTATCCTTATGCAAATATTGGTCTTTATAGGTGCAGAACCAGATCATCACTGTAAACTGGATTACATTAATGACATTGATGAAATTGAAAACAGAAGTGGAGATACATTGATTTATAAAAACATTACCAGAAAAGGTCAATATATCCCTATCGAAACAGTTGGTGGACAAGAGACGCTTTCATCGTGTCGAATGTACTCAAGAAGCTTAAACAACCTAACATCGAATGGTAGTTCACCTAATGTACATGTAGTTGCAATATCAAACATATCGGTCCCATGCGCCAATGGGTGGAGTTATGATTATTCTATATATGGGGAAACAATTATAACAGAGGTTTGTATAGGTTCAGCAATATAAGTATTTCTATGTATGTAGGCCAACAATGGTTACATACTACAGTAAGAGCAGCTATGTAGTTTTTGAAAGCATAGATCTCAACACGTCGTTTAACACAGAGTAATTTGGAACGTTTTATCCATATTATGGTCTTATACCCATCTGTTTTAGTGGGATCTGGTTTGTGAAAAAATAACGTTTACCAGCACGTCACAGATGGTGGTTACTATTGGAATGTTTATCGGTGGTGTTTTAAACTCTTTCGTATCTGACAAGTTTGGGAGGAAACCTGTGTTCTTCATATGTGCTATTATGCTTGGCATTGTCGGAGTGATCTGTTCGTTCTCCCAGAGCTTCCTCATGTTTATGCTATTGCGGTTTGCCATTGGAATCTTCCAGCAGGTGACGGTTTACATTACTTGTTCATTGTATAATCGTTATGTTTAAGTTTAGGTTAAACTAAATAGTTCAGTTTAAGAGTTTATCACTTTCTAAGAAAGTAATGCTTCGAAGTGATGCAGCATCAAATATGTGCCAATCCATATCTTTTTAAAGGGAACGCTGCTATCGGGAAGTATTCTGATGTTAGAGCTGTTTCCTAGTGAATTAAGAACCATAGGGGGGACGGTGGCTTCCGGTGCTTGGGGGTTGGCGATGGCCTCTCTTGCACTGTTGGCATATGTTATCCGCAATTGGCGATATTTACAACTGGTCATATCTCTTGTATCATTGCTTGTGTTACCTTTCTTTTGGTGAGTATGCGTATTATCAAATATGTGATATTCTCCAAGCGCTTGGCATCAGACAGCGCCAACTGTCTGAGAATAGAGGAACAAAATGAATGATGTCTAGAGCCATATGTATGACTGCCTTACACATTGGACGCATTGGAACATTTACATTTTGCGATATGCTTTCTGTTGTATTGTAGGTTTCTGAAGGAGTCTATACCTTGGCTGGTAGCAAATGGAAAGACAAGCGAGGCTTTGGAAGTACTTAAACGAGCAGCAAAGTTTAATAAACGACACTTTAAAATAGAAGACTCTCTAAAAGATTCCCCACTTGTTCCCAACAATAACGCCCCTCTAGAATATAACATAAACATGCACGGCGATAGTGACTGTGATAGTTATAAAACGCCAAATGCTGATATTCCAAAAGCAAAAACAGACAAGACTAAACCCAAAGACCCCATGGCAGCCAAAATAAACATATCTGCATTTTTTCTACACCCAATGATACGTCGTTACACCTTCATTTTCTGGGCTATGTGGTAAGTAACACCATCTTCAACTTCCAATGTGGTTATGTATAATACAATGAGGTTGGCGCAACTGAGACCTTGCAAATCGAGATGAAATAACACTAATTATACTTCTAATACTCAATTATATGTACCCTAGATGTAAAAATGATATTCACCAAGTATAATTTATAAATATGTTATAAAGTTTGAAACATAAAAAAAGGTGTTCATTTCTTCAACAGGTTTGTGAATAGCTTGGTCTATTATGGGTTGTCCCTTAGTACCTCGTCCCTTAACGGAGACCCTTATGTTAACTTTGCCCTTACTGGTCTAGTTGAGGTACCTGCAGTTATTCTAACAATGGTTGCTATGCTCAAGTAAGTTAAGTTTATCCTACATCTGCTACAGTAACAGTGTGAGTAAGTTGATCTGAAAACATAGAATTCTTCGTTATAGAGGGCTGATGTGAAAATGAAAAAGTCGGTCTTCCTCAGAGGAATCGAACATATGACCCCTCAGTATCCAGCCGATTGCTTTCCACTAAGCTCCAAGACAAATTGACTTAGTCACATCAATGGTGCCTATATATCTCTGCAGTTATACCTTACACTCCCATGTAGTCTAAGATGTAGTCTAGCTTCAATCAAGGGCGTTACAATACCCGGGAATTAAACGGTTTTCCCCTTCATAGAGCCGAAATGAAAATGGTATTTGTGACATGTTCACTCGCTTCCTTCATCTGTGGTAGCAGTTGAATACCATAAGAATGGTTTGGGTTAGCCCTAGGCTAATATCTATAATTTGAAATGAAAGAAATATGTTATATTTATGAAAATATATACTAGTATGGCAAACTGTTATGACACAATTATGAAAATTTTGAACACTGACGCTTCGTTGATTAAATATCATAACTGACAGATTAATTTCAGATTTGGGAGGAAACGACCAGTGATAGTTCTACATTGGATAGCTGGTGTAGCCTTGTTTATTAGCCCTTTCCTTACTACTCATGACAAAGGTAAATCAACAAATAAACAAATGAAGTTATAGACTTTATTGTTGATCTCCATGTCCACTGTTTCTTGAACAAATGGAATGACAAGTCCAAAATAATAACGAATACAAACCTCCAATAAATCAGATAAAGCTTATATTCTTTACACATCTTTGCACCAAAATTCCTATGTATAAAGCAAAGGAGATATGTGCCTGACTAATCCAACTACAATGCGATTGATACTATACCCTCGTTGGTTATTTTGCAGACTCTGGAGCTGCCCTGTCAGCAATAAAGACAATAGTTGTTATGTTAGGAAAGGCTGCTATAACAGGTTCATTCACCATAATCTGGCTCTACGCACCGGAGGTCTATCCTACAAACATAAGGTAAATATAATTTCAAGGCTTATGGGACAACCCTCATACACCGTACACGGCTGTGGATAATGTTAAAGATCAAAATCAAAATCAATGTAAAATAGGGATCCTCATTCGTTGTACTTTGGAAAAAACTTGTAATAGGTTTCGTGTGCAGTTTCAAAATAATTGAAAAACAAGCAAATGGTGATCTGTTTATGTCTTTATGAACCTTTATGATGGCTTTATCCCGAGGATATTGGTCCATGGTGTCGTCATCCTCTAACCGAATGTCTTACTGGCTTTTATTTCAGAAATATTGGTGTTGGAGCATCCGCTTGTTTCTCGAGACTCGGTGGTGTCTTAGCCCCTTATTCGGCTCTTGTGGTAGGTTCCTTAAAGGTTAAGCTCCATACAAGTTTATGTGCTGACTCTGAAGTACTTACTACTTAGAGTTCGTCTAAAATACCATTTTAACAACGCCTATACATATGATAACTGCGTAATTTCTACTACGTGCTCTTTCATTTATTTTAGATAAAGGTATTTCCGTTGTTCCCTGGGGTGTGTTTTGGTGTGTTGACAATATTGGTTGGTTTCCTAGCTTTATTCTTACCCGAGACGCATAATCAACCTCTGCCACAGACGCTAGAGGACGTAGATGAACTAGCAATGGTGAATAAGAGCACTCCTAGTTGTTGCTGCCGGAAAAAATAATTAAATATATCTTAGATTGTGAGGGTGAGGACAACTCAAACTTTTGTGAACTTTAATGTGGTCACCAGCACCTTGACATCGGCAGACTTTCCGGACCTTATCTTATCCAATATCTCGCCAAAGAAGGGTATTTCCAAGTGACCACCTGTCACTGCACTCTGTTAGAACAATAAAATGGATGCATCATGACGTTATCGAGTTAGATAAAGGATTCAAAAAGGTTGTTGATTCTTGAGGATGAGGAATATACATTTACCTTGCTTTACAATTATAAACTGACATCTATCAAATAAATGGTTATTTGAAACGTATAGTGCGATTTCTTAGATTGCTAGCACAGGCTCCCTTTCATGTCCAGTATCTGGCCGGCTTGTTACACTACAGCCCTAGGACGAACCTGCCCTCGGGTCGTTACATTGGTGTCAGAAGTGATTGTCCTCGTGTGCCAGTTAGGACGGGACGTTGTCCTTCAATGGGTTGGTGTTAGGACCCTTGATAGCAAGTCACTACTTCAGTCTAAACGTGGTGGTTAGCCCTTATGACTCAGGGGTATAGCATGAAACTTATGAGCGGAGGGACCTAGGTTCGATTCCCCTACGGGACACACTCCATTTCATTTCTACTATCTTGGTCCCTACACTACAGCTCCACGACGACCGTGGTCGTTTTAGATGTTTTACATAAGGTCCTGACATCTATCGAATAATTGGCCACTAGGAACGTTGTGACTGCAGTTTCGCTTACCCTACTATCACACCAAACTAGTTCTCACTACGTTCTCGAAAACGGGCTTAAACTGTGCACGAACGGATTTGCCGTACTAAGAACCCACTAAGAACCGTTTGGGATCTGTTTACAAACTTCATGAAACTACTAGAACGAGTAGGTCCTCCAGCACTTAGAGCATGCTAAAAAAATTTCTGGTGATCGTCAAAACGTTTCCGAATCGGTTTCAAACTGTGTGCGAACTGAATGAACGTAGCTACAACGTTCTACGGTCTGTTTACGAACTTAATGGACTTTCCCGGACGGGGTATGTGATTTAGAATTTTGAATCGATTCAAAATTCGATGGCGACCATACCGTTCTGTAATCAGGTCATGATGACCTTCTAGACTAAGGGACGGTTTATACTACGTTGCACACCGACGTGGTGCGACCTGAACGAACTGCGAATGAGATGGACATATTGAGTACTGTTTATGAACGAAGTAGCTAATTATTTTAGACATATATCCCGACCGCAGCCAGATTGAGCCCGTTTTACGACATTTTCGTAGGACTGGCAAGAACGGCTAAGAACTAGTTTGGTGTGATAAACTAACGATTACTGTGTTCATTTCAAAGAAAAATCAATAAAGAAATCAATTGTAAAAAAATCAATTGTAAACTGAATATGATTAATTAAAAGTCATAATCTCGTAAACTTTATTTAAGTGTGAAAATATATATTTGATCTCATCTTAAATTATTTCTTCATTTTATGAGACAACGTACATTTCTGTAGATGATTTATGTTGATCGGTTGAATATATTAGATTAGATAGGCGATTGATTTAAAGGTCCCAGGAAAAGTTTAAATCAGTTTTACTCACAGTGTAGTCTTTGTAGACAGCAAACATGGATGGAACAATATGACTTTCACTTAGAAAATAATCAGTGAACAACTGACGATCTACAAATCTTAACTCTTTCTACTGGAATGGCGGATATTTGAAAATTAAAAGAGCACCAATTTTATTTCGAAAGATAACCATTTCCGGAAAATGTCAGAACATTTCTTAAGTGATTACAAATAAAATTTAAAATTCAAAATTACACTCATGTTGGCCTTTGGCTTATAAGTATTACCACTCCACAGAGTGTCATTAGACAATGTGCCATGCTTAGAGTATTCACATATCAAATATGAACAAAATAGCTTCACCACTTTTCGAGCTATAGTAAAACATGTAAAAAAATGGTGGCCATTTTTCAAAATGGCCACCTACTACATACCCAAAGTTTCATTAGACAGTGTGCCATGATTATACTATTCAAGGCACTATCATGCAAAATATCATAACCTGCCATTTCTTACAGACACTGAACATCAACCTCAAAACAACTACCGAACACCATGTCAAGTTGGAGACCAGAACAGTATGTCGTCACTTCTGGTGGTAACATAATGTCAGCATTTCTGGTGGTGACATAAACACGCAGAAATATATCATATACTTACTGGGCCAGGATGAAGTCCAACATCCGCCATTCCAGTAGAAAGAGTTAAGATTTATAGATCGTCAGTTGTTCACTGATTATTTTCTAAGTGAAAGTCATATTGTTCCATCCATGTTTGCTGTCTACAAAGACTACACTGTGAGTAAAACTGATTTAAACTTTTCCTGGGACCTTTAAATCAATCGCCTATCTAATCTAATATATTCAACCGATCAACATAAATCATCTGAGAAACTTTGAGAAACTTTGAGAAACTTAGATAGCACAGTTGTGTGACCTAGTTTGATGACCTTTGACCTTGAAAATTTTACTTATTCAGAGCTCAGTAAGGTCTTTTGTGATTAAGCTGACCAAAATTTACATCCAAAAATCAATTTGAAAAATCAACTTTTTTGACCTTTCGAAGGTCACTGAAGGTCAAGTAAAGGTCAAATCCTAAAACAAATGTCAGATTTGAACTCCTGGCAACTTGTAGATAATTTTCAAAAACAATTGGTCAAATTGAAAAAAGTTGAAAAATAACTTATTTTTACTGTTTTTTGACGTCAAATATCTCAAAAACTGTAAAAACTTGATGCTGACATACATTGAGCAATATGTAGGGAATGCTTAAATCTAGTAATGATGTAATTCATTGCAAGAAATGATCAAGTATAAGGCAAAGTTTGAGAAACTTGTCAATCACAAAACCTGCCATTGACTTTATACATGAGAAAGTTTCCTGAAAATGACGAAGTCCTACTTTTTGTCAAATTTTATAGAGTAAACACCAAAAACAGTAATTCCAAGAGCTTTGAAATCTTCAGAGGACATAGGTTGCATTTACAGCAACTACTACAAGTTATTTTAAAGTTCTACTTCAACAAAGTGTCTAGTATTTACAGAAAATTTGACTTTTTGACGTCAAAATCAGCAATTTCTCGGAAACCGGGCGAACTTGGGAAATGGCGATGATAGGTCACATAGGTATTATGGATATGCATAAAATGAAAGTGCATGTGACTCAATCCGAATAGCAGTTTTAATTTGTGCGGCCAATGTTGACGGACGGATGGACCAACGGACGGACGGACGGACGCCTGGTCGATCCCATAGGCTCACTGTGTGAGCCAAAAAGGATTAATTCATCTCCTCATCAACCTGAGATTCGATCGATGTTAGTGTTGCAGCATGAGCAAGCAGTTGTTTCTTGCTTTGTCGGTGTATTATTGATCAAATTCTAACTTAGGTATCAATCGAAATAATCGACCCCACAAATAAAACACAACGTTCAGTTAGAAGAAATTGATGTATCACGAAACTTTGATTACAAGTTACCAAAGATTTACGATATACATGCGCATATAGCACCTACTAACTTGATTTAGGATAATACTCGACAAAACGCTATAAAAGGTGAGTTTTGCATCGTTCACAAGACATGCAGCGTCCATTAGCTGATTGAAATGAATGTAACAGTAGAAACGTATGTGCCACAATCGCTTTGACCGCATACCAATAACAGGTAGGTAGTCGTAAATTTCTCCAATACGATGAACATCCGCAATAAAGCGAATGAAAACACTTCGTAGAATCTGAGACTAACATACTCTAAGGTAGAATGTAGACATTAAAATATTTCTATAGGGAAACATCATCAAAAAAGAGTATTGTAAAAATCAAGAAATGCGATTTTGAGGGAGAAATGCCTTATGAATTGTAAATTGTAGATCTCCATTGTGGGATGCACATTCCCTTCTATCCCTTTTGAATAGAGCTTAAGATGAAAAGAGACTCTGAAAATCAGAATGGCAGATATCAATCACTGAAGTCCATTTCACTGTTTAACTGCGTCAGTAAAAGCTACAAAATAAGAAATCAAAATATCATTTTGCAATAATATATGGAAAAAATATATTCCTATTGTACATGAATGACATTTGTATATCTTGAATTGCTTCTAGTTTGGCTTATAAAGTGTGTGGCCTCTTATATTTGGATGCTTCTCTGCCATGTTATTTTCAATAAGATTAACATGGCTGAAATTCTTCAAATTACAAGACGGCACAGGCTTAACTTATTGCACAAAAAACTAAAAAATCTGAAATATACAAATGTCATTCATGTACATTATGAATATACTTTTCCATATATTATTGCACAATGGTCTCCCAATTTCTTATTTTTGCCGTTCTACTGACGCAATGAAGCAGTGAAATGGACTCTAACAAATATCTAAATCGTCTCTAAACCACATGAGTCAGAAATGTGTCTTTTTTAACTCATCAAATTCTCTAATTATCAATAAAAATCGAAGTAAAATATTATAAGTCCTCCATTTCCACCATAATCATGCTTATTCCAACCAGGAAACAGACGACCTACTTAAGCACTTAAGTTTAGACTTAATACGTGGATTAGAATGCTCCTCCAGAGAATATGCCTGAGTTATTAGTTTATGAACAAAATACATAAACAGAATCAAGTTGATGTTTAGTTAGCATAATCTAATTCCAGAAACAAGGCACAAAGAACAGAGACAGCCATGGTGACTGTTGGAACTGTATGCAAGCGACGCTGTTGGCACCCTATTTACGGACTTTTCCTCGGTTGTGGCGCTCTGTTCATCATAAAAGGTAGGCTTCGATTCATTCTGATAGCGTCGCATCTATGTATTGAATTACTGACTAATATATTTATTAGTTATCGTAAATCAAATTAATTAATTGGTATTACAAAATAATTACATGCATTTTTCACGACTTGACTCTCTTCCATCAATAATTTATTTTTCACTTCATTATATATAGAGGTTGTGGAACATGAATTTTATTCCGAAGCAAATATCATATTCTTTTAACAAAGTTATATTCCACCACGACCAGCAATAACCTATTTATTCTGTAATATTATTCTGATACTGGATTTTATAAATATCAATTCTATTCCTTGTCTCCCAGGGAAAATATGTTATTATGGAAAAATAATGTTTATTTTAAGTTTTTGAATTTCTTTTATATGATAATCAATTTATTTCATGACATTTTTACATGGAATGGCACGGTTTTGAATGATAATGGTTATTGCATTGTTTACATCATTATTCTCCTGTTATTTCAGAAATTATACAATTGCACAAAACGGTAGAGGAAAAAATCATTGAAAATGTAGCCAGGCAAACTTTCCCGTTAAGTGAAGCAAATGGAGGAACGGTGGACGAGGAAGCGGCCAAGTCTCCCGGTGAAATCCAGCAAACGAGAATCGAAACATTGAGAAAAGTATGCCAAGTTAACAGTTTGAATAAAAATCTTGTGATTTCTGAATTGTGGAAGGGGTTCTTTTTTGTCGATCAAGAGCACAAGGTCGTATATTGTGGAGTTCCCAAAGTTGGATGCACTTTTTTGAAGCGACTCTTTTACGTTCTATCGGGGAAGAGTCGATCAAAAAACCCATATGATATATCCGCTAATGCAGCACATGGTCTGCCGTTGGAAACATTTCAAACTCATAATGACTCTGAGATCGCTTATTTTATTGAGCACTACAAAAAAGTATTATTTGTTCGAGAACCCATTAAACGTTTGATATCGGGCTATAATGATAAAATAAGGGCTATAAACCCTGGATACTGGTCAGGATTAGGGCGACGCATAATAAAAACAGTCAGAAGAAATTACAGCGAAATTTCCGAAAGGTGTGGACACGATGTTTCCTTCCAGGAGTTCCTTGATCATAGGATATATGAAGAGATAGGCCAGTCAAAACCTGATATGCATTGGGACACGGTGTACCGCACATGCCATCCCTGCATGATCAAGTACGACTTCATTGGTAAGATGGAATCGTTCAATGATGACGTGAACCTGTTCCTTCATCAAATCAATGCGCGAAAGGATATAGTACTTCATGAAGACTACACAAGTAAACTTGATAATATTTTGATAGAGGTTCAAAATTTCTATGACAGAGTTAAAAAAGCTGTAGAATGCGGATTAACATTTGAGGAAATCGTCAAACGTTATTGGGAGGTTTTATTTCATAAAAACTTGATCACCCCGCCAACAACACTTCCAAACATACAAAAATCTACAACCAAAGAAGAACTTAAAAAAATTATGACTGATTTGTATCATCGACAAAAAGCAACTAAAACATTGACTAATAAATCGTTTGATGTTCTCAAATCAGTGTCTAAAGCCACCATAGCAAAACTTCAAGACTTTTACAAATATGACTTCGAAATGTTTGGATATCAATAAAACTGAAATATGACTGACTTTTCATAATTAATTTAATTCAGAAAAACATTTTTAAGAGGGAGTATTACATTATACATGTTATAAACGAGGCGATAATGTGAGTCTTGTCTGACAATCCATTTAAACAATCACGAAAATCAAAAGTGGCCACCTTAAAAGTTAGACAGCATGCCCAAGATTTTGATACCAAGACTACCTCTGTGATTTTCGAATCAATCGTTTGTACGATTCGCTTTCTGCACAGTAATATTGAAAGAAACTATCGAAAATGATAGATGTAGCCCGTGCTGTAATACGGATCAATGCCCTTCTTAAAGGTATTGGGGAAATGACTCTTTGGGCCCTGATTCAAATATGATAGAAAAAACAAGACAAAAGAAAGTACAGATCTAATGTCAGCCAAATAAGATTTATTTCATTCCGTTTACAACATTTAAAGACCGTTTACGGATCGATAATCTAAAAGCGAAGCATTAAAAACATCGGGTATATATGAATTACAATAGTTGATTTAAATACATATACCACATTATCTGCACCTGCTATGTATATAGTCCTACACTTTGGCCGTGATTTCACACAACTCCTTGATTTGTTTTAAACGGTCCTCTTTTCAATACACGGAGTCAGATGGGACCAGCATAATTAAATGACGCGTTGATAAATATTCATAAGAGATTACTATGCCTAACTTATTATAAATCACTGGTTTTTGGAATAGGAGGTAAAAAGATAAGATTCACTGAGGCGCATGCGCAGGCATGTGGCAGCGTGTGTAGAGAACACTAGATAGAGCTGTCACCAGCAACAGTGGTAGAGATAAGATCACCGTCTCCATTGAGCCTGGAACAAAAGAAACAAACTGATGAAAGCGTAGAACTTAAACTGGTAGAAAATCAATTGTGATTAGAGGTGTACTCCTACTCCATCCTACTCTATACTGGCTATAGACAAGGCAAAGCATGTTAGAAAATCCGAAAAAATGATAAAAAATGATCTTATCAATAAATACAAATGATAATTTCTGTTTTCACTTTTCTTTTTCATTTTAATTCATTAAGCTTTTGATCTACAACTAAAACATTACTATTTTGACTGGAATATACGCTCCCTGTGGTTTCTTTTAGATGAAATAGTGTATGATGGAATTTTGAATAAATTGAATTGAATTGAAAAAATGAAATATTGAATGTTCCTCTATCTGTCGACAAGCATGTGTAAGATTGTTTTCAAAAGTTCTTTCAATTCTTTTGAACGAGTGTGCTACTATTAAAATAAAGAACGCAATAGTAAACTAGATGCAAGTAGGAATGATTTTGATTTACGTCATTAAAAATTCAAAATTCTGTTAAAAGTAGACCATATTTGAAATCTGTTGAAAATTCAATTTTCTTTGAAAATGTGCTAGGTCATGTTGTAAAATCACAAAAGTGAAATATATTTTCTTATGATTAGGCAGATGTTTTCTTTTATTGGACATATTTTACTTTGCATTACTTTTAGATACATAAGGGTAATGATGAAAGATGAATCACTAAAACTGATGAATATTAAAGTTTAAGGGAACGTTTTAACATCCTGCTATGTTATCTACCCCGAATTAGCCACCTGGTGGGGAAACTGGTAACTATCTATGTCCTATTCCCATCACCAATGTTAGTGGTATTTTCTGAGGTTGTATGTTTGCTTCTTTAGAAGAGGGGATTCACTTACAATTTACTGTACTAGGTGCTGACACTGAGGGTTGTAATTTCAAGATTTGTCCAGCTTGAGGAGCACGCTATTTTTCATAAAAGCACAATGATAACTTCACAAATTATTTTTAACTCATATTCTTGTATTTCTCATTTGAAACCCCCTCCCCCCAAGCTGGACATTTAAAAAGTATTTTTTTTATATACACTCCCCTCCGTAAGCTTGGCAACCTAGCTCCCCCATTGAACTACGTGTTAAAGCCTCTTTACCTTTGAATTTTTATTTACTTAACCTGCGATGCAAATACTTATAATATTGGTGGAAAAGTTATGTGACTTTATTTCCAATACCTCCAAATTTTCTCAATTTTTTCCCTCAATTACAATAAGTCGAACATTGGTGATAAATTTGATGAATTTTTGAAAATCGACATTCCCATGTTAACCAATGGGAAATTGTAGGTTTGCCGCAAGTCATATGACAGAATATTCATCCATCCGAGTCCTTGCAAAAAATACGAGTTAGGTGGGCAATTGAATTTGCTAACTTTATTTAACAAAAAATTGATATGTTTCTTCAGGTTCAACAAAGTAATAGAGCTTTAAAGTCAAAATTGTTTTTCAAAAACCTCTCCCATTGAAATAACACAGGAGGCGAAAAATTATTTTCAAAAATGACTTTGAAGCGCTGTAACTTTAGTATTCATCAAATAAACTAAACACTTAGTGTCCAAAAAAGTTAGACAATTCAATTTTCTATATAAAAATAATTTTTGCTGAATCTTTAACTGAAAAGATATCCTGATTTCTGATTTGCCCCGAACCCTCCATTTCCCATTGGATTACATGGGAATGACGATTTTCAAAATTCCATCAAATTTATAATCGATTTGCGACCTATTGTAATTGAGGGAAAAAATTGAGAAAATTTGGAGGTATTGGAAATAGAAATAAAGTCAAGTTACGTTTCCATCAATATTACAAGTTATTTCGTCGCAGGTTAAGTAATTAAAAATTCAAACGTGAAGAGGCTTTAACACGTAGTTCAAATGGGGGGGGGAGCTAAGGTTGCCAACTTATGGAGGGGAGTATGGCAGATATTCATGGTTGCGCGGTATTTGTAATTCGGGTGAATATGTCATACTCACCTGCGGCATATGGCGTATTCCGCAGGTGAGTATGGCATACTCCGCATTGAATATGCGATACATTGATTTCAGTGAATACCCGATACTCACCTGCGGAATATGTACATATACTCACTTGTGGAATATGCCATATCTCGCAGGTGAGTATGACATGTGCCGCAGGTGAAAACATGTTACAGATTCTCTACCCCTAGCGTTATTGGACTTCAAACAAAGGTGAAAGTTATCCACGAATGATATACTCATTGCATGGAGTAGTTAATTTTCTTTGGTATAACGAAACATATGAATTAAAAATAATTTGGAAAGTTTTCTTAGTGTTCCTATAATAAATAGCATGCTCCCCAAGCTGGTCAAATCTTCCGATGACATCCCGTGTATTTACCTGATACTGGTGCAGATTTTACATTCATCCAGTACCTGGTCTTGCTTTCAACAAATGTCGCCCTGAAACACAAAATAAAGATTCTTCACCATACCATCTTAGTTTTGAAGGTTACCTCAGTCCGTCCTTAGTGCAAGACCGGCATTTCGATCATTTCTTTTCATATGAATCAAGCTTAGTTAAATCCCTATTTTCCATTCTTTTAAATTCTCAAATCCCCTTGTGGGTTTCAAGGACAACGCTGATTTTCTATCTAATGCACTCTAGGTTAACTATTAAAATTGTATATGTGACCTCCATGACCTAATCTGTACGTGATCTTATTTTTTCATGTTTCACGTTTTGCATTTATTATTTTGTGTCTTTCTTTAGGAACTAAATGCGTATTATCGGCAAAATGAAGTTTTACTTTTGATCCTCATGGTATTTCCAATGGATTGATTAGTACTTGATCTTTCATTTTACACAAAAAGCACTTCAAACAGACCACATCAGAGTTGACACTAGATTATCAAAAAATATTTTCAGTCTATCAATATGTATGTCAAGTTTTTAGCAATGCCAATGAAAGATGGCGCAGTTTTTTGCATGACATTATCCATTTTAGATAGAATTTTCAAACATGCGCCATCTTTTAATCCAAGAGTTATTTAAAAATGCACTTGTGAAAAGTGGTAATCCACTTTTTTTCGATCACTGAACTTCAAAAGCTGTTTTCTCTGCGAGTAATTTTTTTACACTTCATTATTATCCCAAATTGATGATTTTATCATATTTAATTGTCGTGGTGAGTAACATGTCTCAAATAATATTTTATCCTTTTCTCTTCAAAAATAGGCATATTGCCTGTTTAAATAATCCTGTGTATATTTAATTTTTACTTACACAAATTGGATGTTACCAAAGTTTCTATTTGGAGCGGTCCATACAACCTCAATGTTCCCTTTGAGATTTCTATTACTGTGAGTAACAGCGTCGTCGCGGGCAGTGCACGTCAATGTTTTCAAGTCTCTTGCAGGCTGTCCATCCATGTGAAAGGTACCAACAGGCGTCGTTGGATTTCCCGACTGAACCCGAGCTTGTAATAGGACACCTCTAAATTGGCGGGGGCCTCGAAGTTGAACTAAAAATAAAATGGTTTGAAATATTAGGATACTCCTGTCTTACTTATAAAAGATTATTGCAATCCATTTTATTTTCCTCTCAAGTAAGTATTCTTGGCTTCAAGATCCTGGACTCTCCCACTTATCTACGCGCACAGGGATCAGGGCTCGCGAACCACACACCTGATCGAAAAAGGTCCGTAATTTTAACTAACATTCCAACGAATCTTGTTTTTATTTGTAATTCGGAAGAAATGCTTAACCAGTTTTTCATGCATGTTCATGAATATCCACTTATTGAACATATCACTACAAGTTCCATATAACTTGAAATCCCAAATACTCGGATGCACTTTGTTCGCGAGCACGGATCATTGTTAGTGCGAGTGGAGAAATATGTTCGGGAGCGAGGAAATGGTGGTGCGCGACTAAAGATTTCACGGTTCGCGATGTGAGACTCATGGATCGAGTGCAACCAGGAGAAAGAAGAAGAAAAGAGCTTTAAATGCTTTTTATTTGAAGCTTCTAGCTCAATCTCGAAGGAAATTGCGTCAATTGTTTTGTAAAATTCAAAATAAATCTTATTTTTGGCTTGTTTATGCCACAATCGCATCCCCCCTGAGTGGAAAAAGATTTTTTTGGCGATCGCAGCCCCCTGACTGAAAGCTGGCTACGCCCCTGCCATAGTGATATTTGGCATGAAGTTATATATTATTATCTAAGTTAATCCGCCTTTCTAGACAAGGAATTTTGAGGAGAAAACGATTCATTCTTGGTGAAAAGAACATTAGAATTGATCATGAAACCATGGGATTTCTCTAGAAAGCCCATGATGAAATAAACATTTCTATACGTAAAGTGCCTATTTTTGCGGAACGCCAAACTGCAATTCACTTATACTTATAACGTAAGCTATACGCATAAACATAAGTAATGCTTCCACGTATGAGCGAAATCTCTTATATATTAGTCAATAGTCTTACAAATAGAGAGCGCAATGTGTGATGACATACTACACAAAACCTATGCGTATAAGGAATCTTATAAGTGAGCCAATCACGTACATGACGAAAATTCTCTATTAATAAAATCATCTTTACCTGTAATTCGTTGATTTGGTTTGTATTTAGTCAACGTAGAATGTACTTGGAACGGAGACGTCGAATTCTGTGGTCCAATTCCATGATTGGGATGCATATTAACACAGGCTGTGATCGGAGCCCCATTTGGGGACGCATACACCCCTGTGAGAGTTACACACCCGAGAAGATATAAGACGATCATCATTTTAGCCAAAAAACTAACTATCCCAGTAATGTATTCTTGTCTGTCAGCTATTTGCTATCACTGCAGATCACCGATCACTTAAACTTTGGTTTGTGTATATTAGGTGGACCCCAAAAAATATTTTGGGAATATATATTTCGTTTAAATTATATAGATTAATAACACACGATGTATTTTTTCATGATTCATCTCCGCCATCTAACCCAATTAAAAGCTTCTAAAATTATTTAGTTGTACAAACATTTGATGGTCACTCTAGGTTCGTCTAAAATGAATCAGATAAATATCAATTTTGAAGTGCTACAGGGAGGTCATCCAATTAGAAAAGTTCGATCATCGATAATCACGTTGTGGCACTCGAACATTTGTCCGCTATGGGGGAAAGAATCAGTTTATTTTTCATAAACTACTTAAGAGACTTAACAATTTATTTTTTACTCAGATGCTTCGTTATACCGAAGAAAATGACACATTCTACGCAATGGGCTATTATATGCGAATAACCAGCTTTACTTCTTTTTTTAGGTCCATTGACGCTGGGAGTTAAAGCTATTGAACGTTGAAATGGTACTATCGTGATCGTATCATAATCTAAAATGCAAGTTTTCCTTTTTAACATTTTAATTTTACATGTTTTCATCAAAACTCCAGACGTATTAATGAAGCCTAGCGTTATGGGGTCTCTAGCTAGGTCTTACCAAACTTTTAGAGTGAAATCCGCCACTGTTTAACCCATTAATCAAGATACCTGAAGAGTATTGCAAGCAAGGTGATTATATCTAATTTATTCGGTGTAATGGCAAAAATCTAAAATTTCCAATTCTGATTTTATTTCAATATTTAATGAAGCCTATTTTCAAACTAACATCTGAGTAAGTTAAAATCCCGGTCAAAATATCTCACGGAGTTTTTCAGTGGTACCTTTGCTTTTGATATTCACTTAACAAGGGAAGCAGTTTGTTGGACCACCTCCCTTGCTCACCTGTAGACACGCGTAGTACACGCAAAATGGCACACAACCTAAAAGCTCCCGTGCATATTTATCTTATCTAAGAGCAGATTGTATTGCAAATAACACCATACTGTTGTATCACGTGTTAAGCAGTTAAGAGCCCGTCTGATTCATTTGAAACCAGCAAGTTACTTGTCAGTTTGCAGGCGTTAGAATAAGGACTTCAGTTTTGACAGTAAAATGCCTCCTCCATAAAGCATGACATGTTCACCTGAAGTTGCTCAAAGTTAAGCATCGGTCGAATTTGCTCTATGATGAGGATACACAGCTTTTATTTTAAGATAAATCATCTCAGATTTTATTAACTAAAAATATCTCAATATTCTACAAAGTCACAAATCAATGCATCACTGACGTGAAAATAAAATAATGGACAATCAACTCAAGTTAGCCAGAGAATGAAGACTCGTACACATATAGATGGCAGCCACTAGTTGCCACTAATTAGTGGTAGTTCTTCACACTTGTCCCATTATGTAAATATTGCTCTACAAAATTTTAAATGCTCTTCATTATCAAACTAATACAAATGTTTACATTTATTTTGTGGTTTCATATACTTCACAATTAACACCACAATAACCCAGGTGGGTCAGATAACACGGCATGGCATGGGTTTATTACAAAATTCACTTAAACTTGAATATTCATCAGTGGAAGTGGGTCAATTTTCATATTAACCCTTATGAATCTGATAGTTATACAGATGAAAAGATGTCCAGTAAAACAAAAATATAATCTGTCCAATTTAAGAAGATATTTCAATTTTTGATTTTATAACATTGGAAGTTGAAACACTGTAATTTTATATGTAGATTTCAAATATGATTATATGATATCACTTGGACTGAATTTTGAATATTTAATGATGTAAATCAAGATTATTTCTATTCACTTCTAGTCTATTTTGGTATCTAATAAAATATTTAAGAAAAAAAAATAATATCATTTTTGGAAAGAATTTATTTTTCTTTTGAAAAGGCTGAAGAGGCTTCCTGTTCGTTATGGATTAATATTTTTTAACTGAAAAGGGTAATTAATGCTGAACATGTCATGTCATATCTCCAAGTCTACAAGTTACAAATCATTATGAATTGAAAAGATTCTAGTTTTACTTTAAGATCAAAATTACAGCTATTGGCCATTTAATACATACACATTACATATTAACAATTAAGCCCGCTGAATTCTATCCCATCTGCTAACAGCTTTGGTTCATGTAATAGAATTTGACAGTTCAAATCACATGTATTTCAAACAACATTCACTTTCACTTTTCACTTTCCACATATTCAAGGCTATTTTCTATAATTTGAATCACTTTCCACATATTCAAGGCTATTTTCTATAATTTGCATTATGAATTACATGTTACATTATGAATTACATGAACCATTCCTGGTATGATGCTTAATGTCCTCTCTCAGTTTTTCTCAACTGAACTGGTTGCAAAATTCTCATTTACATACATGTATTTTGACTAAAAATGTCCTATACTGGACTAAATGTTGGAACACTTTGTCGTTTTCAACTGAGTGCAATGCATTGGTCAGACATCACCGGTCTTTATTTCTGGATCCCTTGTAATTCACTCAGATTGAAGAACATTCAATATATCATTCCCATTGTCCCATTCTATGACCTTTGCAAGTAAAGGTTGGGATGTTTCATCTTTTATATTTCGTATTGCCTTCAAGAGTCTATATCCCTTTCGTGGACATACAAAATCACTGGATTTTAGTCTAAGAGAAGGGCACAGATCATTGTGACCATCACCAACATAGATGACTTGTTTGAATGTCACACCTGCTTCCTTACGCTCTTGGACATAAGCATCTAGGATATGACCCTTACAAAGATTCACAGTACTCAAATCACACCAGTCTTGTGTATGGTAGTAATCAACCAATAAACACCCATCCGAATCAAACTTTGCAGGATTAGTAAATACTTTGGTGATGTGAGGAAGCATTCCAGATTCCTTCAAGATGCAATCAATAAAGAAGGAATTTGAGTCAGATATGATTATCACCTCATCCTCTTTTTCTGAAAGGTATTCTAAAAGTTCCTTCATTCCAGAAGTAAACTCTAATTCGTTCATGCAGTTTAAAAAATCTTGTTTTGTTGAGCCATTCTCATATAACTTCCTAAAGATGGCGCCCATATATTTTGTCCAGCCTCTGTCGCTGTAGATTGATTTAATTTCCTCTGGTACCTTACCACCAGGTAAAAGTTTTCGCACATACAAGTCACTGTTTTCGTCAATGATGGTGTGGTCAAAGTCAAATGCCACAAGTCGTTTTTGAATTGCAGACATCTGAAAATAAATGAATTGATTCTTACTAGAATGGTTGCCAGATTCACCTGAATACTATAGAGCTGACGGTGAGGTTTTAAAGTTTGAGAATGGGCAGATGGGCATAAGTAAGAACTCAATACTCCTATAATAGGTCTCTGACGTAGATGGAATACATTGGAAAAAAGTGTGGGATCCTGACTAATGGGATTTGGACGATTAGGATTTGTACCAATGGGATTCAGACAATTGGAATTCTGACCAATTGTATTCAGACCATTAGGATTCCGTCCTAGGTGATCACAGTCAGTATGCAGTTATGGGGCAAGGCCAAATCATTAGTTTACAGAAGAAAGTATAGATCATAATTTGAGCTTGCCCAAAGTGTGTACTAGTGTTGTCGCGATGTGCCATAATCGTACATCGATGCATCGGCAATTTTCAGTAGTAAACATCGATGCAAGTTCGAGAAAAGTGCACTGAAATACCGAACGCTTATGCACTAAAATATCGAACAGAAAAAATTACATCCGGGAACATAGTAACGGTGAAATGAAAGTAAAGTAATTTTTTTAGATTAATGGTTCATTTCGACTAGCTAAAACAGTTTTAAAGCGAAAGAATATCAGAAAACATTTGAAAATGAAATAAGACATGAAAAAAGGTAAGCAATTTGCGTCAAAATAAGATAAGAAAGGGCGATCTTTAGTTTTTTAAAAACATCGATGTTTTGTTTCAGACATCGATGCATCGCCAGAACCAGCTTTGGCGATGTATATCGCGATGTATCGATTAATCGCGACAACACTAGTGTGTACTTGATTTAGGCTACAGTAAAACTTTAAATGTTTGTAAGTACTTTGAATCTAAAAAATAAGCAATCAAAGGACCATGTAAAAGTAGAAACATTTACATGTTCTAACTTTTGTATATTTTAGTTTGTTTTGTAGTTTAGCTATCATATCTGTGGCCTCTTATATTTTGTTGCTTCTCTGCCATGTTATTTTCGTAAAAAATTAACATAGATGAAACTCCTTAAATTACATAAGGCCACAGCTTTGCTGCACATTATACATATAAACTATCTGAAATATACAAAAGTTAGGACGTGTACATATGTTTCGTTTCTTTATATTCTGTTGCAATATAGTCATTTGTTTGCTTATTTTTTAAATTCAAAGTAGTCTACAGTAAAATTTTAAATGTTTGGAACTACTTTGAATCTAAAAAATAAGTAATTAAAGGACCATATTGAAACAGAATATGTAAAAATAGAAACATTTATGGTACATGTCTTAAGTTTTGTATATTCTAGTTTGTTTTGTAGTTTGGCTATCATATGTGTGGCCTCTTATATTTTGATACTTCTCTGCCATGTTATTTTCAAAGCTAATTAACATGGCTGAAACTCCCTAAATTACAGAAGGTCACAGCTTTGCTGCACATTATTTATAACTATCTGAAATATGCAAAAGTTGGGACTTCTACATATGTTTCTCTTTTTCATATACTGTTGCAATATAGTCATTTGATTGCTTATTTTTACAATTAAAATTTTACTGTAGCCCTACTTCAAAACATTTAAAATTTTACTGTAGTCTACTTGTCTACAGCCCATTTCACTGTTTCACTATATCGTCAGTAGAACCCCAAAAATAAGAAATCAGGAAACCCATTAAATAATATATGGAAAAGAATATTCATATTGTACATGAATGACATTTAAATATTTCAGATTATTTAGTTTTTTTTGTGCAATAAGCCTATGCCCTCTTGTAATTTTTTCTCCCAAATTAGCTCATCTTGGTGACTGTAACTTGCACAGCTGTATTCAATAGAGTCTTTTCATATTCAATAAGCCTCAATTTTAAAGTGTACATTTTATTTTTAATGTGATTTCATTGTTTTTTGTCGACTGGTAAGATACGGCCAAGCAAATGGCAAGATGAATGACCCTTGACCAATGGTGATCTGACATAATCAATATTACCAAGATGGCTGTTTCAAAATTTTCTAAAATAGCTTCAAATAATTATGTTAATTTCTGGCGGGTAAACCATTCTCATAGTTTGCTATTACACAATAAGATAAAGAATGGGTCATGTCACTCACGTGACCTTGTTCCATGCCCATCTTTTAAGTCAGTCGACCTGTTCAGAGCACATTTAGTATTAATTATCGCATTTCAGAACAATTTAGGAAACAATATTTTCTATCTACGTAGATTACAAAGCATCTAAGGTACATAAATTTATATGAACAACTGAGTCAATAGGGATAAATAGCCCAAAGAGAGTCGGCGGTCTTGAAAAATACTTGAATCTTGTTTCCAGTCCTGTAATTGGCATCTAATAGATGATCTATCTTGTTGGAAGAACGTATATTAGACATCCATGCCTATGGCGGAGAAGCATCAAGATATAAGAGGCCACATACTTTATTAGCCAAAGTACAGTGGGGGACATAAAGAATTACAAAAGCATGGAAATTACATGCTGTCGCACATGTAATAAATTCTTACCTCAGTGTATTCAGTTTTCTCCATCCTAGTAAGTCCAGATATTGTGGAATTCTTGTCTATAATGACAAATAAGAACTTAAAATTTTGAAGTGGAATTCACATGTTAATGCCGACTCTTCAAATGTTGAGGTGATTTTAGAGCCCGCCTACGCCGCAATGTGGATTGGCTCCCAGAATGCAACATGACACGTGTCAGCTTTCAAAATGCCGTTCAGTCATTTTGAAATCTGTCACGAGTAAATAAGGTCACCTGATGTTGCATTCTGGGAGTCAATCCTCCTTGGATCACAAACATGGCGATTCATGAAAACATTAGTTTGATTTGCATGGGCGTAACGCCCGGTACGCTGGGTATGCACAGGCGTACCAGATGGTTGCAAATTCACTCCAAATACAACCAATTTTCAAAATTTGTCCCCCAGACCCCCCTGAATGCTCGTTTTTTGATTCACTCAACTCTTGTTACCATGGTGGTGGCGTACTACTTAGAAAAATAGCGCTACGCCCATGATTTGGTAGGGATTTATCCATCATTTGCAGGTATGAAGCTTTGGATTCATTTATTGTGCTACTTAAAGTGAATGGGAATTATTTTTCTACCGCTTGGGTGAGTTTGAGACACGAAACTTAGAATTTAGCTCATCATTGTGACAACTTTTGAGGGTTGAGATTTATTTTTGTCCCCCACTTTAGAAGCAATCCAAGATACACAAATGTCATTTATGTACAATAGGAATATATTTTTCCACATATTTTTGCACAATGATCTTTTGATTTCTCCGAAAACAATATTAGATCTGAGATCTAAAATGAAATATGGGCTGTAAAATCTATACAAAAACTGAGGTGAAGTAACAAAATACTTACATTCAACCGCTGCGAAATGTTCCTGAGCATCTAATACAATTTTCTCAATTACATGTGTGTCTCATGAAGCTTACAAGCATCGCATATCCTCGATTATGAAACAAAAGTAAAATTTTGTAACAACATTTATGGGCGATAATATGATTTTTGTGTGGTTTCAAAACGAGACTATGACCTAGTTATGACGTCACGTACTGTAGCAACACACTGTTTGCCTTGACGATTTTGGCCAGAAAAGTGCTCGCAAAAATTTCCTAATTTTGTTACTTTTGAGCGTATACTGGATTATTTCGTTCCAATTTTCTAGCATAAAACTTTACACTATAGTGTGGTACACGTCAGTATGGCGACGGTAATGCATGGGAGGCGGAAGGGGACAAAGAAAGGTAAGGTTACTGCTTGGGTCTAAAAAATCTTATCTCACCGAGATTCTCAATCTCATTCTCAGTCAATTTTTCAAGTCAACAGTAGATCTAAATACGTGACATATTGTTAGTCTAGTCTCCAACTTTTTGACAGTTTTGACAAAAAAACATGCAAAAAGTGCTCAGAATGGTGTAAAACTGCATGATTTTGAAAGTATTTCTCACAGGAACTTGAAGGGGGGGGGGGGGGGGGGGCTTGAAGCTCTGGCCAGGGGGCGGGGGGGGGGGGGGGAGCCAGGCCCTGCATGGCTACGGGCCTGCTCACTGTGTTGGGAATATACCTTTCTATTACATATGATTTAGTACACTCTATAGTTAAGTTTTGTAACGACAATCGACTGTCCATACAAAAATATGGATACAAAATGACATTTAGGCCTAGCGTATTGCAGGGCTGTCAACTTGGGACCACCTAATATGAGTGACTTACAAATGTTGGACACCGAAGTCCAAATCTGAACACTTTTGTCCAAATTTTGAACACCTTTGGCCAACTTTTGGCCAAAGTTTGAGCACCTTTGCTAAACTTTTATCACCTCAAATTTTTCGCTGGCGAAAAAAACTGGCGTGACTTCAAATTCTTCAGCAAATGCGTGACAAATACGCAAATTGCGGGACAGTTGACAGGCCTGGTATTGATTCCATTTTCTCAATACTCATCATCACAGGTGGAAATGCACAGAGAGTCAGTGTTTAAGACTACATGTTCATATACTCCATGGTCATTTTTTAAGAAATAAACTTATCCTCAAGTCACAAAATAGATAATGTTAGAATTAGAATTTGTGACTAATTCAGAATTATGTACAAAGTAAGTTGAGTAGGCCCCACTAACAAGAGGCCACAAATTTTAATAACCCAACAGTGTATGGTCCATTGATGCCTTATTTTTGTTGACAGATTTATACTTACTTGAACCTTGTAAAGACTAGATCAGAGAAATCTTTTATATCTCTTGACTTGATGTACTTCAAAGTTTACAGTTGCTATTTCTTATCTCGTTCCAAGACTATCTCTACAAAGAGGATGGTGTTGGAACAAGATAAGCTATTTCTGTTCTCATTAAAGCAACTCACACAATTTACAGTGTAATTGTTGCTAACATATGGACAGATCCCTTGCTTTCAGGCATACATTATCAATTTTAATCAATATTTATTTCAGCCCAACCCAAACCAGGTCCATATGAAACTCTCCCAACAGAAATCCCATTAGGGATGCAGCTGAAAAATGGCACAGACCTGAGAGAAGTCACTGTTCTTACTGGCAAAGACTGGCAGAGAATTCAAAACAGTCTGAATAGAAATGTTATAGAAGAACAGAGGATAGCAAAACTTAGGGAGGAGAGAGAAGCACTGAGACAACGCTCAAAAGATACAGTGAAAAATTGGGGCAATACTATAGCTGTAAGTTTAAAGTCCCCGTCTAAAGTTTGAAAATATTTTTTTATCATTCATTTACTATTTGTCAGGACTTAAAAAGTGATTTTAGAGATTTTTGAACAAAAACATTTTTTTGAAAAAAAAGTTGTGAGCATTTCATTTCTCAAATATTCAAATTTCCCGCCATTTTTCAAAAAAAGTTGAAATTTCTTAATCATCAAATATTTCTTAATGCATTTCAAAAAAGATTATCTTTTTAACACCAATGCAAAGGTTGAACAAAGGACACACTATTTCAATAATAAAATGCCATATTTAATGGGCCACTTCAATGTTTTAGCATATCAAAAATATTTTGAAACATTAGTGATGTCACTAAGGTACCAAAAACTTTTTGAAAAAAATTGAAATTTTTTTTTCGATGTCAATTTTTTTCTAAATATGTTAGACTTTCATAAAAAACCAATGTTGATTGTCTAACCAGGTTAAAAGGAAGAATAAATTATGTTTTAGATATCATTGTACCATTGGTTTCTATGAGAACTAAAATTTTGAAATGCATTTTTCTCAGAACCATTTTCATGCACTGATAAGTTCATTTCTCGCTTATTTATGAACCGATTTTCTTAATTTTTTCGGCAAAAAACACGAGAGGATGCATGCTATGCATTGGTATGAATTGTGGATAATTAGAAGATATGAGTGACCTCTAAAAGTTGGTTTTAAATAAATTCACAAATTTTGGAACAAAAAGTCTATCAAAAACCACTTTTTGAAATTAAAAAAAAAAGTTTCACATATCACACTTTGATAACATTGGGTAAGACTACAATATAAGCCAAAGTGGTTTAAACTTTATATGGGGCCTTTAAGGGTTTTTCATGTATTTAATTTATGTAAACATACATGTATTTGCCCAGTCACATATTTCAAAACCCCTTTGTCATTAATGAATGATATCTTATAAAATCTGTTTTTTGTTCCTCAGTTGGACAGCTGTTGACTTCCCAGTGGTGAGTGTCTATTTACTGGTATCTCTGGTACTTCGTGGTTCTCATCTTCAAATATGTATGATTATTATTAGGGTCAAAGGCAACGGAAATTAGAAGCAAGGAAGATAAGAGAAGAAAAGGAAGAGGAGGAAAGGAAACAAATAGATCTAGAAGAGGCAACATTCCAGTCACAAAAGAGAAAAGAGGCTATTGAAAAAGCAAAAACACAGCAGTATTACCAAACAGACAGAGTAAAAGGATTCCATGTGAGTACTGACATTAGAAATATAAAGTGACAAAGATGTTGCATTTTTGTTTGCTCAGTTTTGAAGGCAGTGATGACTGAATATGAAATATAATGATTCTAGATTGTACTTTACTTACATAATTTGAACAGTTGATCTTTCAAAGACGAATCAATGATTATATTGTATATTCTAACTTTAACCTATTCACAGTAAAAAAGAGAACATGTCGACATACATACATGTATATTTAACGAAACCTCGATCTGCAAGAAAGTGACAAACATAACAGCACTTTATCAACCAAAGGCTAATTTGGTATTTTGATTTTTAAAAATGAGCATTTATCCAATATACATTTATAGGGAGCTCTTATGTTAACTGAAGTTCTAAAAGAGAGAGAAGCCCAACTGGAACTGAAAGCACTTAAAGAAAAGGCAAATGAGGGCAAGGATAAGGCCTGGTTAGAAAAGGCACAGAAAGATTATGAAGAAGGTGTCCTTGAAGACCAAAGAAAAGCACAAATTAGAATTGATGCAACAAGAAAAAATGCAATGTTCCAGAAAGCACAGTAAGTGTTATTTTATATAAAGATGTGATTTTATCAAATAAAATAGTGTACCGAGTCTGCTGAAATAGAGGGCCCTGAAGGCATAAAACATAGGAGGAGGCCAAGAAACACATTTAGGATTCATTGGACTTCACTTTATTTTTATGAAATATAATATTTATTAACTTCCCTACTTGAGACCAAGTCTGTTAATTAGGCTATAGATCAAAGGGGTAATAGTACTCCCCCACCATAATGGTTGTCTTATAGTCCCCAAAATTTGGTTGTCTAATAATCCCCACAATAATGGTTGCCATTAGTACCCACAATTTGGTCTTCTAAAAATCAAGTATTCCACACCATAATGGGGATGTTCTATATCTCCCCACCATAAATACATGTAATTTATAAATGATGATTACAGTTGATAAAAACACACAATTATAAAAGTGCAGGGTCTGTTCTAATGTTTTTGACAAGAAATTTTTTAATCTTTTTTTATTTTATTTATTATTTTAATATTAACCTCTTGAATCCCAGGCTCTAAAATTGGCATGAAACCAGAGAATTTTTCATTTTTTGCCACCTTTTGACATTTTATTACATACCTATACAACTTTAGATGCTCAGCTTAGTAAAATTGGACGGCAGAGATCATTTCTACACGTTTTAAAACAATTTTTGTGTAAATTGGATAAAAATTGTTCAAATGAGAGCAATTTTTGTGAAAAATTTTGTTACGGATTTTCTCGTCCCTCTGGGCACCAGTCTTATTTCATTTGTCACTCTGGGTATTCAAGAGGTTAAAACACTTAATAATCCCCTATAATAATGGTTGTTCTAATCTATATCTCCTCACCATATTGGTTGTCCTATAGTCCCACAACATAATGGTTGTCCTTTAGTCCCCCACCATATTAATGGTTGTTATATAGCTCCTTCCTTACCATAATGGTTGCCCTGTAGTCCTCCACCATAAAGGTTGTCCTTTAGTCCCCCACCATATTAAAGCAGATATGAAATGGTATTTTTAACCTAAAGGAATCAATATAATTTTTTGATAGATGTATTTGGACATGTTTTCTAATCAGTAGTGTGAAAACTATTTCACTCTAACGATCGTTATAGCTGCTTAATAAGCAATATTCGAATTGGTTGTGACGTTATTGGCCCCCACGTGATCTCTCACTGGCCCCCACGTGGACCGTTTTGGTCCATTAGATCAGTTTACACAACAATCCTATGGTTGCCGTGACGTTGTGATTACTATGGAACCAGTAAACCAAAGCTATATTTTGTATTATGACTTATACTAATCACGTGGGGGCCAATTTGATTTATCAGTTAGTTTTATTTTGTTATCTATGACCGTTAGCAGTTATCTAACATTTATTTTATGATGGCTATCGCAAGAACTCTACGGTGGGCTTACAATGGAGAAAACCGCATTTTTGTAGCTGCAAGTTGAGAAAAGTTATTTCAGTTGTCCTTTAATGGTTGTCCTGTAGTCCTCCACCATAATGGCTGTTCTTTAGCTATTGACCATTATGGTTATTCTGATATTCTATAGCTCCCACTATAATGATTATCCCATAGTTCACTCCTAACCATAATGGTTATCCTGATATTCAATATAGCTCTCACCATAGTGGTTGTCTTGAAGTTCCCACAATAATGGTTATTCCATAGTTCCCATCATAATGATTGTTCTAATGTTCTATAGCTCCCCTACCATAATGGTTGTTTTAAAGTCCCCTCCTATAATAGCTGTCATAACATTTCCACTACATTGGTTATCCTATAGTCCCTCATCATACAAAAGTCCCATACCCCAATCGTTGTCCTTTAGCTCCCCACCATAATAGCTGTCCCGAAATCTGTAGTTGAAAAATTTGAAGAACACAAACACCTAAAACTCTATCTAATCTTCAATGTTGTACAACAATAAAAAAGCGAACATATTCTTAATTTTATTTTATTTTTGCAACAGGGTGAAAGAACATCTGAAAGAGGGTTGGAGGGACAAAGATTTAGACAGAGCTGAGGGTGAAGAACTGAAGGCACTGGCTGCTCAATATGCTTTAGAGAAGCAACGTCTTGAACAGATTAGGTTTGATGAAAGGAAAGGCATGATGCAAGATAACGTCAAGAGGATTGGAGATGTACGAAAAATGAAGGAAATCCATAGACTGCAAGAGGAGGTCAGTAGCTTGTGAACCACAATTTATGATTGGTTTTCATTATGTCAGTGATTGACAAACTTAAGTTGTAAATCAAGCCTTGATGTAGATCCAATATTGCTCGGAATATTAGTCTAAGTATATGTACATGTCAGGTGTTATTTGTTTCCAAACCTCAAGATATCCAATTCTATGTTGAGGTTTTCATGTGATGATTTGCATTTGCCTTGTCCGATTTTACAATTATGGTTAGATTTTTTATGTAACAGACCAAGCCCCTGTCTATTTGTAACAGCATTGCAACAATATAAAACCATGCTGACTTTCAATATTGCTATGGTTACAGGAGGAAGATGAGGAATGTAGAATATTTGCTGCAGCTAAACGGAAAATGATGAAATTGAGAACACAGAAAGAAAAGATGCTTCACAATGAAAAACAGGAACGTTTGGAGAGAATCCGTGAAAAACTTTTTGCCCAACAACAACAGAAGAAGGACGATGAGGATGAGCGAATAAGGAATGCCTTGGAAGAGAAGGAGAAAGCAAGAATGGAGGAAGAAGAAAGGAAGAATGCCAAGTTGATGAAGGCAATGAAAGAGATGGGAGACCACAGATATCAACAGGTATGATTCTCTTATAATTGTATTACCATAACATCAAATATGTTTTGCATTCACTGCAAGTTTGAAAATAATTATTTTATTTACAAAATATATTTTATATTTTTCAAGAGAAATGGGCCTCAATATAAAAGTTGGCCTTTTATAAAAAGGGATCCAATTTTTCCATGCTTTAAACTAATTTTTAGCCCATCCCAATCTCAATTTCGCATTTATCTTTTGATAAATTCTCATATAGCCTAATCATCAGTAACTCTTACGTTGCATGCTTACAGATGAAGGAGATTGAAGATATGAAGGCAGAAGAGAGAGTAAAGGAAATGGAAATGCTGAAAATCAAAAAGGAGGCTGATAACGTTTTCAGACAAAATGAAGAGGAGAAACGAAGGCGCAAGCTGGAAGAAGCAAAGGGACTTGCCAAATTCCATTTCCAACAAAATGTAAGTTTTTAAATTGTAAATACAGTAAAACCTGCGAACAGGGAATGCTCTTGGGACTGGAGGAAAGTTTCCTTGTTCGGAGGTTTTCCCTATAGAGAGGGGCCGCACTTTCAGCAAACTCAAAATTGCCGAATAAGCATATTTGTATATTGATTGATTGTACAAATGCTTGGTTACATTCTCCCCATGTTGATTTTAGCTGCTTCTAGTGTCTGATGATGTCTAGTTGATGTAATTATTGATATGATGTGTAGAGATATATTGCTAAGAACTGAATTTCAAGTTTCAGCAACCCCATTTTATATCATTGATAATCTAGAAGTTGGATCAGTAAAATATTTAAAGAGATTTGGCTCAACATGACCGTGTACTTACTATCTGTTATCTCCATAAAACAATTGTGTCAGTCCCTAGATTATCACAACTGATTTGATGTAATTGGGTTTTTGAAAGGAAGAATTGGTGTCATGATAATAAGTAACAAACAGATTAGTATTAGTTTTAAAATAAATCAGGGTAATTAACAGTGGGTGGGATGCTACATCATGTCAACAATTGGCTTATCTTAATCTCAATCATATTAATCTAAGCTTTTTATATTCAGATATTGGCTGAAGACTTTCACACCTCTGAAAAATAATGGAATATACAGTGTCACCAATATTCCATATTCCTTGTTCACAGGTGAATTTTCATAATTTGCCCCAAAAAAGTAGTGTTCCTTGTTCCCTGTTCACAAGTTTTCCCTACAGAGAGGGTCCGTTAACATGTAAGTCAATGGAAAAATATTCGGTTCTTTTGAAAAGCATTCCTTGTTCATAGGTTTTCCCTACAGAGAGGTATTCCATCGGACAGGTTTTACTGTACAGTGAAACTTTTGTATATTGAACATTTTTTTGCCAAGAAAAAAATGTTCAGTGTTGGTAGGCATTCACTACAGAGAGGCTAATTTGTAATTTGCAAGTTTGGTGTCCACTTAAGACAGGTGTTCACTAGAGAGAGGTTTTCATTAAAACGGGTTTTACTGTAATTGATTTATGGGTGGTCCTAGTTGTTTTTCATATGTATTGGAGTTATCACGGACTAACAAACATATTATGATGGGGAATATTTACAAATAAAAATGTATTTACAAATATTTACAAGTGCAAACATATTTACAAAGCAATATTGACCAATCAAATCAAGAGACATCTTGATTCAAAAACAAGAGACAATCTCAGCATACTGGAAGGTACTTGGCCAGTAAAGATATGGCAGCATGGTATTCTTGTATGCTCTGCCTCTTAATGTAACCCTGTGAGCAATACACAGTGTTCTCCCCAAAAAAAAATTTCAACTGGCTGCAAGATTTCAAGTCCGAAAAAATCAGCATTCGCTACGCTCACAATATCTCAGTGTAGGTGCTTACTTCACTCATTTTTCAAATCAGAAGTTGAAGTGCAGATTCCAACTGGGTGCCAACTGGGGGGCCTTTGGTTTCAAGTAGGGGGAGCCCCCGGTAAAAGTGACATCAGGAGATCACTGATACATGTAAAATGTTAAAACCATGTTTCCTATATGTTCTATTATCTTGCAGGATGAGCGACTTGTAAAGGATGACAAAGCACGGCAGGAGCAACTGGCCCGTGACAAGAGAAATATGGAACTATTGGCCGTGGAGGAGCAGCAATTCCAAGAATATGCCAAACGTGTTATTGATCATTGTGAAAAAGGAGGACGTAATACAATCCCTCTTCGTAAGGCTGCCAAGGCTGGAGCAGGGGGTGGTGCGGGACCTGTGTTTGAAGGAAAGGGTGGGGTCAGGCCCAGTTATATGGCATCTGATCAGTCTGGAGTACAGATGCCTAATTATCAAAGGGACACCACTGAGGAAACTAAGTCAAATATTTATGGTGAAGCTTCACAAAAACGACTAGGATTTGTATGGTAGTTCAATTGGATAACTTGCATCTATTCTAGTTTACTCAACTCTAAAAATGAAGACACATCATCATAATATAAAATAGCAAAATTTGACATGCCAAAATGAGGAGCTCATTGATATTGCAAAGAATGGTTTGTTGACCAAGTTGATATCTTTGGCAAATAATGGAAGACCTTTACATGTGAGAGGCAAATTTGGTGGGGAATATCAACAAAAAATAAAACAATAACCTAAATATAATTTAATTATTCCATAATACTACTGTTTTCCCAGGGAAGTATGAAGGAATAAAAATCGTATTGAATCGTATTACATGGAAAAATCGTATTGTCCCCGGGACAAAAATCGTATTGGAACGTATTAACCTATTTTTGGTTTTTCCAGTTATTTTTAACCTTGACTAATTGATATAAGTATTATCCAAATGTAACATTTTAAGGAGGAATGTATTATGGAATAAATAGGTTATTTCTGGTCGGGATTGAATATGGGTTTTATTCCTCGGTGCGCTGCGCTCCCTCGGTCAATATCATATTACCCTTCGGTCAATATCATATTGTCCCTCGGAAAAAAAACCCATATTCAATCCCTCCCAGTAAATAACCTATATATATCAAAAGGCAGATAACCAAATGTGGACATAAAATACTATTTTTAATAACATTTATTGCAAAATAACATGTTCAATAATTGCAAACATTCATCATTGAATAATTGAAATAGAAATGTACATCAGTGCAAATTACTACATTACATATCACAGATCTTGTTAATACTAGTATGTAAATACTGTACATAAAAAACTGTATAATATTCAACATTTGAACACTATAATTGTACATATCTAGGCCTATATGTATTATAAACTGTTAACATGTTTCATATGTGATTTATAAAATATATCAACATGTTATTTGTATACCTTAAATTTTGTATAATAGTGTGCATCTTGACATTAGTGATGAAGTGATGATTTTACACCAAAGCTACAAGGGTTGTTCAATAAATACTGATACAAGTGCTCTCATTTTCTTGTTTGTGAGGGAATTAAGATGAAATTTTCCGGAATTTAACATATATGCCTTTATACTGACCAAATATTGTGAATTTATTCTGGATACTTTTAAAGATACATCAAATTAAATATATATGTATGAGGGTACCCAGCGAGTTTTTCCTTATCATGAGTTGCTAAAAATGAAGTTTTTTTTAGTCCAAATCATCATTCAAATAAAGTATATGGCCATTTATCAGATCAGACCATAACTTTAATATACATGTACTACTTATTCTCATATTATTCTCAAAAAAGTAAAAACTGTTCCGGGTACACCCATACATTCTACATTTGATATACTGTAACTTTAAAGTACTGAGAATAAATTCATAATATTTGGACAGTTTAAAGACATGCATATGGCCTTTAATCTTTGGAAACATTTTGATTCCTTTACAACTTACAAGTAAGTCGAGGCATTAACATGCAAAATGTCACTACCTGCCATTTGTTGCAGATGCCAACCGCCAAACAACAAATAATCCAGATCAAAGCCAGAATCAGATTTAGCAAGCATCCTTCCCAAAAAGTGTTTCAATTTAAGAATTTTTTGTTCATACCATTCCTTGTTTTTTCTAAAAATCCAATAATTTATTCCAGGAAAACTAAAATGTTTTGATATATTTATGTATTCATTTTACTATCCAGCCATCCCAGTGCCTGGTTCAAAGTGTGGTCCATAATATGAACCACGCCAATGTGATCCACCAACCTGACTTAATTTCTCTTCTATTCCCACCAATCATTCAAAATATAAAATAAGAACACTACACCTTAAAGATTTATGGCAGGTGAGTATATTCTGTATTTTTCCCCATTTTATTGACACACTGTCATGGTTAGTACTTTTTACTTCATGATATTGAAACCTGAATAACATTTCAACAATTTTTAACAGTCTATTAAGTGATCTGTATTATGGCACACACAGACTTGCATTGCACAGTTTTGGGATACTACTCTTTTCTGTTCGGCAAACAAAATAGTAAGCTATAAAGAATTCTAGAGAAGAAAATTAAAAGTTGTTTGCTAATCTAGGGGTCATTAACACAACCTTTGTTCTCTTACTATTATGATGTACATGTAATTATATCCATGCTATCACAAATTGATTCAGAAATTCACAACTAAATAAAAGTTTCTGTTCATGACCCCTGTTATATTTTCAGTCGCTCGAAGAGTTCATAAAATTAAGCTTCTGCTTCAATCCCTTTAGTATATCCACCAGTGATATGGTTTTCAAAAATGCACCTCCTTTGGAAAAAAGTGTCTGATAGGTCTTTGTTGGTGATTTACCTGTCCCTAAGTCTTCTTATCATCACTCAATAAAAATATGAGCTATATGTGCGAACTTTCATTTAAATCCATGATTTACTATCTCTGTCATGTTACATGTAGCAATACTTGCCAGTAAAATCATAAACTGGCAAACATCCATGGCTCGAATTTCAACATGAACTGGTGAACTGAAATTTCAAACTGCTCATACATTCTCATTTGATTTAACTCTAGAATTGAGTGAAGTTTACTCCCTTCCTGCATTCCTATACAATTTGGAATGTAATGTTCAAGGCCGGTAAAAACACAACCTCAAGTCCACATTGGTCCACACAAAGATCTATGATATTTTCTTAATAACTTCTTCAGCAGTTTGTGAGGATGTTGCATCAATTGATTGTTCCTTTCGCTGTTGTTTTTCTTTCAATAAATAGTTACAATCATCAATCAGGAAACTGCAAGCAGAACACAAAACACACATTTTACTTCAAATAACTGTCTTTGTTCAATTAATCCATCTCACATTTTTCTCATGATATTATCATAATCATTTCATTATAAAACTCTTTATGTTACTTTTAGGTTATTTTGATTGATTATTACTATGAAGTCCAAAAACTGGACAACATTCGGTGACAATCTCAATGGGAAAATAAAAAGATAAGATTCATACAAGATAATTACATGCAAAATGACACCACCCATCATTTGTTACAGACACCGAATACCGACTGCCAAACACCGTCACAAAAACCATACAAACAGTATGTCACCACTATTGATGGTGACATAAAACTGAGTACCTTTGCCTTACCTGTACCAAATAAAAGGCAATGGAACAGTCCCAGCATGCCATAGAGAATGTGCATCAAAGACCCACCAGATTGGTGGGAAATCTCCAACTTCAAGCAATATGAGCAGGTTAAGAAGTACAATAGAGAGGGCACATTTCCAGACATAGGGTTGCCGCTTCCGCACAACAGCACACCAAATTAACCAACCTATAGAATTCAGCACTCCTGGAATATATGAGTATTAAAATAAATGGTAAACATGCTTGTTGAGTTGGAATACATGTAGTTAAATAACAGTCAGGGGCATGGCAGATTGCTTAGAATCTGGTGAAACTTTAGAAGAGAAATGGTCAATCACAATTGGCATCAGGTTTACATTCCTGCCTTTTAGTTTGTATTGAGTTATTTGTATCAAACTGAGAACTACCTTTTTGTCTCTTTATCTTTTTTTGTTAAAAACAAGGAAGCAAATTTAAGTTAGAGAAAAAAGGATGTCGATGAAGTCAAAACATTGTGTTTCATTTCATGTTACTTTTCTGATGTTTACTTCTGTACGCAGTCATCAACACTTACCAACTGATACAGTTGCTTTAATATTGTAGCCATAGTCAAATTTGACATATGCCAAGTAGTGAACATGCCACACAAAGAAGTAGAAGAGAATCAGTCCACAGATAGATGCTTTCAGGGGTCTCTCTGTACCAAACACTCTAAAAAACAAATATGTACAAGAACTGTTACATTTGTTAATATTATAACAACCCGCGGGTGCCTCTAAGGAGCTGTAATGCTACAAGCCAGATATATACAGACATGAAAAGAGTAGGCTAAATTCAATGCCCCATGCGGGAATTGAATCCAGGACCTTCCACTCAAAAGTATGATGCTCTACCACTCCAGCCAATATAGCTACTATAGCTGTGTTACTTAGCAACTTGAAACCGAGGGTCATTACAACATTTCTACTGTGTGACAATAGGTAGCCTAAGCATTTTGTAGAAACAACAGCTGCTGAGGTATTGAAGTTTGTATTAGTTGCAGCATTGTGAGATGGGAGAGATAAAATGATCAGCTATAACTTTTGTTCATGATTTTAAAGTGGGTGCAAGATGGAAATAAGACCTTTCAAAATCTTAATTCGGTGCACCCACTTGCTTTAATGTTGAAGTCAAGGATGTAATCATATTTGCATTCAAGCATGAAATAGCCTGGGCAAATGCCTTTTTATGGGAAAAAGGTAAAATACATATTCATCAACTGTATGTTTATAGTGTATGAATTTAGTAGTTTTCAATTTATTTTTTCTCATTTTCCTGTATCTTTCCAGTTTACAGGTCAGAATTCTAAAATGTCCTGGTAATCGTACAAGCGATATTTTAGCATTTGGACAACACTGTTATGATATATAACATTCAACTCACCTGCAGGCCAGCATGAAGACAGAGTAAATGACAAGAGAGATGGCACAGAAATAGTCCAGCATCTGAAACACAAGATAACTATTATGTTATACTTGAGGGTTTAATACCGTGGACTCAGTGCATTCTGTGCTGAATCAATCCATTGAAGGCGTTGTTTCCAAATCTTTGCAAAGTTTAGGAAACCACGCCTGAGTGGAATGAAGCAGCCACAATGCATTGAGTCTTGAAATTAAATTATTTTTACACGTTGTGAAACCTTTTACAAGTGTCAAGTTGGCAAATTATCAATTTTAATCTGGAGAGTCAAGTTGTCACCTTGACAACTATTTAACAAGTGACCTTGGATGCAGTGATTGGTGATAAAATGCACTGCAGCAAATTGTGAAATACTGTGTTCGGATTGGCTGGTATCGGACACACCTTGCCTAGCTATGTGCAAGTATACTCATTTACGATTTTCCCTATCTTATCCATAACAGTTTATTGATTCTGCCCCCCCCTCCCAACTCAAAAAGTCAATCATACCTCTGTTATCCTAGTGTCCCTGGTGTGGAAGACAGAAGACCAGACCCAGGCATTCACAGACACCTACAAGTTAAAATACAATTCTATTAGATACAGAATAACAGATTATCGCAAAGTGTTTACCCATGCCTTGCAAGGCAAATTAGAAAAGAATTTATAAGAAAATAAATACATGTACATGTATGTATCATCATTTTACGACTAACAATATTAATGGCAAGCATTTAGGCTATAAACAAAATCAATTTGATGTTGTCTTGTAAAATTGTTTGAAAAAGAATCATAGAATATGGTAATATGGTTAATGAAAAAATTGCTCTTTTTATTTATTTCTATTTCTTTTGTATTTTAACATAAAAGACTGACTCAATCAAGAGCTAAAACAATGGGGAATCCAAATAGTTTGAGTCATACTAGGAACCATCTCAAAACTGTCTCACTGAATTCTACAGTTAACCATTTTTCAACTACTACACAACCTCTGTGTTTATGAAAAACATTTTGAAAGTGGGATTTTTTTCTGGATTAAAAAAGGACTACTGAAAAATATTTTTATTTCAGTAAACAAGATTACCATTTATCACTCACAATACACCCTAAATGTAGAATTTAGTATGAAATATTATGAGATAGCACCATACATACATGTGCAGTGTAGTACAGTCTAACTATTAAGTCAGGGACATTTTTATACTATTTAAGAGGTCATTCTTAACTATAGGAAGCACTTACTACATTTCCCACATGAACTATATTATATAATGGAGCTTTGTCTTCCACCTTTTTACGATACCACCAGAGATTGTAGATGAGAGTGATTGCATTGAGGATTGAAAATACAACTGAAGCAGGTTCTTGAATGCCATAACATCTTGTGAATGGCCACTGAAAAACAGGGATGCCTGTCTTAAATTAATTCAAAATGGTTTGTGCAATGGTGTATTTAAGCATGAGTAACTTTGAACTGATAGGAGAGGAGTACATGATAGAATCTGTAGCCCAACTTTCACTAGTCAAACTTTGGTATCTTCATGGATGCATCTTGTGAATAGCCACTGAAAAACAGGGATGTCTTAACATGGATGTAAAATTGATGTAATATTGGGGATAAATGGGGGAATTGGTATAAATATTAGGGATCCCATGATAACACAATGGTACAAGCAACAATATTTACTTTATGTTATGATACAAAAGACACAAGCTGTATTCTAGGTACAGTTTGAATCAAATACACTTGCACTGTGCTTGAACAATGGGACTTCCTAACCAGAACAATGGCAACGCCAAAGCGTAGCGAATCCCATCGAACATTTTTCAAAAGGGGCACCTTCTACCAAAAGTGTCATTAGACAGTGTGCCATGCTTATAATACTCACATACCAAATATGAACAAAATCGCTCTACTACTTTTCGAGTTATAGTAAAATACGTTAAAATGGTGGCCATTTTGAAAAATGGCCGCCTTCTACCAAAAGTCTCATTAGACAGTGTGCCATGCTTATAGTATTCACATACCAAATATGAACAAAATCGCTCCACTACTTTTCGAGTTATAGCAAAATACGTTAAAATGGCGGCCATTTTAACAAATTGCCGCCTTCTACCAAAAGTGTCAATAGACAGTGTGCCATGCTTATACGTATTCACGTACCAAATATGAACAAAATCGCTCCACTACTTTTCGAGTTAAAGTAAAATAATGTAAAAATGGCAGCCATTTTTCAAAATGTCCGTCATTTTTCAAAATGGCCGCCTTGTACCAAAAGTTTCATTAGACAATGCCATGCTTACAGTATTCACATACCGAATATGAACAAAATCGCTCCACTACTTTTGGAGTTATAGTAAAATACGTTAAAATGGCGGCCATTTTGAAAAATGGCCGCCTTCTACCAAAAGTCTCATTAGACAGTGTGCCATGCTTATAGTATTCACATACCAAATATGAACAAAATCGCTCCACTACTTTTCGAGTTATAGCAAAATACGTTAAAATGGCGGCCATTTTAAAAAATGGCCGCCTTCTACCAAAAGTGTCATTAGACAGTGTGCCATGCTTATCCTTATTCACATACCAAATATGAACAAAATCGGTCCACTTCTTTTCGAGTTTTAGTAAAATAAGTTAAAATGGCCGCCTTCTACCAAAAGTGTCATTAGACAGTGTGCCATGCTTATAGTATTCACATACCAAATATGAACAAAATCGATCCACTACTTTTCGAGTTACAGCAAAAATCGTAAAATAACGAGTAATGGCCGCCATTTTTCAAGATGGCTGCCATGTGCTTTTTTAATATCTACATTTCTAGCTTTATTAATGTCCTATATACATGATATATTTTTTTTACATTTAAAACATATTGCTATTATAGTTTTACATATTGCACCTAAATTACTGTAAAATCGGCACTAAAATGGCCGCCATTTTTAAATGAGCGGCCATTTTGAAAATCGGCTTTCGAGCAGAACTTCTACCCCCATAAGGTATGAGTACCGTAATCCAACACCAAATTCGAAAATTCATAACAATACTTTGCACATATGGCGTTCGTGACCAACTATAAAACGCTTACCCCCCATAGTGTTATATATCAAAATGTACCTGTTCATATAGGGGTTCGATTGATCTACATCAAATTATAGGGAGTCAGGTTACTTTTTGAGATATCAGCGTCCATTTATTGTGACTCGCGTTTGCTACCACTTCCTCAATTCTGATATGATGGGCAAACGCGTAGTAAACATGCTCACGTCGGAACTATTTTTGACATACATCGCTATTTTCGTAATTCAAATGAAAGTTGAACTCCTCCTCTTTATTTTGATACCAAATAGTGGCATACTAGGTACCCTAGAAGCCAACTATGGCGTTATTTAGAACAAAACCACAAGTTTTTAAATGGACTATATAGGGGTCATACCTTTTGGCGGATGGATATGGAACCTCATACCATAAGGTATATGTGTACAAAATATGAATAAAATCGGGCCAACGGTATTTGAGTTATTGCCCGGACGGACGGACGTACGTACGGACGGACGTACGTACGTATGTACGGACGGACGGAGGCGTTCCCTATATCCCTCCGAACTTCGTTCGATGGGATAATAAATACATACAAATAGTATAAAGCATTAAAGCAATGCCCATAAATATAAGAGGGTGGCAAGTTGAGATTAAATAACTTACAACTAACTGGTAATAGGGAATAAAGGCAAGAGGGATATGTCATCAATACCTTTTTTCTACCCACTCACTCACCAAGGAATATGACTGCCACACATAATACAAAGGAGCAGAGTTAGGTACATGTTTCCTAAATATTGGAACATTAATTATATGGCTCAGTCCATTCAACATTGAGAATAGTGTAGACATAGGTTCCTGTACTCCCAATAGCCTGATAAAAGGCCACTATTAAAATGAAAATAAATATTAATACACATGCATTTCATGCCAGCTTTCATCAATAGGCCCGAAATGTTCAATTTTGATCTAATAATATACAAATATCAACAAATAATTGCAACCTTTAAAATTACTTTTTCACGATGTATCATTTTTTGGGGGAGCCTCTTGGGTCATAACTTTTGAGTTCTTTATAGAGGAAAGCTTGCTGTAGTGAATACTGGCAGCTAGAACTTAGAGAACATTAGACATTTACATTTATTCTGGCATTTCAACTTGGCAGACAATGGGTGCATAAATTCAAATTAGAATAAAATGTAAAAATACAATGATACAAAACAATACCAAACAATGCATTTGGCCCTTTCAGAGGCCATTATAAATAAAGGCAATCTTTCTCACATATTAATGATAAAGCAATGAAGTATATGACTGAGACTAGATATGTTTAACATTAACTGACAAAATGACCTGACCAAGACTTGGTTATAATTACAAAAGGGTGACCAGTTGTTACAGATGTTGATGGCAGAATGCTGTTACAGAAACTGCTACTTAGCCATGATAAATGTTGCCTGTAATGACGTGATAAACTATGACTTACCTTTCCATGAAATTGTGGAATTGGCCAACCTCTATCCTTGAAAAATTCAACAGTTGGCCACATGCACTGGTATTTACAATCATCCACACAGTTCCATTTTAACCATCTCATATAGAATGGTAATTTGTTCTCATATTTTATGTCAGATATGCCGCATAATCGTGTTCGACAGGTTGCCAAACATTCAATAAACGGTTGTGAATTATCACCCACTGATCCTGATACAGTTTCTATCTGCATAAAAGTGACCAACAGACTCAGTGTTACTATGGAAATGTATGTAATGGTCGGGATGTTATACTGCATTGTCATAATCTCTGAAACATAAAATATGCCTATGCAAAAATTGTGAAGAACATGTATGAAACTTTTCAAATGGGAAGTCTAATTGTATGTGGGGCCCTCCTTCAGAGGAAAATGTTCATAGAAAGTATCAACATCTTGTTTTGAGGAGGGTCTATCAAGATACTGCAAGATATAAATTTTACTCAGATTAGATCCTTAACATTAGTATAATGACAACATGCTGTGTTACTTTTTATAGCATTTAATTGTAGCTTACTACTTAATTGAATTGTTATAATGTTTATTTTTGGGAAGTGAAGCTTCCTAAAATTGATAGTTTTGTGCACAAAATTTCCTGTTTTTCCCACAGGAGGGACATGATGATCAATAGACTGAATTCTCAGGATATTCAGTCTATTGGATGCAGCTCTCATTTTGTGAAGTTCTTTAAAGCATGACATGACCATGACGATGGCTATATTAAATTACATTTAGCAGCATGCGAATACTGTAATGAAAGATTTCATCGTTTAACTACCTTAAATATGTAAATCTAGACTACTATACATGTACATGGTACTCACTGAACTCCAATGCAGTGTCTCCGTATAGACACTGCGGCGGGCAGATGAAGCAAATCCCCAAAATTTGGGGAAAATAGTTCCCCTTTTCATCGCATATGTGGTCAATTTTCACACAACTTATAAAATATGTATTCATGAATGTTCCCCAAACATTATTTTGTCAAAATATTTCAAAATTATTGAAATATGAGAAGAAATCACCGCGGAAGGAATTCTGAGTAAAAGTTTTGTTGATAATAGTTTACCGCACGTGTTGTTTATAGTTAATACGCGTAATTCAACCAATGAAATTGTCTAAATTTTACAATCACGCGACCTGAGCATGGGACTAGAACCAATCACGTCAGTTGTTTATTACGAAGTTACCATGCTTACGGTGAGATACCTGCCCGCCGCAGTGATATATCACTGCACGGGAGTTCGGGTACTCACATAAATTGATACGTAAAATTTTAGATTAATTTACTCATAATTCATTTCGGCAAACTATAATTCTAATCTCATACAAGAATGTGAACACTGTCGCATCAGGCTTTAAAATTACCACGGTGATGACAGGCCTTGCAACCATTGTCACGGCACATGCTATCTATTGCAAGACTAACGCCTGGTGTAACCGTCACCATGTTATTCGGTGTTTTTTAAGTAGTGCAAGGATCCTGCCATGACCGTGGCAGTGTTATTTTGTAAGCCTGGTATAACCGTGACAACGCTGTATTATATTGCAAGGCCTGTCATGACCATGAGTGTTATCGTGGAAGCCTGGCGCAGCCGTAGCCTTTACGTTTAATTTAAGAATTTTTTATTGTTGTTTGTTAAGCGATTTGTTTACTATCCACTTTTAAATATTTGTATATTTGTATATTTTACCAGAGACATTATATGTCTCTGTCTTTATGAATGTTGACCCAAGCTGCCCATGACCGTGATAATGTTAAAGCCCCGTATGACCGTGACAATGGTTGCAAGGCCTGTCATGACCGTGGTAATGTTAAAGCCTAATATGACCGTGACAATGCTTATAAGGCCTGTCATGACCGTGGTAATGTTAAAGCCTGATATGACCGTTACAATGCTTGCAAGGCCTGTCATAACCGTGAAAATGCTATATTATATTGCAAGGCCTGTCATGACCGTGGTAATGTTAAAGCCTCGTATGACCGTGACAATAGTTCCAAGGCCTCTCATGACCGTGGTTGTATTTAAAGTAGCATGAGAATACTGTAATGACAATTTTTCTTCGTCTTTAACTACCTTAAATTTGTAAATAAAGACTACTAAAAATGTGTATTAATTTCACAACGAAAACCTAATTTTTACTCATAAATAATTTGCGAACAAACTATATCTCTACTCTCATTCAAGGAGCTTCGATTCGAAAGCATATACTTTCTATAATGATCAATTAATAAGATTTATCCATAAAAAATACCAACAGCAATGGGCGAAACATGAAGGTCATTAATGTCATATAAAGGTTGCGGTCACGCCAGGCTTACACGATTACACTACCACGGTCATGGCAGGCATTTTAATATAATACAGCATTGTCGCGGTTATACCAGGCTTTCACGATAACATTACCACGGTCATGGCAGGATCCTTGCGCTACTTAAAAAACACCGAATAACATGGTGACGGTTACGCCAGGCGTTAGTCTTGCAACAGATAGGGTCTCTGTCACGGTCATATGATGACATCTGACATTGTCAAGGTTATACCAGGCTTTCACGATGACACGGTCATGGCAGGATCCTTGTGCAACTTAAAAACAAAAAATAACAAGATGATGGCCAGTCTTGCAACAGATAGGCCTACTAGGGTCTCTTTGAACTTGAGCTGAGCAGTGAGCAGTGTGAGATTGAGTGATTTTTTCATAAATTGCAAGCAGAAACAATGTTTGGGGAAAATGGAGGCATATTTGACATTCACAGGTTAACATATATACAAGACATATAAATATCCTACTAAATAATAACCAAATCACATACAATACCTTTAAATAAGATGAGAAACTATGAATTTATTTCAAAAATTTACTTTGAAGAAGTAGGTCAAAACCGTGTTGAATTGTGGGAAGTTTGAGTATATTCAACTACATCCGATAGAGGGCGCACGTCAATTGGATCGCCATTTTTGGAAAATCTTCAATAAAGTTGTACACACCTTTTATCCGTTTTCCTGATGGTTTAATAACTTTACCCAACAAATATTTAGCAGAAGACCAACACAAACACAAAAATAATTGATTCAGGTAAGTCGATTGTAATATATATACAAACTTTGGACGTTATATGCAGAAAAAGAGACACATTGCTCAATGAAAATTCCTAAAATTTTCTTTTTCATCCTTGGAGGAAGGGAAGCTTTAATTCAACTTCCAGGCAAACCAGTTTACATCTTAAACTCATATTTCGAACGTATATAGTCTAACTCTTACATCTTACAGAATCTGCTTCAAGTTCAGTAGGTCTATGGTTTAGAATGTCTGTAGAATCTAAAGGTTGTTTTATTTTGACACATTTTGATTTCCCTTGCAAGGATAACTACAGTTGGGTTATCCCGTTCCCGGACTATAGTCCTGCACTGAGCGCATTCATTTGCCTGTACGATTACAACTTGGGAGAATTATCTACGCCCCTTACACTTAAGATACCTACCTCAATGCATTATAGAACTCAAGATGTAACTTCTAATATATTGGAACCGCCGATTGTCTGGGTATATCGGCAGAACGGGAACATTTTCTCTTTTTCATCGAGAGAGATTCCATCACTTTTCAAAATGGCGGTTGGATTTAAAAGGGGAATCCCCCGTTTGGCTGTCCCGGATGTAGCCCGGAAGTACCAATATGGAGGAATTTGACGGTTGAAATAAGTTAAATGTTACACGCAAATATTGCGATCAAAAACGAAAATGTCTTCGTTCTGCCGATAAACCCAGACAATTGTGGATTCAACTACACGAAAAGAATGCTAAATTACCAAGGAATCTATTGAAGTAGGTATCTGAAGTGTAGGATGAGTAAAAAATTCTCCCATGTTGTAATCGCACAGGCAAAAGATTGAGATGTTCACAGGACCATAGTCCGGGAACGGGATAACAGTTGGGGACATAAATAAATGACAGGTGGATTTGCTGAAGTGAGGATTTCCCATGTTAAAAATAAGAGAATTTACAAGAGGCCATACATCAGTGGATGAGATTATACAAAATGTAAAATATACAAATTTTAAGGGATATATATCTAAAGAATATTGGAAATTATGGGCTTTCAGACCACCATAATTAGAAAATGGTGATCGAAAATCGACCTGTCATTTATTTTTGTCCCTAACTGTAGTCTACATCTTGTTCATTTGCACTGGTACTGCACTCTTCAAACTAGTTAACAGAACATTCCGTTTTTGCTATCAAAATGTAGAAACTTCAAAGGTATGACTTTTCTTTTTTTCTGATTCTCGACTTGTAAGTCTTAGGCAGAATCTCCACAACATTTTTATCAACATGCGTCAGTACTTACCTTCTTCTAAGGCCATTGTATCGTGGCCTTCGTCCAAACATAAATACCTGCATGTATACGGGTAATGTCGTAATTATAAAATTTGAAACCAAATGTCCGTCATTTTTCCACATCACAATCTGAATTGCGAGATTTGGTCTTATTACCTCACCAAAAATTCCAAAACACACATGAAGTGATCAATGTACTAGTTCACATCTTCCTGATCGCTAGCTTAGAATTTACAGCCAGTTACTAATGTCAGACATTAACAAATTTTCGACCAGTTTTTGAATATCACCATTTTCCATGGAGCCAATTGTTTTAATTTCAGACGAAATCCTGACAAAATCATGCAATATCTCATCAAGGAGCCCGGCTGGTCCCATTTTGATTAATGATTTATTTATCTGTCGATTTTTAAAATATTTGATAAATTTATGACACACCGGCCATCTTTTTTCAAATGGCCTTCATGGTGTTCCAGATGAAATTACTTCTAGCCAAGAATTGGCTAGAGACTCCAGTAAGGCAGTTCCATATTTTAAAAAAAAATCTTCACCTTTGTGAACAAACACTTCAGAAGACAACAGAATTGTCAATATAACACCTCCCTATTATAACTTATACTGAACCGTGCTAAAAGTTTGAAGGTACAGAATGCAGTACCAGTGATTTGGTTTTGATTCCAGTTCAGGAAACAAAGACCTCCATCTTCATATATGGTTGAAATCAAAAGTTCTCTGTAAATGTCCAAGTTACTCAGTTCAGGTGTAGACGTTCAATTAGGCTGTGACTAAAAAAAAACTGAAAAATGAGCAACTAAATTAAAAAAACACTTTGCTTCTGGTTTGGCTGCTGTTGTTTTAGAAGTTAATATAATATTTGTCAAAAAGTGATCAGTATATTCATAAACTGAATTTAGTCTTTGTAACAAGTACCCTTTCAGAATATATATTTTGTACAAGATTGTAACCCAGTCAAATAACTACTAAACTAAATGAAACCTTATAAAACAAGGTGCAATAAATAAGAAGTTGGTTACAAGACAACTGACTACATTGGCTATTTTTTCGTACGCTCATGACTATTTTAAAATTTCAAATGCTGACTTTGGCTCTGGATCACAGTTTAATTATGCCTTCATTATAAGTCATTGTTGTTATTGTCTGAATGAAAATATTTTTTGAGGCTAAAATTATTGAATAGCAATACAGGGAATGTATTAAACATGTAGATAAACTATGGTCACATTTTAAAAAGGTACTTGCTCCTTCATAAAAAGGACAAGTCACTTAGGGTTATAACATTAACCAGACATGCAAGCTGTTTGGCATATTCTCTACATAGCCTCTAATCAGAAGGCTCAACTGGTGATTTCTTCATGTCTATCAATGTGGTCAGATCCCTTAGAAACCCTTCCTCAAATATCTTGTTTTATTTTGTTCCAAACAGGAGTTATATTGTGTGTAAGCATAATTATGTATATCCAGCTGAAACTTGGTTCTCAAATTAAAATTTCAATATTTTTGTAATATTGTAAGGTTGCCAATGCAAATGTAAATTTTCAAGTTATAAGGGAGTAATACAAACAAGTTCTGCATTGGCCAAGTGGATATGACCTTATGCCTCTGTGCTGTCTGTACAGGCATTTTAACTTTTGGCCATGAAACATCTGGCATATAACAAAGAAACTCAGTTTTAGTATATTCTTAAGCATCTTATTCCCCCCCCCCCTGGGTCTTATTCACGCCTTATCTATAAGAAAAATGGTCATATGACCATTCCATCTTATAGTCTTGCATCAAGGATATAGTGCCCCAAATATCTCTACCATAGGTATGCATTTTCGAGGAGTATACAAGGGCTTGGTTCAAGACTATAGTTTTCTCTGATTGGGATAGACCAGAAACTACAGTAATTTTATAGAAGTAGTTTTGCAATAATACTTCATCTCAGATGTGAGGTTTAAAGGGGAGGATGGTTAGTAAGTTTCAAGGGCTTGAAGCAAGAGTTCTATATAAGCTGTGATGCTGTAACATTATACATATTGTAGACATTCTGGAAATCTTCAGATCCATATACTATAGTATACCACCCTATAGGCCTATATGCTATGAAAGTTATTTTGGTCAGCATGATTAGAGCCTTACTTTGAAACTGTGGGTTCTCTTTGGATGCTGAAGGTATTAACCCTAAAGTGGAAAGTTGCCTTGCATTTGTTAGTTTAAACTCACAGTTTACTTCCTCAAACACATTCAGGAAATGATAGAAACAGTTAAGATAGTTGAGAGACTCAAGTTCAAAGACTCCTTCTATGCTATAATATGTTTTCATGTGTATTTTAAATGAATTCAGACTAAAGGTAGACCTGATATTGAAATAACTGTTACGTAGCAGGGTAAAATTGCTTTGTTTCGAAGCATTTTAACAAAAAGTAATGAAGGATTTTATGTTAAAAATCCTCAATTTCAAAGCTTTTTTTGTCAAAATGCTTCATAATGAAGCAATTAAACCTGCTGTTATGCAACTCTAAATAGTGTCTTCTCTATGGAGACCAGCCAGTGTGACCATTTTCAAAGTAAATACTTGCAGTTTGTTCATCCTGGTAGCCAATTTAAATGTTGTATAAAGTTGGCATGGAGTATAGATAGAAAAGTAATGATTGAATTAAATGCCAGTTAATATGGATTCCCTAAGGTCACGATAATAAATATTTGGAAGGACATTACATTTGAAAATATCTCCTCAGTAAATGTGTTTTGCAAAGATAAAACATATCCTATTTCCAAACATGCATTTATTGTCAAGGAAGACACAGTAGTCTATTGGAATTAGATTTATCTTTATTGTTTTCCTTTCAGCAGATCCAGAAGCCAGTACCCTTTCCAGTTGTTTGGTTTTGCTTCTTTAGATCTAATTACTAGACTCTGAGAATCAGTGTAAGAAGCAAGGGAATATATTGAACTTGAATAGGAACCATTATAGGCATTTAGATTGATAAGTGAACTGTATATAGACATGATAGATAAGCTTATGTACCAATACTGTATAGTATGCATTAGCTTTTGGAGCATCCTTAACACAGGCTGGTATCGAAAAATTTGTTTGCTGTGACGGAGCCTGCTATTTTGCATAGACACACTAAGAAACCCACACAATTCATTTTAACCCGCAAATGATATATCCATTGCATGGAGTAAGAAATTTTCTTTGGTATAGCAAAACATATGAGTAAAAAATAAATTGTGTGGATTTCCTCGTGTTTCTATGCAAAATAACACGCTCCGTCACAGCAAACAAATTTTTGATACCAGCCTGTGCTTAAGATACAAATGTTTTGGGTTTTCTTAAAGAAAGGTAGAATTCTGTACCAAGGAGTTCTTTTATCAAAACATTCTCATTGCATGTATAGAAATGGAATTCTTCCCTGATGATCTAATATTTGTTCCTGTATTGTGTAATGTATGGTCATCTTATAGAATCTGTAAACTGTAAGATTTAAGATCACATTACCAGACCAGCTGTTAATCCATACTGCTTGTTATTCCCATGTAGATAATGTGTCTGCCATTTTAAATGAAAAAGAAGAAACTAATGAGAGGATTAGGGAATACTTGATGGCAAAGTAACGATTTCCACTCAGTGCTCGGATTTATATACAAATATATGACAAGCAAACACTAAATTCAGTCCACAGAACATGGGGAAGTAAACTTGCTAGCTTTCTCAAAATGTTGAATAGAGGAATTTGATATGATGCAAGGAAAAGTGCTTGTTATCTCTCACCACAAGAGCAATATACCATCCCATATCCTAGTAAATACATGATAATACATGTACTCACATTTTTGTCTTTCCATACATTTAAAGGAAGCTAAGAAGCAAGTAGATAGGGAAAATAACCAATAAAGGTAGAAACTTACTATCAACAAATCAGACTGTTCTGGTAGTTTGGTTTGGAGAGAAGGTCATTGGTTTGGGAAATTCAAGTCATTTGATTTTTAAGCTAATTACCAGAGGTGGATCTTTGATATTAAATTGGGAGATAGGCAGGCATAATTCTCAGCATTGACTGGGATTAGCATACAAATATGACAGATACTGATATCAGTCAGATGATCTAAGGATAAGTTGAGGTCTATAGTAAAGATTCTTGAAATTATCACAATCATTTTTAGACAGGAAACTTGGCATGTGTATCATATCATTGTAAACACCTACTCATTTCTAACACTACATCGGTCAACCTCCAGATCTGCCACTGTAAAGCAGGGAAATAGGAAATGCAAATGTGAATAGTAAATAAATAAATAGTATGACCATGTATATTGTGAATTTATTTCACGAAATAGGTATTGCTAGTTCCGGCATTTTATTCTAGCTATTTATTCACGGTGTATAACCCAAACGCTCCTACATGCACGACGGAGCGTTTCATTTACGCGGAAACGCTCCGGAGCGAAATAAAATGGCGGCTCATGAAGATTCCACTATGACCGTAAGTATTGTTTCTCTCGTCTCTCTTACATATCATATGTTATGGTGAAATATTATGTACCATTCGATGAACAATACCGTGAGCAAAGATCTTATTTATTCAACTTCTGGTGGTAAACTGTTATTTGCTTGATCAAAGCTCCGAAGTGTAGATCGAACGAATCTGAAGATGACGATTTGACCACAAATTACGAATTAAACTAGTATTTCTATGAAAACGTTACTCTTTCTGTTAAAGTAGTAGATCACAAACTCATATATTCTCATTTCCTAAAATCCCAGTCCAAATCCATTACTTGTTCTCAAGAAATCGCTTGTTTTCCTCGAAACGCTCCGTCGATTTAGAACACAATTTTAGAAACGCTCTTACCATTTTGTTTTGATATCATTTTCAGATTATTAGAGAAGAGTTCCGAATCGAATCTATCTCTCAAAAACGTGTTGTACTTGTTAGGCAAATTGAAACATCTGAACCTGGTGGTGCTAAACGTGCAAGTAGCTGGTTTAAGCCTACATTAGATGATGTCTTGCCTACATGTGTGCTAAATCATAAAACTATAGAAAAAACGAAAATTTATATGTGAATTAATTTTTCTTCTTTTGATGCCAAGGGGTATAATAGATCTTTTCTTTCTCTTCCTGAAAAGGAAAGGCAAGCTATAGATTTCCTAAACAGATCTAGATTACCGGAGCGTTTCCAGTTCACTGTGTTAACCACGTCGGAGCGTTTCTTGAATATGAGAATGTCATCATTTTTAAGACTGGATTTTCAGTCATCAAATCACTATAACGACAATGTATGGTGCGTTGAAGCATTGGAATTTGACTAAAATATACGTTGGTGCTCTAATCTTGGCTCAACTTATCACATGTATCGACAAAAGGGGTTTTGACCGGTAGAATGACAAATACGTTTTTGGATTTTGATAACTATACTGCTTCGTACAGCTCTTCCTAATTGCTTCAAACGTCAACAGCCAGCCAAGTACAACATGAATATCACACCCATCGAATGGTATGCTCGAAATATGTAACTCATACCTCTTATTCCCATTATTGGGGAAATCGTCAGACGGCTCATCATTCCCGCCAGCCAGTTTTCCTACTCCGGAGCGTTTCTTTGTTTAATTTCAGTGATGAAACGCTCCATCGTGCATGTAGGAGCGTTTGGGTTATACACCGTGTTATTCATACCAAAAAAATATATGACAAGAGAACATGAATTATGACTTGTTGCTTTTAAGTGTTAAGACATACAAGTGAATGAGTGGATCAGCAAGAATGACTAACTACAACTTCCTATTAAACCGGTGAATTACTTCCAAAGTTCATTTTTCTCTTCAAATATCATTTTTGTTTTTTTAACATTTGAGTGTTTGACAGTTAAATACTTGAGAATTGAAAGGCAGTTAAACCTTTTAACATTAAGATATGTCGAAGTAATCTCACCAGTGTTAAATCAAGGGGGTGCCATATTCACTTCAGATTTTGCACCCATTTAATAGTACACTTCTACATAGTACAGTATACTTGAAAAAGAGAAAAGTTATGAAAACCAATAACACTTTTTGGCACTCATGGAGAACGCCATATACAGGTTTTTCTGTATGTTATTTTGTTGAAAGAATTTCAAAACTTTGTGTTTGTACGGAAATTAAGTTTAGTGTATAGTGATGTCAAGATGACATCTTAATTGTTTTGAAAGTATGAGGGGGTGGCATTTACATAGAAAGAGGCATTTATTCTATTGATATCACTTAATTGTATTGATATCACTTGTCAGCAAGTTATACAGGAGATAAAAAAGGTATCTTTCTCAATTTATTCTTAAATATTTTTTATTTAAACACACTAATGCTAATTGACATTTATTTCAATGCCTGTTTTCTTCGATGAATTGAGTCCCTTGACTTGACTTTATTATGATCGATTCAGAAATGATTTTCATCTACAGCTTTTACAAAATATGAATTTTATAATGAAATTTGAGGACATATCAGAAGCAGGACTTAAAAAACATGAAAAACTTGAAAAACATTAATTATTTAAAAGCATCTTTGGGTTCTCAGATCAAATGCCTGTTTCACCAACATTAGCTGGGCCATCCGAGGGAGAGTGAGAGGGGGGGGGGGGGTGAATTGGGAATGAATGCAAGACTCAAGATTGTTAAAGGCCCCATATAAAGTTTAAACCACTTTGGCTTATATTGTAGTCTTACCCAATGTTATCAAAGTGTGATATGTGAAACTTTTTTTTTAAATTTCAAAAAGGGTTTTTTGATAGACTTTTTGTTCCAAAATTTATGAATTTATTTAAAACCAACTTTTAGAGGTCACTCATATCTTCTAATTAGCCACAATTCAAACCAATGCATAGCATTCATCCTCCCATGTTTTTTGCCGAAAAAATTAAGAAAATCGGTTCATAAATAAGCGAGAAATGAACTTATCAGTGCATGAAAATGGTTCTGAGAAAAATGCATTTCAAAATTTTAGTTCTCATAGAAACCAATGATACAATGATATCTAAAACATAATTTATTCTTCCTTTTAACCTGGTTAGACAATCAACATTGTTTTTTAATGAAAGTCTAACACATTTAGAAAAGATTGACATAGTCAAAAAGTTTTTGGTACCTTAGTGACATCACTAATGTTTCAAAATATTTTTGATACGCTAAAACATTGAAATGGCCCATTAAATATGGCATTTTATTATTGAAATAGTGTGTCCTTTGTTCAATCTTTGCATTGGTGTTAAAAAGATAATCTTTTTTGAAATGCATTAAGAAATATTTGATGATTAAGAAATTTCAACTTTTTTTGAAAAATGGCAGGAAATTTGAATATTTGAGAAATGAGATGCTCATAACTTTTTTTTCAAAAATTTTTTTTTGTTCAAAAAGCTCTAAAATCACTTTAAGTCCTGACAAATAGTAAATGAATGATAAAAAAATATTTTCAAACTTTAGACGGGGACTTTAAACTACATCTAAACCTTATGTGTACATTTTGGATTTCCAAGGTAAAAATTGAAGTTTTCATTAGGCTAAATTGTATTTTGGGACATGCTTTTGATGGTACAATATACTACTTAAAAGACATTTCATAATATTTATTGAAGAAAAATGGAAACATTGGATAGTGTGGACAAAATAGTATGTAGATCACTGAAGAGGGATATGTCAAAATATATGAAAAACTTTCAGTTGATGAAATTGATCAAGTCTGTTGACCTGGGAAGCACCTCTAGCTTCCTCTATGTGGATAAACATATTTGAATCACTTCAGATGATTTGTTATCTTAGCCAGTAGTGAGGAAGGTAAGGTCTGTTATTCACTGAATTCTATGTGGCCTTTCTCTCATAGGAATTCCCTACAGTTTTTGAGTGAATCTTTAATAGAGGAACAATTTCTTTGTGAAAATATTTTAGCTAAAATTGTTCTGCTTTTCTGAAGATTTAAGCCCGATCTTGTCTTATTTTTACTAAAAAGGTTAATTGCATTTCAACGATAGTTGTTCTGATATACCTATGGTATGAGGTTATTTCAACTTTAGTATTTTGTATCCCTAACTAGTAAACATGACCTTATCAGATTTATCTGTGCTGTGCTTTACCCCTGACTCAGAAGCAAAGATGATGCTATAGCTAAGACTGAGTGTGTTCTATATAATCTGTTACATCTGATCATAACACATGGATTACACATGGATTTCTCTTCAACTGAACACTAGAGTGCAGTGAGTCTAGCACAGATCATCAACTCTGAATGAATCAATCTCTAATCATAATCTCACCAGGAACAAAGCAGCCAGAGTCTCAGTGGAGTTAAAAGCATTCAGTAATTTTAGTGGAATTTCTACAATATACGGAGTAGTAGAGCGAGGCAGTACATAGAGTAAGTTGATAACTAAGTTTACAAAGATTAATTTACCTATATAGAATGAAGAAATTGACTAAGTTGAGTTTGATATTGCTTCTTAAAAGAGAGCTTCATCAGCTTCATTGATACTCAGAGTACATGGAATGTGGTAATGAGTATAACTTCTCAAAGGCCTCTCAAGTTTTGCACATACTCAAAGAACTTTTCTTGCTAGGAGCCAATTCACAGAAGGAGGAATTAGAGGAGGAATTATATGACAAATTAGGATTTCATATGTGATTTGCTGACTGAAAAATGTGAATTTGAAATATATTGGGATTACATATATTTGTACATACAAATATACAATATATATTCATCTTATACAAGGGAAAAGGATGTTAAAACTTCAATCTTATGTATAGATGATCTCACTGCTTTGGGTGTTTGAAATATATTTCATTGTAAATCAGTATTCTTTCCTTAAACTGTAAGTGAAACGAATCGAGTGAGTGAGGGGGTTCTCTCCCCAGAAAATTACGAAAATTACATCATTAGGTGCATTCTGACCAATTTCAGAGCGTAGGTCCAATTCCCCCACATACCCCCAACTACCCCCTCTAGATAATAGCAGGACAGCTGTCATATAGACGGCATCCTGTTGAAGGCACAAAATATGTATTGGAAAATGTGGAAATGGAAAAATTGGTTCACAAGAGTAAGATTTCATCAAATCGTCTGGCTACCATAATAATTCTAATGAAAGGATATGGTAAAGACTGCTTCATTAAACATTTTTATGCTGGATTATATAGTATATACATGTACATGGATTATCAGTATATCTGGCTACTTAGATTATCCTTAATATAAACTATTAATTGATTCCTAGAGATATTTGTTATTGGACCTCCTGGAGGGACCAGGATCCTAGGTTTGGGATACACTCAGCTAAATTCTTGGGGAGAGGATTTAGTGTGAAATGTTAAACAAATGGGTATAAGGAATCTTGTAAAATAGTTCTTCATGAAAAACCTTACCCTTGATGCTCTAGGATGCTCAAAACCTCATCACATGTCTGTATATACAGCCAATCAGAACAATGAATTTATGGATAATCCGAATATCCTCTAAGACTTGATGAGCAGAGTCAATATTATTTTAAGTGCAATAAGGAATCAATCTGCTAAGTAAATAGTTTAATGTGTCATATGAAATATATAAATTATGAAATATAAGGATTATAATCAGGAAGTTAGGATTGGACAATTTGGATAATCGGAATTGTCTGACTACAAAAATTGCTATTTGTAAGTGCAGGAATCAATTTGTGCTGTGTTGTTGAAAATTAGTAATTTTTGGGACATATTTGATGCCCTTACAAACCACTATAATGGGAACACTACCAGAATGTTTGAATAAGAGAATGTGAACCCACCATAAGGATACTTCTAAGTGACCACTAAGATTGATACAGAGATATGGAGGATGGTTACTTTTTTCCAAGATGTGATAGTAATTTCTGAAAAGAGGTGCATGCTCAAGCACAGTGCAAGGGGTCTATTTCAATAGTAGTGCATTCCTCAAGACTATGGCTGTCATCTGAGGGTTCATGAAGCTTGTAGAGAGAGATCCATTTCCTTATGAGGGTATCAGTTGCAAGAAAAACCATAAAACTGAAATGAAGTCCAAGTGCTTTGGATACAAGATAGTATTGTTCTACAATTGAAGATTTATAGAGACATATGTTGTTGTTTTTTGTATGACAATGAACTGTCAGTTTGGTGCACTTTCCTTAAAACTTATCAATTTCTCTATTCTCCATTCATTTACGAGCTCTATTTATCATTAGGTGTTCTTCTTGGTTTTTTCTTGCCTTGGTACAAGCTATTTTACTATTTCTGTTCCATTATTTTCTAAATTCTGTGTATAGACTGTTGTTTCTACAATAGAGAAGTTTGCAGCTGTTATTAACTGCATTATCCTGGGGATTTGCATAATACTGAATATTGTTGTCTACATTGTTATTTATTTATCCCAGTCCATAGCTCAGGCCTCATAGACTTCCACCAACCCGAACATCAAGGAACCTAGTGGAAGGTCTAGGAGGCATGTAGCTTAAACTAGTATGCTCAACTCATGAATAAGTACCTGATCTTTCATTTGACACCAAAATAGCTCAAACAGGCCACATCAGACTTGACACTAGTTCATGAAAAAATATTTTTGATCCATCAATTTCATATGTGTCAAGTTTTTAGCAATGCCATAGAAAGATGGCATTGTTGTTTGCATTGATTATCCATTCATTTTTGATAGGATTTTCAAGCATACGCCATCTTTTAATCCAAGAGTTATTTAAAACATACATTTTGTGAAAAGTGGTAATTCACTTTTTTCAATCTCTGAACTTCTAATGCCGTTTTCTATGCGAATAATTTTTTTTTCACTTCAGTATTATCCCAAATTAAAGTTTTTTATCATATTTGATTGACTGTGTGAGTGACATGTCTCAAATAATATCTTGTCCCTTTTCCTTCAAAAATAGGCGCATTGCCTGTTTAATTTTAATTTACAAAATTTATACTCTTGTCAAAAGATGATCAAACTGTCAGAGGGGGTTTATACCCCTAAATTGCAATCGATGCTAGGCATTAATTTCTTGTCAATTCCATATCTCTTGGAATGACAGATAAAGCATTGAAGTTAAACCATTATATCCTCATAAAGTAGAATAGGATTCGCAGATCTTAGATCTTGTCAAATAAATGACTTTTTATGATAGACAAAGAAAGAAAGGATCTAGGGAATGAGACTAATGGTACAAAAGTAATGAATATGAATTTTTGTTTTCAGATTAAAACCACAATGAAGGTCCGAATTCTCCTTATAGGCTTATATGCACTCATTACAGTCACTTTCATTTATGCTCAAAGTAAGTACTGTATTTCATATGTAGTTTGACTGAATTTATTCTGAGAGCAAAATGAGTATTAAGATTGCCTCGAAAACTGTGTTTAAAAAAGTACACTAAAAATATATGCAAATGTCTGGATGGTTGCCTATATAAAATTAATCAATCATTAGATGTGGAAGATGATTCTCAGATAATACAAGTTGTGAGTCCTGTTATAAGTATATGTAGACTTGAACTCTGTATGATTAAAATAGAACTATAAAGCTACAATATATGTTGAAGAGAGATGACAAGGATATTGTAATATACAGCTATGCTTTCATTTGTATTCATGTTCCCATAAGTCAACTCAGGGCTTGATATCAGACTTATATTATGTTTATATATTGCAGCTATAGCTGAACTATCAGTAAACCCTTGTTCCCAGAAGGCAACTCGGGCTTGATATCATTCTTGTATTATGTTTATATATTGCAGCTATAGCTGAACTATCTGTAAACCCTTGTTCCCAGAAGGCAACTCGCGCTTGATGCCAGACTTATATTATGTTTATATATTGCAGCTATAGCTGAACTATCTGTAAACCCTTGTTCCCAGAAGGCAACTCGCGCTTGATACCATACTTATATTATGTTTATATATTGCCGCTATAGCTGAACTATCTGTAAACCCTTGTTCCCAGAAGGCAACTCGCGCTTGATACCAGACTTATATTATGTTTATATATTGCAGCTATAGCTGAACTATCAGTAAACTCATGATCCCATAAGGCAACTCAGGGCTTGATACCATACTTATATTGTGTTTATATATTGCAGCTATAGCTGAACTATCAGTAAACTCATGATCCCATAAGGCAACTCAGGGCTTGATACCAGACTTATATTATGTTTATATATTGCAGCTATAGCTGAACTATCAGTAAACTCATGATCCCATAAGGCAACTCAGGGTTTGATACCAGACTTGTATTATGTTTATATATTGCAGCTATAGCTGAATTATCATTAAACTCCTGATCTCATAAGGCAACTCAGGGCTTGATACCAGACTTATATTATGTTTATATATTGCAGCTATAGCTGAACTATCAGTAAACCCTTGTTCCTAGAAGACAACTCAGGGCTTGATACCAGACTTATGTTTATATATTGCAGCTATAGCTGAACTATCAGTAAACCTTTGTTCTTAGAAGGCAACTCAGGGCTTGATACCAGACTTGTATTATGTTTATATATTGCAGCTAAAGCTGAACTATCAGTAAACCCTTGATCCTAGAAGGTAACTCAGGGTTTGATACCAGAATTATATTATGTTTATATATTGCAGCTTTAGCTGAACTATCAGTAAACCCTTGTTCCCAGAAGGCATCATGTGGAGAATGTGTTGCAGCAGGAGGAGTGTGTGGTTGGTGCAAGCAAGATGTGAGTACATACCCTTTATCCCATGGGCTAATATTTCCTCCTTCTGACTATAATATACCTTCAAACCCATTTGCTAACGTTTCCTCCCTCTGACTACAATATATGATTTTGTAATTTTAGTACTGATTGGATCCTCCATTCCTCCATAGTCTGCAATCATTTTCATGTAATCAAGGGGAATGAGAAAATTCTATCAAATCCATCATAAATGTTATCAATAAGTGAAATTGTCTGAATTGGTGAATGGCCTTTTGGTTGGCGAATTTTATTGTAAAATTGGTGGTGGTTGTGTTCAATTATGAGTCAAACTGATGATGATGAAAATTATTGGTTCAGATCATTAATCCAAACTCTGATTGGAACCTTATTTTGTATTATATTGACTGATTGTGTTTGTATTGCAGAATTTTGATGAAGGAAACAAAGAAAGATGTGATAAAGTGGAGAACCTGATCAAGGTTGGATGTGACTATAGCAACATAATCAACCCAGACCATGACATGAGTTTTGTTAAGGTGGGTGATATTTATGGGTTTCTTGAGCACTTGTATTCATCTTTCCCGATAAACAGTTTATTACAAATCAGTGATGCTGTACTTTTAATTGAAATTCTAGATGTGATAACCTAATGGTGTGTACAGCCAAGCTATTGAGCTTTTAGTAGATATTTTTGAAGTTTCCAAATTTTATTTATTCACATATATTTTTATTTTAAAATAAAATACTGCTGAAGCATCAAGAAAATCCACATGCTGTTCAAAATGAGTTATATACAATATTTATTTTAAGCTGTTCAATACCAGAGCATTTTAACTCTTTGCCAATTTTTTGCCATTTTACTATTAATAAATGTAACTGCATAAACCATCTTTGGTGTTAAATGTGATGATATTAGTGAACATACACCAATTTTAATGTATGACTTGTGTAAATTGATCGAAAGGTAGAGAGCCATTTTAGTGAGAAATTCTCTGACTGATATACATATCGTTTGCCCTGGGTATTCAAGGAATTAATATCAGAAAAGAAAGAAATCTCTGTCATATTTGTAGTTTTGAAAAAGCCTATATATATTTCTTCAGATATGTTTTGATAATTAACCTGTTGTTATTTTTTAGAACGATGAAGTGAGAAATGCTGAAGGATCTGACGATGCAGTTCAGCTTCAACCTCAGGAAATCAAAATCAAACTTAGACCAAGTAAGAAATATTTTCTGTATCCCTATATGTTGTGCCAATTTTTGATTAACTTTGGGTTCTTTTGATAAAATTATGTCATTGTCATTTCAGGATAACAATTTTTCAAATTCTTATACATGTTGCAGGGGACAACGTTCTGCAGCTGATAAAAGTTTGGATGGCCATCTTTTTTCATGGCAGCCATTTTAGAAGTTTTTTTGTAAATCTTGTCATTGTCATTTGTTTGTGCCTACTTGCTGCTGTGATTTTTTCCCATTATATGCTTCATGTATTCTTATTAGCCTAGACATGGCTCTAATGTGCTCATATTAAAAAATTATATTTGCAGACAAGCCTTATACATTTAAAACTGTATTCAGGCAAGCTGAGAACTACCCAGTAGATTTGTATTATCTTATGGACCTGTCATTCTCTATGAAAGATGACAAGGCCAAGTTAGCTGCCCTTGGAGTATTATTAGGTAAGTGAAAATGACCAGTCCCTTGTCTGAAAATATAAATGGTGTGTTTTGATTTCTTAAAAGCACATGTATGTTAGTTGGAAAGAGGTAGTGAGTAGTGCAATCAACTCTCTATCACTGAAATTGAATAAAATTCATCACTTCCACATGTTGCTTTTCCAAAATTTGTCAACTTACAAAAATCTAAATGGTAAATCCTAATGACTGTGTGTATAATAAAGCATATGTCTGCTATATTAAAATCCCTGTTTAGTTGATTTATTATATATTTACTTGAAAGTCTTACATATTTATTATGATCTTTACATTAATGTTATATTCCAGCTGACTCAATGAAGAACATCACCAGCAATTTCCGTATTGGGTTTGGATCATTTGTTGATAAGAAAGCAATGCCATACGTCAGCACTCTGCCGAGGAAGTAAGTTATTGCGTGATATATGGTCATGTAGTACAGGAAGTAATTAATTGCACCTTATATGGTCCTGTAACACATGTCCATTAAGAAAAATCATTTACTCTCTGGAGCGAAAGTCTTCAGCAATCATTTTACTTTTGCTCGACTTAACACAAATAGCCTTGATAAACTATGAATGGATAATTATTACTGCGTTTATGGTGGGCAATGTGCTAAGTTTCAAGAGGATGCCCAAGAACTAATTCATTTGGCCACAGTTTATATTTTCAAAATTGATATCATTACAAATATAAAAACATTTAGGTATGGTATTTTACATAACATGTATTTGTATAGAATGATCACTATAGATAAGTAGTCTTCTATTATCATTAGTATTCCTCTGTTTATATACTCTTGTAACTGTTTTAATATTGAATTAATCATGTTGGTCATTAGTGATATTGTGAAGCATTAGCAAATTGCTACTATGCTGATCTAATAAAAACATTATTATAAGAAATTAATTTCAATACTGTTATTCGACTTATATTGACATTATAATGAAAACAAGTTGTATTATACATAATTATAAATTTAATAGTTTCAAGTATTATATCAACATTACTCTTTTTTCGTTGAGTTCATTTTCAGTTAAATAATTCTAGCCTGTATTTCTCTGCATGACCTTTCAGTCCATAGTCTCTTGTAGAACTTTAGAAATCACATCTTTTGCAAAGTTCCACTCAAGTAGGACTTCATTATATTTCTGCATGTGAATTTAATTGCATGTGCTATTTTCATTTCAATACTTACTTGTAAAAATCTCTAAAGTTCAAGTTGTAATAACTGCATGTGGGGGTGAATATTTTTTTATTGGAATGAATATTTTAGCTGATCTATGCATGCACAGTACTTTCACTGTATGCCAGTTCTTTCTTCATTCTTGTTATTCTTCTGTTTGTTATCCATCTGTAGACTCATAGAGCCATGCCCTGGCTGTGTACCAGCATATGCCTTTAAAAATCAACTTCCACTTGTGCCAGATCCGAAAGAGTTTGAGGCAAGTTTTCCCTAGATGTACAATATAACAACCTTACCCATGGACTAGGCCTCTTTTTCATGCATTTCCTGAATTTTTATCTGACTTTCCTTAAAAAATGGGAATGTTCAGTTAAAAGATGGATTTCCATGAAAATTTGGTATGTACGTATGTAGGAAATGCAGGGTGTTCTGAAAAATGGAATATTTGTTTTAATGTATATAGAACACCAATTTCTCCAAATTAAACACAATGTGTAATTCCACAAATTGTGTTATGTATTTTGGAGTATTTTATTAGATGATAACTTATTTTTTTCTCCAGGTTTCAAAGGTTTAACTTAACTTTTTGTTAGATCACTCTGCATACCTGTTCCCTCATTTTCCCCTTGCCTTCCCTACCCAATATATAAAGCCACAGTTTTATTTTAGTTTGTTTCTCTCCTTTTAATGTATGTACCACATCACTAATTAACAAACCCCCATCCTCTCTACCTTGCTTTGCTTATAGATATGATATTATACTTGTGTTAGATTGATGTTTTACTCTAATCCAAACATGGCTAAATTTTAGCCTTGTTTCTTTACTATGAAGGGCATTTCTTGAAAATACCTATGATTGAGATTTGTGAATGAATTTGATTTTCACAACTCATAAATGGGGTACTTTCCAGAAATCAACTTCTAGATAATATAATGATATTGAGTGCTGTGCTAGATAATACCTGGGTTCCTGGTTTTAACTTAATTAAAATAATATGCTATTCCTCTCACAGGCTCGCAAACCCCTGTCAAGCAGGGGAGGATTGTGTGTCCCCATATGGCTTTAAAAATCAGCTGCCACTCGATGATGACCCTCGAGAGTTTGAAGTAAGTGACACTGCACAGACCCTCTATCATGGGCTGCAAATATGGAATTCATTTACCTGTATTAAGTGTTACTCTAAATTTTACATGAGCTAGACCACCAACCCTTCTGAACTTAAACAGAGTTCTGGGAAATGGAGTCTTAATAAGAACCTAAAATGATTTTACCCCCTAACTGATCACCCACTTGGCAAATGTTGTAAAATTTAGTGTGAAAAATGGTGTCTTACTGTTTGGTCGAAAAAGGGAGAGATTTTTATTTTACTCCAAAACAGTAAGTTATCAAAGCTTAAACTGAGTCATTCACGCTTTATCTAGTTCTTAATAAATTGAACTGAATGCCTTTATCAGCTTTTGAAATAAGGCTTGTTCATTCAGGGAGAATTAGATCTAGTGAACAACCTTCGTTAAATTTTTTTAATTATTTCAGGTTATTATTACAACTTTCGTTAAAATTGTCTTGATTATTTCAGGTTATTATGGGTTATTGGTAATGTTCAGTCTGATGTTATTTTCAAAGGTGATCGTGATCTTGGTAGTAAATGATAATGATCAAGCCATGCTGGGTAGATTTATATGTTCTGCTTCAATGATATTTAATACAGTAAAAACAGTCAAGTTGAACACCTTTATTTGTAAAATGAACATTTTTCAGTCATTTGACCCATTGATTTATTATGTTTATCAAACCTCCTCAGTTGAACATTATCATGGAACCAAGGGCATTCCACTCGTAATGGTTTTACAGTTCTTAGTTGTTTCATATTTCATGCTGTTAATTATCCCAGGTTTATGTCTCTGTGTGTGTTATATGCATTTTTGAATACCTAGGACAAAACAGTTTAGAATTTCTCTTGTTTCCTTGTAGAGCCGTGTAAAAGCTGCTAAAGTGTCTGGTAACTTGGATTCCCCTGAGGGAGGTTTTGACGCCATCATGCAGACCATCACATGTGAGGTAAGACAATGAGTCAAGCATAGCAATATTATGTGTGTATATATTCAGTGATGTGCATGTGAAGGTATTCTACATTTTATATTTTAATATACAATACATTGAATAAATGCCTTGATTGTTATTGAATTACCATTGGGATTACATTTCTATTTATACATAATGTAATGATAAAGAGAATTCAAAACAAAGGGTACATAACTAATTTTAGAAATAAAAATTAGGTGTGTGAAGTGTGTAATAATCATTTATAGATATTTATTTACAAATACATATTTTCATTATTGATTAAATAGATTTTTATATTCATTATGATTTTCAGCAAAACCAGATAATATACTAATAGTTAACTGTAAAGTTTCTATGACAATGAATGTTCAGACATGTTTATATTAAATTAAGGTTAACTATAATTTTTTGATACATAAAACTTTTTCAGTAATGCTTTGACTGGGAATAGAATTTTTTCAGTATTTAAAAATGGCTCTCGATTCCTAATATTCATTTAAACCACTTGACAATGACACTGATAGGGAAAAGTTATTAGACCAATTACTTGGGATTTTAGATTGCATGCTATACTTGTAGACTCAAATTGGTTGGCGTCCCAGCTCGAGAAAACTTATTATTTTCTCAACTGACGCAGGGTTTCATTATGCCGGAGATGGAAAGGTAATATTTGAATAAACAAAAATATATTGTGAGTGTCAAAGCAAGAATTTTCATAATAAGATGAATGCAAAAGTTGCAGAAGTTTGTGAAAAGTCTTGATTTTGGCTTCTCATTGGGGAAATGATATTCCCATGGTTTGGGAATGTCAAGTTCCTGCTTTACAATGATATATAACATTTGTTAACATGTATATCTTATATTTCATCAGACTAAGATTGGATGGAGACCCAACTCCAGAAAAATGCTGCTGTTTTCTACTGATGCAGGTTTTCACTATGCTGGTGATGGAAAGGTCTGAGAGTAGATTATTGTATTTAGTGAACGTGTGCATTGCATCTTGTTTGTTGTATTATACACTCTCTCCAAAAGTTAGGCAACCTAAATACCCCATTGGTTAGCATGTAAAAGCCTCTATGTTTGAGTTCTTATTTTTAAAGTTGGAAACTATTATTTTGCTAGTTAATTAACAGACTTTTACACATTCAATGGAGTAGTAGGTGCATAATACTTTTTGGAGCCCATTTACCTGTAGGATGTTTCTCAAAAATAATGTAGATTTTGCCCAATGACATTGTCATAGTTACACTATGAACGACAGTTGAATCTAACTGAAAAACATCCTCATTTATAATGGCAACCATGTTTGATTTCCTCTAACATATGAAACTTTTTCATTTAATATGTCCACATTCCATTGAATTATCAGAAAGAAGGATAGAAATGTTATAACCATCATATAATAGGCATTATCTTGTTTCGTAAAATGTCACTCACTTTCTACATGTACAGTGCAATGGAATTGATTTTGGCCCACTTGCCTTGCTATTTGTATGTTAAAGAAATCAGTTGGCTCTGAGAACTTACCTCAAGAAATGTGTTTTTGAAATGCCAAACTATTTTATTTGAATCATTAGAATTAGGTTGTTCAAATTCAGTGCATGGTAGAGGCAATGTTTTCATATCGTGGCATTTTATGAAACAATTTTACTTTAGATTTGAGCCATTGAATTGAATACTTGAATTTTATTCCGTATATGGGACATATAATACTGCGCAGTAGAGGAACCTGTCATATAGTGAACACAGTTGGTTGTTCAGAAAAGTATAAAGCGCAAAGATTTCAATTAAGCATGGTTCAAATTTTTGCATTTTTCATTATAGCAACTTGAGTTAGTTAACAATTAGAAAAAACACACGTGTAATTGTTTTTTGAGTGTTTATGCATGTACATATCCTAAGTATTCATCTTTAGTAAATTTTATTATATTTGTCTCCCCTTTTTAAAAAAATGTTGTTGTTTTTTGTTGTTGTATGTATTCTGTAAACCATGTTTTTGTGAAAATACTAAATGGTCTTATTCATAAGAATGTCTTGAATAATTAACAATGTAACAACAAACAATATTCTGAATTCTAATATGATACGTGACGTCACAATAGCAAGAACAATTAATTTAGTGGCCTATATTTGAGTATGTATGACTGCTAAAATTCATGAAAGCAAATAGTTGTGTTTCTTGTCTGCTTATCATATTAAAATTGTAACAAAGACCTTGATTTTATGATTTATGTCAAATATATGACCTCAAATTTTATTCTGGCCATTGCCAAAGACCTCAATCGCTATGCAATTTCAGTCTTTTAACAATGGACAGAATAAGATTTTCGGTCATATATTACGTCATAAATCATATAATCTCGGTCTTTATTCCTTAAATAATGAATTAATTGTGAAAAAACTAATGAACTGTTAAGGAATGTGACTTGAAAATCCCATGAATAATCATGAATATGTTTTACAGTTTTTGCTAACAATTTATTGTGCATGTACATGTATGTTTAATTGTGTGATGTTAGATATAACATGTATTTAATAGAGATTTTAACATATAATCATTGTACATAATTCTGTTTCTCTTCATATTTAGCAACAATAGCTTTTTTTGTGAAAGAGCAGTTCTTATGTAACATATTAAAAGAATCTAAAAAATATAACCTAATTTGACTACTAAATACATAAGTATTTAATATACAACCTGATTGTTTCAAAAGCTTTAATACTTCTACCTCTAAAATGATAATTAAAGCATACTTAACAATATAAATTAAGTATGATTACCACAAAATGTAATGTATATATGTGGATTCATGTTTTACAGTTGGCAGGTATAGTTGCCCCTAATGATGGCCAATGTCACTTGGATAGCACTGGAGAGTATGACAAAAGTTTAGAGCTGGTAAGTGACTTTAATCAATGATGTAAAAAATTTTTTTTAAAAAAACTTGCAAAAAACTTTATTTACTTTATTAATTAATTGATTGACCTGGTTTATTTATTTACGACAAATTGTAGGTGTTTTCTCAAGTTTTATTCGATATAATATATCAGTGAATCCATTTATCCATTGTCCATCTATGCATTATACAATGATTTGATCGCTGTCTTAACTCAGTTAAAAGGATTAGATATTTTAAAGAAATTATTAATGTTTTTTCATACCTATTATCTTAACATTGACCATTTCATTGGAGTTAAAGTGATGGTCTGCTATTTTTCAAGAATGTGTAATTTGGATGAAGATACCAATTAGTATTTTTTCTACTCTTTCAGGATTATCCTTCAGTGAGCCAGATTACAAACATGATCAACGATAAGAAAGTTAATGTAATTTTTGCCGTCACTAAAACTGTACTTGACACCTACAAATCCTTGAGTGATGTCATAAAGGGATCATCTGCTGGAGAATTGGCAAATGATTCTTCTAACGTTGTCGATCTTGTGAAAGACAATTATAATGTAAGTTAAAAAGGTACCTATGTAAAATATAATCGACATGTTTTATAATGTAAGTAAAAAATACCTTTGTTAAATATAATTTTAAATTGAGAACATAAAAATTGTATGCCCAATTTTTGTTTATTTTGAATACATTGATTTGTTTACCAAATGTATGCATCACCTATGTCACCATGTTATTTGATGTGTTTCTATTTTATTGCAGAAAATCACCTCTGGTATTGAGCTTCAGACACAATCAGCAGAGAATGTCACTGTCACATTTAAATCAAAATGCTTTGAGTAAGTTGAACTTAAATTAAAGGGACTTAAACTTTAAAGGATACGGTTTAACTTGATTTATCATTAATTGTTTTTATCCAAATCTCTTGACAAATGATATTACATGAAATCAAACAAATAAATGTTATATATATATATGTTTTTTTTATAGTAACGAGACAAGAACTCGAAGTAGATGTGAGGGTCTGAAGATAGGTGGCAGTGTAGAGTTTGAGGTTACCGTCAATGTGGATGGATGTCCTAAAAATCGCAATGAATGGAAAAGGTCTTTGTATATTACACCAGTGGGTGTTAATGAGAGGTTGAAGATAGACTTGGATCTAATGTGTGAATGTGACTGTGAGATAGAAGGAGTTGGGGTAAGTTAATGCAGATATTTAAAGTTGAATATATAGTTAAATAATCAATGAACATTTTTTAAAGAATACAACATGAAGGTAACAAGATCATGTTCTGGCATATTGCTCCTTTTAATTCCAATAGCCTAGACTCATCCTCGAAAGAGTTCATTGTTCCTACCTGTAAACAGTTCGAGTTAAACATTTTGTTATAGAAGCACATTCAGTGTTTTACAATGTGCTACAAAGTATTCAAGGGATTAATCATGGCGGTCAATGATTTTGAACCCAAATCATAGAAAACTTTCTAGATGTTTGTCATAATGTACAATATGCATAAAATAACTATGACTATAATATTACAGGTACCTAACAGTGTACATTGCAACTCTAGTGGTACATTTGAGTGTGGCGCATGTTCTTGTAACCCTGGTCGCTATGGCAAGAAGTGTGAATGTGATGGTTCAGATCTTACTAATGATGACTATGATGCTGCATGTAGGAAGTAAGTATATGGAAATTGTGGTGTAACCTTGGAATATTTTTTGTATTGATTGCTAGATGTGATAAAATATTTTTAGTTTGTTTACTGACGAAGTTCTATTATAATATTCAATGAAAGTTCATGTAAGATAGATATGTAGATCTCTATAAAATTCAATATATTTCAGTTTTTCTTGATTTTTTATCACGATTTGTAAATTACGGTACAGTAAATTGGTATAGTTGAGTAAAATACTCTGATTTTTTGCCCACCCTGTATATTGTATTAACGTGTGTGTTTACTAGAACCAACACAAGTTCAGTGTGTGAGGGGAAAGGACAATGTATCTGTGGCCAGTGTGACTGTAATCCAAGATCTAAACTGAAGCCAAATGAGAAATACAGTGGCAACTTCTGTGATTGTGATAACTATTCATGTGATTATGACATCGAGGGAAAATTATGTGGAGGCAAGTACTGTATATACATATATTCTATTTTTATGTTATTTATGTTTTTGATTTACTTTTCTGAAATTATTCATTTTTCATTATTTATGTTGCTATGAATTTCTACTCTGGATAATCAACTTCCTTTTAGCACCTGTTTGGCCATGTATGAATATGAAAATTTCAGAATATAGGCTAGAGAAAAATATAATAAAAATAGTAAACTATTCAATTAGTAATGGAACAATAAAACAATGACATCTATATTTATTTGGTTTCTACATTTGAATGATTATAATGATTAACATCTATGGAGCTAAATTCCAATGTTCATTAGTAATAACTTGAAGTTGTCAACACCTTCTGCATTCACCACCATTTGAGTAACTTTATCATTATTTTTTGTTGTTTTTATACAGGCTGTAGTTATGTTTTTCCGATATTCTCCTAAGTCTCCTGTTATATTTGGGCAGTATGTTAATCTTTCACACATGTTGTTCCAGGGGAAGAGAAAGGCAGATGTGAATGTGGAACATGTATGTGCAATGATGGCTTCAAAGGTTCAGACTGTGGATGTGCAGTTAGTGATGAAACGTGTAGAGCTTCAAATGGGGTATGTCAAATATATTGTAAATATTAAAAACACATATTAATTTGAAGCAATTCTTTCACTTTATGAATAAGAATAAAAAAATTATTAAAATGAATCTTCTTTAGTTTGTATCTGCCATCTATGATTTCATAAATTACAGCGTTTTTATGTCACCACCACAAGCAGTCAGATCAGTGGTTGGTGGTCAGTGTTTGGCGGTTGGTGTTCATCTGTATCAAATGACAGGTTAACGGCTTGTCTCTGATATTTCCAGCTTCAACAGGATGATAGATAACGATGTGATACTGCCTTCCAAATAGTACTTGGTATTTTAAAGTTTCTTAAAATAATCTTATGGATGTTCTTGCAGGAAATTTGTAATGGTAAAGGCACGTGTGAATGTGGCAGGTGCACATGTAATAAGGAAAACTATCGAGGTGTCACCTGTGAGGATTGTCCAGTAAGACCATGGTTTTATTTTACATTGTTATTCCTATCATATATGACCATTATTTAAAGTAGGTTACATTGTATGGATTCTGTTTGTTTCTTAAAGTGAACTGAAAAAAAGTTTTTGTCTGTTAAGTGGGATTTAAGGTGATTTTTAATTACTTAATCTATGCACAAAAAGTGATGAATAAAGTTGAATACACATGAGAAAAACACAGCTTTATAACTTATCATCTTTGTCCCTCATGAAGTGGAACATAGACTACTCAGTGTACTGCACAATTGATATCTACAATATATATTTTTTACACAATTTATTTCAGACATGCCCAGGTAAATGTGAAGTGAATAAGGCATGTGTCCAGTGCAAGTTGTTTGGCACTGGAGACAAGACACAGGATGAGTGCGATGCTAACTGCACACATGTAAGAGGCGAAGAAACTGCCCCAGGTTAGTAGTCTTTTCTATTTCAATTCATGCACATAGCTCAGTAAATAATACATTATACTTATGATCCAGGAATTATATTCTTTATAGAAGGCACCCATAAACATTGCAAAGATTCACTGAAAAAATGGCGCTTTGATAATTTAGCTGTGTAAACCATGTTTTTCCAGTATGGCCCAGTATTGAGTCAAGTGATTGATATAATGTAAAAAGTAACTGGGTAGTGACTTGCTCTGATTATGCTCTATGTTGATCAAATTAAATGAATAAATATAAATATTAGCAAGCACTTGGTGCATTATGATCATTATAATTTTGTTATATTGTAGATGATGCTGATCACCGCACCTGTCAATTCAAGGATGACGATGATTGTATATTCTATTTCTCATATGAATATGATGGACCAAATGTCATTGCTCAGAACACTAAAAGTAAGTACTGTAGAGCAGAAGGTTAGCTAAATTTTACACATAACTATTTCAGACTTGTGGAAATTTCAATTGCCTATTATCACCCATCTACTCAACGAAAGAATTATATGAAGAATCTAGTACTGAACATGTTAGGAAGTGACTGAAACCTGAACTAGCCATGTGTGTCCTACTGTTAAAACAAGAGTCTGAATGATACTGTCAAACATCAGAATGAAAAAGAGGGTTCATAATTCAATGTTCACTAAAAACTATGTAATGATTAATGTTACATGCTCTAATCTAAGATTAGATTAGATTAGATCTATCTAATCTTATATTAATCTACATGTATAAATATAAGATTCGAATGTAATGTGATGGTTGAAAAGAGACCATCATTTTAAGCAAGATTCATTTCTTTATTTACAAAGCTTACAATTATTATGGCTGTAAATATACTTCTAATATACCTCTAAAAACTTAAATGTATACTGACCACTTATCTGATGTTTGTTTATTTCCAGAATGCCCCGAAGAAGTTGATATATTAATTATAGTCTTAGCTGTAATTGGTGGAATTGTTGCAGTAGGCCTTGCGCTTCTCCTTATATGGAAATTATTTACAACAATCAATGACAGACGAGAGTTTGCCAAGTTTGAAAAGGAAAAACAGAATGCTAAATGGGATGCTGTAAGTTCGAAATTATTATTTATGAAATGTACCAGTTTAGTTACAATTTAAATGATTCTCTTCTTAATATGTTTCTCTTATTATGCTTAATAGAATGGATTGTGTTATCTTTTTAAGCTAGTTGATTGAATTTTGTTATATTTAACCATTTTTCAGGGTGAAAATCCCATTTACAAGCAAGCCACTTCAACGTTCAAGAACCCAACCTATGGAGGACAGTCTTAGAAGTACAACCAGAAGGGACCAATATCCGCCTCACATTGAAGCTCATATGTTCATAAGTTTACATGTCCTTAAGCTTGTATGTTCATATGTTATGGACTCAGATAGTGTTTTCACCTAATACTCTCAAATACCACATGTCACCTGAAAGTTCTTAAACTGTCAATCGAAAGTTCTTATTTTCCTTATCTATTGGAAAAATTATTACAAAGTTGTGTAATGTTTGAGCTGAGAGACTTTACAAAGGGTTTTGTATGCTGAATTGTGAAGTTCTTCATTTTTTATTTTGTTTTATCAATGGTGAATTATCAATATCAATATTAGTGATTTGTGATATTATCTTTCTGTACCACTTTGTTTTAACATACAAACAGATGATTTTACACAAGAGTTTCTCATTTTAGGTAAATCTGATTTGAATTAGTCAATTTGAGATCACCAAATGGAAAATGTATGGTGATATTTTAGTTAAGTCCATCACGAATTCAGTCTATGGATACTTTATACATACTAGGATATATTTATCAGACATTGTAGGACACGCAGATGACGTTGATGCGAATACACAGTCCTAATGTAATCTGTGTAAAATGGCAAGAAATGTCTTGCCATTCAAATGCTATCTCTTACCTAGGTGAGGATTGAAGGCTTTAATATTCTATACAATGGGAACTTCTGGTTCCTAATCTAATGAAGAGAGTCATTAATATTTGAGGAAGAGGTTTTATGAAATATTATTTGGCATAGAGTGATGAGAAGGAAATGAGACTAACACTAATCCAGTTAGTGAAATTGACAATGTTTCGGAACTGATATTTGGTACCATTTTGCACTTTGGTACCATTTTGCACTTATAATATTTGGTTCCATTTTGCACTTGTAATATACAAAGAGATTTAGTACTGAATAAGATCATGGGATTTTTTCTACTTAAGTGTTTTATCAAAACCTACAGCATTCATTAAGTGCTGAAATAAAGTACCAAATTGGAATTAACTATGTTTAAATTGCCATTGTATCGTACAGGAACAGAAATGTTTTGTATGAGGAGACCCATGAATCTTAAATGTGATAAGAAGTCAAATATGGTGCTTTATATTTACACAAATCACAGTATATGTGCAATGATGGCATTGTTTCAAAAGCACTAAATATACAGTATGTAGGCTACATGTAGTTCTCAATATACAATCATGATATAGAACTGAAGAGTTTTTTCAATTCTGGATTTCATGCTTTTCATCACAAGTTTATGAATACAAATCATCAGACACACTTCATACTATATTAACTAAACTAAAGGTTCAGGTGAAGGTCAGTATATTGCCAATATTGCCACATTTTGGCCAAAGATATTTAATAAAATGGTCTAGAATGACTCCCGACAGTTATGGACAAAAATCAGAAACCTTGCAGTGAGATTGTTAAAATGAAATATTGAACCATTGTTGGAGAAGGTTCTCGAGCAATAATTTTGTGCCTTTGCAGTGTGATTCTTGTAATCATTGAAATCATATAAAAATTTATTTTGTTTAATTGATATTGTAAAATTTGATTGAGGTAAAAGTAGAAAAAAGAATTGTTCAGTTGAATCCAAGTATATGCTGAATTTGTCATGGTTTTTAGGGGTTTTGTAATGGGCTGTAGGTGTTACATGATTTTATTGTACTGGACTGTACATGTTACATGATTTTTGTACTGGACTGTACATGTTACATGATTTTATTGTACTGGACTACAGGTTAAATAATAGTCACATTTTAAAGTTTGTAGCCACTGTCATGTCAACTCATATCATCATATTGTAAATACTTCATTGTTTATGACTGATACTGATGTTTTCAGGTACATGTATCAAACATATGCATTTTTGTAAGTCATTATTATGTAAACATATATCTTTGCATTATATATCATTACATTAATACAAATCACTGTAACTGGCAACTAACGAAGGGACCACTTCATAAATTCAATGTCAATAGCTAGGTAAACACCATTAAGGCCAATAAAAGTGTTCAGATTTGACAGCATGACATCCATGTGTGATAAAATGTGTGAAAATGTGTTACAAACATTTCCTTTTCAACTCTTAGTGAAAAATACTTTACTGAAGAAAACAAACACAAATTCTTGACAAAAGTAAATATTTTCTTTTGTATCTTATTAAGCATATAATTTTGGATTTGTGAGGTGGTCCCAAAAAGTTTAACAATATAGTAGCTTTTTTACATAACACACTATGGTGAGTAGAACAACCATACATACCCAAATCACCTGGTGTTAGAAATAATTGGTTTTGTTCCACATGAACATTTGTAGTGATCATAGTCCGGTCAAGTGACCACCAGCAAGTTCAATATCTCCGAAACACTCAGGAGCACAGCTTCAAGAAATTATGGCTAAGTTGGTCATTGGACAATGTTCAATTACATACAGCATTGTTTCAATTTTAGCATTGTTTGTGGCATTGCCTCAGAGTGAATATGTCTGTTTTATTTATCAGTTATTTTGTTTCACACATGGTGTGCCAAATATATGTTGTAGTTGTAGCATAATTTTAGATTTTATTTCCACAAATGTGTTGTCCTAGAAATTGTAACACTGTAAAACCAGTTGATTTTGCTGCTATTTTGTACTTCATGAATATGGTTTTGAAAAATGTAATCCAATATTATTTTTTTGACAAGTTAAATTACAATATGAGAAAATTGTAATATTCATAAACTGTATTGTATTTAAATTAATTGCAAACTACAATAGCAGTAAAATTAGGCAGGGTCACAGGGAATCAAATTAAAATTCAGGAATTTTTCTTGAATCGAAAGAGTTGAAGTAGAATGGGTGCTATATCTATGAATTTTTGGTTTACTAGTCCTGAATTAACAAATGTTTAAAAACATCTTTAGTTATTTCATGATATTTTCCATCATTGGAGAATTGGAAACATGGTATCTTATGAAGCTTGTATAAATTGAATGTCATATATGTACATATATACACACATACACTTTGTACATACTGTATATGTAGTTTAGAAAATAGGTAGCTGCTATTTAATTAAAACAGCAAAGAAAATGACAGTTGACCAAACCTGTGTTATTCATAAAATCAAACTGTTTGGAACCATACTCCAAAAGCAAGTGTTCAGAATCCGTACCTCATTCTTACCCCTGCTATAACCAATTTGGAAGCGCCTGATTAAACTGAATCACATGATCTAATTATGCGCAATGACTTATAAATGATTTCTGTTGCAGTGTTGCGACAGCCAATCAGATTGCGAGTTCTTAATCGAGGAAATGCTTATTGCTTATCGCAGGGGGTAAAAAGAAATAAAATATTCTTGATTTCGAAGCCCTGTGATCGGAGGATGGTTTGGAACATGGTGGCTAGTTACTAGTTATCTCAAAGATTTGAATTGGTTACTATTTCATGTTTTCGACAGACCTGGGGGTATTTTTGTTTCCCCAAGCCCAGGCATTCTTCTAGTGGTAAAGGATGCCATTCATTTTATTGTAAATTCTGATTAAGGTCATTCTCCAAATTGATGAACGATGCTGTTGTTAATTTGAAAATCTAAAATTTTCTCATTGTAGAAACAATAATTGTATTTATAATAATGATTTGTACTTTCATATATTTATGAAATAAAAAGGAATGAAATATAGAGAAAATTTGGAAAATATTGTGTAATGATTATATTAGGAAAATGTAACCATTATGTGACATTTGACCTTAACCCCCCCAAACTATTAACTTTGTACAGAAAGCCATTTGAAATGCTTGCTAATTCAACGTTTAGATTGTGCTTCCTTCAAGCTGCCTTTGTCTGCCAAGCAGAGCCTATTGTTAACTGGGACTAAATTGAGAGGAAATTGAAGGCTTATCTTATAACCTTTTTGAAGGGAAGTAAAAAATGTCCATGTTATTAACAGAACCAGATCTAGTGTCATTGGTACATTTAACTTAATTTAATGTATTCAATTCATTCACTTTTCTTAATATGGATATTATTGTCAAATTGACGTATCTATTCACACAATATCTAAGAGATGTTTTTATTCAGAAATACTCAAGTTCTCATACTTTCAAAAGCATGTGCAAAAACAAATGTTTTTCATAGTTTCTAGTAATATTGCAATTTAAAGGTGCAACAATTAGTGCAGATTAGATTCAATTAGATTCAACTATCGACCAGGGCCAAAATATATTTATAGAAGCTTTGAACTAGGTATGTCCTGATAGCTCAGGAAAGTAAAAGTTTTGAATTTTCTCTCTACAGGCCTCGTTGCCCCTCTAAGGGTCTATGTTGAACAAAGTCCATCAATAGTTTAACAGTCATCATAAACGAATGGCATTCCTTCCATCCGTTCCTTGTAAACTTTATTGAACAGCTCATTCTGTGCCACAGTGAAGTGTTCTTTCCATGTACCAAATTTCCCTGAAATTACAAAATGGTAAAATTGTCTAGAATAATCTATCACTGGCCACATTTTGTGCATGACTTTTATATTCAATGTTAATGTACTACAATCTGAATGTACATGAATATTTTTAAAATTCTTTATATCGTGATCGTGTCGCAGAATTAAAGGATGTATCATATTTTATTGCCTACATTCTGTCTAAAGGCAGGTGCGTAACCAGGCATACGCGAGGGTACACAGTTGCATACCCTAAATGATGGAGCAAAAAATGAATTGTTGTAAAATATAAAAAAGTAGGCCTAAAGAAAAATATTCTGTTTCATGATCTTTCCTGAGTGGTCATTCATCAATGTATCGCAGTGACTGCGACGTATGAAAAGTTCATATTCTGTCATTTCACGTCTGTTGGATGTATACAGGGTGGTCCAAAAAAGTGAACCCCTGCAACAGGCTATATTTTTCTTAATACTTGCATGAATAGACTCAAATTATCACATGTTGTAGAGAAAGGTCTAAAATTTTGGTTGATGCCATAATTTAATCTCAGTCTTAAATTTTTAAGAAATTACAAGAGTTTAGCAAACATGCCTGAAAATTAGATATTGTGCAAAATTTTACCAATGTGATTCATGGGAATTGTTGAAACACATTGGATGATCTTAAACAGCTTTCAGTTAGAGATACAAGTTTAAAACCCCTACCATATGACAAAAGGGAAACTATTTACGCAGAAAACACATTTCACACTTTCATTGATCATTTTGAAGCAGTTTTAAACGTTCAACAGTTCAAAGGTATTTTATACCTACATCAACAGTTAGAGGAGGGCCTCTTAATTGTGGAAGGAAGTTGCCCCCTGTGACAAGGAATCTGAGAAGCCCTTCATCAATTATCTTTAAAAACTTAAAAGAAAATCTAATATTCAATGTTTTGAGCCATATTTAATTAGAATCGGTCCATCCATGATTTATGAAGATATTGACATTTCAAGATCATATAGGGGTATGTTCGCGATTTCACTGGGAAATGTTATCGCCTATCGAAGCTTAGAACATTTCTTTGGATCACAAGAACTTTGTAACTAACAAAGGCATGTAGCTAGATTTAAGCCATAATGTGCAGGATTCAAGATTGAACAAAGTGAGAAAATATTAGTTCTTAAAGACTGCAGCTTAAAAAATGTCAGGGAAGGGTGTTGAAGGGTTGAAGAATCGCGGTTATTGAAAATGTATGGTGCCAACATAAATTTTAGACCGTCCTCTACAACATGTGAAAATATAAAATGATTCCTGCAAGTAATAAGGGAAATATGGCCCGTTGCAGGGGTTCACTTTTTTTGGACCACCCTGTATAATTCAATATGGCAAATGAGTTAAGTATACTTGTTTCCCTCCTTATATTAAGATCAATTTATTAACATAAATATACCATTAATAAGGTAAAAGATAGTCTTGCCTCAAGACTGTGGACCTTCCCCCCGTCTACTTCACCAACACAACACGCAGGCCCGTAGCCAGGGGGGGGGGGGTGGCACTGGCCAAAATTTCTTTCAAAATCATGCAGTTTTTCACCATTCTGACTATTTTTTGAGTGACTTTTGGCCGACAAAGTGACCCCCCCCCTAGAATATTTCGGAAAAGTGAACCCCCCTTGGAAAATTCTGGCTACGGGCCTGACACCCTTGTTGTTAAAAAGGGGGGCGTCCAGGGTCAAGAAGCAAGACTGGGCAGAAGAGCGCGTAATACCAAACCTTTTCTAAACATCGCATCCTGTCCGTCTTTTGAATAGGCATTCCATTCTTTATTGCGAGTTAGCATCGCATCAATGTGTGTTTCATCCACGATTCTCTTGTAATCATCTTCACTCCAACTTACTCCCAAATACTCAGCTATCTTCTTTATTGTACCAAGTGTATCCTTAAAATGTAATGATTGTAATGCAGAAAGCAAAATTAGACCTGTGCATTATACATTCAGAATTGAACTTCAACCTACATAGGACATCTTTAAAGGTAAGAGAGCGATGTTCTTATTTTATATATATGTGATAACTCGTGATCGCTACAACTTGTTCAAGGAGGAGACCCTTTAGAAAGATGGCGGCCATTTTTGTATCAGTATTTTGTTTTTGTCCCAAAGTAGTAGAACTGTTTCTATGGACATTTCATAGTTATATGTCAATACTCTGAAGCATGATACATTGTCTTCTAATAATTTTCCCCAAAATACAAACTGGTGACCGTTTTTATATGTGTCATTAAGGCCCCCTCACGTATGAGCGAAAACCCCCAAAAGTCAACTTGCGTATAATGGCGAATAAAAACCTGAGTCAAATTCGTTCCCACTAGTATATGTACGTGGCTGTACGCATCGTTGGTGGTGTTCGTTCGGATGCGTTTCTGAACTTTTACATACATCCGTTGGGGTTAGTCTTATTCGTCGGAAAATGCTTAACATGTTTATATTCTTCCTTTTAACCTGTTATACAATGAACATTGGTTTATTTTTTAGCATATTTAGAAAAGATTAACATAGAAAACATTTTTTGCCACCTGAATGATGTCACGATGAGGTCACTTAGGTTGCAAAATATTTCTGATATGCTAAAACATTGAAGTGGCACATTAGATATGAAATCTTATTACTGAAAGTTTATTATTTGTCTTTAATATTTGCACGGGTGGAAAAGTTTATGTATTTTGCACTGTCTAGTGGAATATTTGGTGATTAAAAATTGTCAACTATTATTTGAAAAATGGCGACAAATTTGAATATTGGGGCAAAACAAAAGTTCTTCAAATTCGACACCTGGACTAAACTTATTAATTAAAATTGAGAATCCAAAGTTTGTTTCATTTTACCCGAATAATCATTGTTTAATGAAGTACATTGTGTGTGATTAAGTAAATCACTATAGATTTTTTCACTCACTTTCTTTATGTCTTCAAAGGTAAGGAACAATATGTCAACTTTTTCTCCTAGTTTTTTATATTCTTTCACATGTCTAAACCAATCATTCCATGGTACTACAACATAATGTTATTTCATGTATTTGGTTATTCCCTGACGTACAGGTGATAGCAATTGTTTTACGTACACATGTCAATAGCCCTATCATAAAAACTACTGAATTATAAAGACATTGGGTCTGTTCAGAATTGGCCAATAAAGGCATACTCTTTTACCTTCTCCTTTCAGCCACAGGGGCAGATATCCCTCCCATGTCCCATTGCAACCATGGTATAGTAGTGCCGATTGGAGTTTGAATAAACTATATGCCGCATCTTTTGGGTGACGAACAATGTTGATAGCTTTACACTTCTTACTAAAATATAAAACCAAATTGAATATACATTGTTTATTAAACCCTTACAATAAGAATAAAAAATACAATTGCATTTCAATTCTGCGAAAATGAAATGGAACAATAGGGTCATCACTACCATATCGTTTAAGTTATGACTTTCGCTAACCCAACTATCACACCAAACTAGTTTTCACTACGTCCTTGAAAACGGGCTTCAACTGTGTACGAACGAACTGGACGTACTTAGAACCGTTTGGGGTCTATTTACAAACTTCATCGAGCGTACTCGAACGGGTAGGTCCTCTAGAACTTAGAACATGCTCAAAATGCTCTCGTGGTCGATACCTTCTACAATTAGAACGAGTGACAACGTACTTACGACGAGCTGGACGTACTAAGAACGGAACCGTCGTACTTCAATCCTACTAGGGACGTTCTGAGGAAGTATTGAGAACGAGGTAGAACTAATTGCAAACGGGTTTAAACTGATTAAGAACGTATTTAAGACTGCTTATGAACGAGTTAGCAAAAATATAGCTATCACACCAAACAAGTTGCCACTGCGTTCTTCAAAACTAGTTTTAAACTGTGTGCGAACGGAATGAACGTAGTTGCAACTTTCTAAGGTCTATTTACGAACTTCATGAACGTTCTCAGACGGGAAGGTGATTTTAGAATTTTGAATCGATTTAAAATTCGATGGCGACCATACCGTCCTGTAATCAGGTCATGATGACCTTCTAGACTAAGGGACGCGTTATACGACGTTGCACACCGACGTGGTGCGACCTGAACGAACTGCGAATGAGATGGACGTATTGAACACTGTTTACGAACGAAGTAGCTCATTATTTTAGACATATTTCCCGACCTCAGCCAGATTGAACCCGTTTTACGACGTTTTCGTAGGACTGGCAAGAACGGGCAAGAACTAGTTTGGTGTGACAGGGGGGGGGGGTAACTGAATCTTTATGAAGTTGGCGATCTCTTCATTTTTGACTTAGTAATTCCCATGTAAAATGAGAGGTCTCAAACATGTTCTTATATTTAAAAGGGCACATCAAACACATTGACATGTTTATTTTCAAAAGTTCCCATCCTTGCTTACTCCCATACTGTCTTTGGAATAGTATTTGGTAGCTGGTGGGTTCTCATGATTCTTGGAGAAGGTATTGCACTTATGACATCTAGTGGCACTAACTCCGGCACACAGAACTCCTCCATACCCTTTGGAGCCTCTTGTAGGTCGTGGGTCAGCCTGTACACAATATTCCAAGTCCAATGTTGACCTAGGTGAACGCAATGATAGAAATAGCAATACAGTAATGATTATCTCATCGAACGAAGTTCGTAGGGATATAAAGAAGTCGTCCGTCCCTCAGTTTGTGTGATAAGTCAAATACCGGTTGACGGATTTGATTCAAATGTTAGAGTCTTCTGCTTCATGGGTTTAAGACCTCTGATTGAGAAGTAATTTTCAATATGGGTTTCAATTCTGCTCGAGAAGCTTTTGAAAGATGGCCGCTGAATTTCAAAATGGCTACCATTTTATAAAAATGTAATCTTTAATAACTTAAATACCAGTGGACTGATTTGGTTCAGATTTTACAGGCTGGTGTCTAAGGACAATTGAATTTTGCTCAAGTAAAAAAATTCAAGATAACTGCGGAATTTCAAAATAGTCTTTGATAATCAAATACGGATTTGGTTCACAAATGCTGACACCTTAGGGTATTTAGAGAAACTCTGATATGAAGTAATGTTCAAGATGGCCCGACCATTCAATTCAAAATGGTCTCCATGTAGTCTTCGATAACTCAAATACTACTTGACGGATGTGGTTCAAATTTTATATGCTGGTGTCTTGGCACTAAAAGGAGTCTGCTCAAGAAGAAATGGCTACTAACGTTTGACCTTGGACAGATTTAACATGCTGATGATGTGCTTGGGTTAAGATTTCGCAAAAGGAAACAATACTATTCGACTTTTTCTTAATTATTTCTTTCATGTGCTGTTCAAAATGACAAGGTATTCTTTAAAATATTCAATGGGATTTGCTAAAATAAGACAGAGCTAACAACAATTTTCAAAATGCCTTAGTTCTTACTAGTATTGAAAATAGATTTCCCCAATACTCTCCAACATGATTCTACTTGTTGAGACTCGATACACTTCTTATAACGATGATTTTGTATACAATCCCCATGATGACATTTTCAAGAGTAAGAATAGGGGTTCTAAGACAGGGCAATGGGGTTGCTTTTTGGATCTTTTTGTTGGCTTTAAGACTAAATTATTGCTGATTTATGACAGGGATTATTTAAAATGTCATACCTGATCTGGGATATGAGAAGAACCATACATCATCGGGCCTTGTTTCCAGACTTTTCATATTTTCGTGAACTGCTGGTGTTATGAACTGTGGGTAAATGTATCCATCTACCTTGTGCACGGGGATCGGTACCCCCAGGTCGTCCTTGATAAATGTAGGGTTTCCTTTAACAGCAAAGAAATCATCAAACATTCCGCCGAAGGCGTGGTTCATTTCTGCCATAGTGTTGCAGTCAGTATACCATTTGTACACTGCAGATAGATACAAGAAGACGGATCTTAAAATCTCTGATTGTCTTGAACTTATTTTTAGTGCATTCTGACGTTGTTTTCAATCACTTGAGATAATCAGATCATGTAACAAAGATGTGTTGTGCAAAATGAGGCATTCTGACATCGAACTTTTGGTAACCGGACAAGTCAACCCCTAGACAACTCATCCATAGACATTTCAACCCCTAGAAACTCATCCCAAGAACAATTCAACCCCTTGTCAACTCATCATTTACCACATAATCACTCAAACAATCTTGGGATTAAAGGAATTAAAGTACATTTGAACTATGAATGGCAAACAAATACGACATCGAAGAGGCTTCTTCAAGAATGAAATATGAAAATATGTATTTTTTGACAAATCAGATTAATTTGTTGACAATATGATAGTTTACACTGCGTGAAAAATAAATGGAATTCCAGGTCTTGGCACTAGGTACAGCTCTTGACACGCCGGGTGTATCTGCGTTCCTAGTTTTGACACCACTTCGGACGCAATGACTCCAACTCTTGACACGCCTTTACACCTCTTAGAGCACACAGTGTCAAGGCGTGTTAAAACCCTAACAAAATTATTATGAATTCATAACAATTCTATATGCACAATTGCAAATGTAGTGTCAGAATATTAGGTTTTAGAAATAATTCAAATCGTTTGAATCTTAAATATATTACCGAAGAATAAAAATAGGTTAATTTTATTTGTGGTTTTCTGAAAATCCCTCAAAACATATCACGATATCTTTATTTGAAATACAGAAAAATAAATGAATCGCCTTTGGCTATCTTAATAATTAGTCAAAAAATTCAAATTGATTCTAAATTGGGATATTTTTTATATATGATCCAAATGATAATATAACTTCTAGTTGACAAACTTATGAAGTGTATTATAAATATTTTACTGATACCTTCATATGCTGCTAATCTTGTTTAAACTGCCCATTTCTTTCTTAATTTCTTTGTTTTCTTTCGTCAACACAAGAGCTGTGCTATTGAAGAAAATTACAAAATGGCTGCCAAATTCAAAATGCACACTATTCTTCATAAAAAATGTCATTTTGAATACCAGTAGTTAAAGGAGGGGGGAAATAAGTGCAACAGATTTCGAATAGTCATATGTTTGATTTTTGGTTATTCTTTGAGTATTGAAACAGGTGCATATGTTAGATCAATGCATTACCTCCAGGAAAAGCACTTCTAGAGATGATAAAGTAATTTTGACTTTGAGACAGGGTAGATGCAAACAACCCACCCACATGTTTTTCTGAAATGTTTTCTTGATTTTCAACCCCTTCTAACATATGCACCTGTTTAAATCCTCAGAAAATAGCCAAAATCCAACATATGACTGTCCAAATTCTGTTGAGCTAATTTCCCTCCTACTTTGGTTCACATTGTAGATGCTTATGTCTTAAGTGTAATATGAAAAGTGAACCCCTAAATCTGATGAATATTCAAGTTTAAGGGAACTTTGTAATACCCTGCCATGTTATTTCCCCCGAATTAGCCACCTGGTGGCGAAACTGGTAACTTCCTACTCGCATCTGAGTAATTCAAATTGGACGCCTTTTTCGAACAAAATTGTAATCTTTGGTAACAAACATACTATTGAAGGATTAGGTTCATTCAGTATTCTATTACCATAATTTGGTATTATTTTGGCAGATAATATAATATAGAATGTTACCTTTTGTGTGCCATAACTATAATTCTACCTTAAATATCACGTTTAGTAAATGCTTCGGTGAATCTCTTAGGAATGGGAGATTTACACAATTGAACAAAAAATCAACCGTTTGTATACTTGGTATTTTGGAAAGACAATAACACAAATAAAATTCACCAACCCATACTTCTTTACGGTACTTCTTCACCTAGTACCCACACTTCCGCCAAAAGTACAGCTGTTTTTGAAAAATTAGCAATTATAGATTTCAAATGTGTATTATTACACATATGTGTATTGGATGGCACTCTGGATAGGGTTCATTTGTTATTGATAAAGCAAGTATTAACAAAATAAAATTGTACTCTTTATTAACATCTTGACACACAACATAACAGAAAATAAATCGAATCAAACTATATCTGATTTCACATTCAAGTTTGTTTCCGTGTCACCTGTGGTTGCATTGTCATTGTTGGGGATATTATCTGGTACTTGAACATTCATTTTAAAACTGTGTTTTCGTCTTGGTAAAGGTTTTGGAATTGATTCGTAATCAGTATTTGCATCTGTATCATTATTAACTTCATTAGGCTTGTTGTGGTCATTAGTCTTCATTTGTTCTGAAGTGGCTTGTAATGCCGTAGATTTTGTGCTGTCGGTTTGATCAAATAAATGGCTTTTGTCGTGTTGTGATGCATGAATGGCATTATCACCATAGTTAGACTTGTTTCCATGCTTCTCAGGTATACTGTCTTTTATTTGATCTAAGTTGACAGGCATGGGAATATAAATGTTCTCAACTACTTGTTTACTTATTTTATTACTTAAATCTATGCCCAGCATGTCATTTGTATCATATTCTGAATGGTTGCTGAGTATTCTGTCGAAATCGTCCAAACACTCTTGGGTCGAGATGGACATTCTATCATTTGACATTCCATCGCTCGGGTCATCCACGCGTTCCTTCGTGTCTGCTACTGCATAAGGGATTTCATGATCTTTGACAACATTATCATCAGCCCCTATAATCATTCTATCGTTTGACAATCCATAAGCGGGGCTCTCCTCATACAGCTTAGTGTCCGCTGTATCATAATGGATTTCGCCTGCAGTGACGCGACTATTATGAACCCCTATGGGCACTCCCTCATTTGAAATTTCATGACTGGGATCTTCCACGAGGTGTTTCATGTCTGCTACCGCATATAGGATTTCGTGATTGTTAACAGCACTATTGGCAACCCCTTTAACCATACTGTCGTTTGACATCTCATTAGTTGGGTCTTCCACATATTGCTTAGTGTCCGCTGTAACATATTGCACTTCGCTATCAGTGACGCGACCATTTTCAACCGATTTGGAAACTCCACCATTTAGAATTTCGTTGTCAGAATCTCCCAAGTTTCGCTTTGTGTCCGCTACAGCATAGTGTACATCGTCGTCAACGAAACCAACATTATCCACCCCTGTGTAAACCTTCGAACGTGGTAGCCCGGTGAGCTCAACCGTACCATTTGATGAATAAAGATCAATGTCAAGTTCGTCTGATGTTAAACTAATTCCTCCCAATGAAAAACTACTCAGATTGTCCTTTTGATCATCCAGCTTTACAGCTTCATCTACATTCGGACAAACTGTATCAACATACTCACTTACTGTAACAATAGGTCCATTTCCCAATTCGTTCTTATCTAAATCAAGACTTACATCAGGTACATCATACATATGCGAGGCTCTATCATTGATTAACGTTGACTCTGTCACAAAACTGGGTGAATTAAGACTTTCTTTTCCTGATCTTGAAATTGAACCTGTGCGTTGAACATCAAGTAGATTAGGGTTAGACTCGTCATCGTCAAGGTCTCTTTCGTCCTTACATTCTCTGACTCTGTAGAAGATACAGACGGCCAGTACAGCAAGGATCATAAGCAATACCATACATCCACCAACTATAGCTGCAACCAACACGGGGGCTGTAATAGAGACGATGGTTGCGTAATATGTATGTTCCATGTAAAGACGTGTACCTTTTCTGGTTATTTTAAGTAAATTATTTTGATTGATCGATTGATTAATTGATTCAAAAGCTCTGCACCATTTTTTCTAAAATCGTAATACTTAATGCATAATGTTCATATTTGACCTCAACCACCCCTTATATAGTAGTTATATACACAGTGTGGGCCAATAAAAATTGAAACATTTTTCTGTTTATTCAATTGTCTTTATTTTTGCAGTTCAATCCATGAAAATTCAGATTATGGTAAAATGATTATTTGTGAAAATGTTAAAGATAGAAATATGTATGTATGGTTATTTTTGGCTTGTAATGGTCATGATCTGTATTCTGTGTGTATGAAAAATCTCCAAATTTTCTCTGCTTGAGACATCAATGCTAAAAATACAGTATCTTTCATACCCTGCAATATGCACCCTTCAGATGGTCTCAACACAATTTCCATCAATTAAAACATATGTAGTTATCTCTAAGGGAAGCAAGGCATGTCTCCCTTGAATAATATAGCTTAACTGGCCTCAGCTTTTTTTCAAAATTGGCACAATTTGTCTCTAAAAACTGTGATTTAAGCCATGTATGACTGTCAAATACAGCTAAGACTGATTGTTCAGGTGGGCGAAGGAAATGTCCAGGAAACCTTGCGTTGAGTAAAAAAAATGGAACATTTTCCATCAATTGTAACATTTTTGCTAGTCATGTGTATCTTCAATACTAAAGGAAATTGAAAAACAATTCATTGTCAACAGCTTGTACAAATATGAATACACAAGCTCAACATTTAATTACTGAACATGTCCTCCACCCACCTGAACAATCAGTCTGAGCTGTATTTGACAGTTACGCATGGTTTAAATGATAGGTTTGAGACATATTGCGCCAATTTTGAAAAAAGCTGAGGTCAGTTAAGCTATATTATCCAAGGGAGACATGTCTAGCTTCTCCTCGAGATAACTACATATGTTTTAATTAATGGAAATTGTGTTGAGACCATTTGAAGGGCATATATTGAATGGTATGAGATACTGTATTTTGAGCAATGATGTCTCAAGCAGAGAAAACTTTGGAAATTTTTCCTGATGCACACAGTATACAGATCATCACCATGACAAGCAAAAAATAATCATACTCACATATTTGAATCTTTAACATTTTGACAACTTATCATTTTACCATTATCTGAACTTTTGGGAACTGAACTGCAATAACAAAGAAAATTTAATAAAAAGAAAAATGTTCCAATTTTTATTGGCCCACCCTGTAGATATTGTGAACTCATACAAACTCAAGAAATCATTGTTTTGTTTCAATGCAATCTTTAGCTTCATTAGGATCATCCTCACCTAATTGACCATCGCCATTTGTGTTTGTTTCAATAGTGGCATTCGTTGTCGATACAGCGGCAGATGGCGTTGACTCTTCATTACTAGGTATGAATGTGACTTCATAAACTAGACCATGGGTAACTGAAAAAGAATAATACTAAATTTCGTACTTTCACGGATTTCTTAACGAATCTTCAAGCTTTTTCCTGATGACCGTCCCTGGCCCAAATCCACAGGCAACTCAAGATTACATGGTCTGTCATTATGGTATATTATATATATGTGTCATAATGAAGTCTTTTCAATTCCAGACTTATATTAAACAAAAAAAGATATACCGAGTAATGATTATCGTAGCTGTTAGTCGGGCACAAGGCTTATTATTGAGAAAAATTGTATGTTTAAGTCAAATGGGAACCTTTAGTAGAGATATGTAGCAAGTTGTAAAGGTTAAGCATATTCAAAGTTGTTTTTCCTGAATTAAACACGTTTTCATATGATGATGTAAGATCTCCAAAGTCCGGAACATACATAAGTATCCCTTCACTTTTCAATATTAGCGAATTCGAACTCGATTAAAGTTCATATTCACGAAAGTGAGATGGCAAGTTGAACCATCTCGTAGTAAGTATGGGATGTATCTTATGTGCTATTTAGGAGCGGTTATCCTTCTCGACTCCTTCGCTCCTTTACTTATATCATGTTTTATCTATTTTAATTTGTTAGATTTCGCTTATTAGACGGTTGTTCTTTTTAGCTCTCTGTTTTAGTTTGCGTATCCTCCTTAGTTTGAATAATCATTCTTGAATTGTTGGTCATTAGACAACATGTATCAATCAAGCAGAATAAGTATTGAGACTTTATTACAGTACCTAGACTGCTCGACCTCTACATAGTGTCAAGCGTAGGAGAGTCGTCAGTTCCAATCATATCTTTGATTCACCCCTCATTTCATCCAACTTTTTATTTTGAACATGGCTACACTATGAGTGCCCATTGTCTGGTAAATATCATAACTATACGTTGTTTATTGAACATTTAGTGTTATTTGAATCTTACGTTTTTTTGTTAAACGGTAACACATATGAAATCGTTTCCATCTGAATGTATCTCTGTAAACATTATTTACGTGAATGATTCACCATATATATGCTCTAGTCTTTTTTATTTATAATATATGGATACATAAGACGACGAGGAAGGAAGTGGCAATACCTGATAATAAAAATTGAATTAATTACCATGGCCTCAAGCAAAAACGAGAGGAATTTCAATTAATGAACTCTGAATTCGAAAAAACAATGTCATAAACAAATTGTGAGTTTAAAATAGTACGTTTCTTTCTCGCTTGGGTTTAAATAGTATGACATTGTATAGTATGCAACCCTCCAAAACCTCTCCTTCCCATGGGATAGTGTATTAAAACCTTTTTATTTGTTTGATTTGAATATTTTTTTCTCAGTTACAATAGGTCAGATTCAGACGTTGATATCGCTGATCATAAACACACTGAACAACTTTAAATTGGATTAACAAACTAAAGAATATGGGTTTTCAAACTTTTGGAGAGGAGTGTATTGAAATATATTGAACTTAAACTTTAGTTTTGTCGGAAAGTGCATTTTTGGAGTATAAATAAACACTTTTAAATGAGAACAGCCTTGTATATTTTAAAATAAAACTGATTATATTCCATATCATGTAATGTGACTGATTCAATTTCAGATATTACATTTAGTACTTACCTCTTACGTGAAAACTGCTTAAATGAGCGCACCAAGCAATAAGCCAAAATATAATTCTTTGTTTCTCCATTGTCCCTTTAGCTAAGGTAAGTTAGAGAGCTCATCTTCCACGGTTGAATGTTGCGAATGGATGAACCACTGTTGTCTCTTCTTGTTATATCACTCTGATATCACCTAGTACACCTCTAATGGTCATCACTACGTACTTAACTCATCCCAATGTTAATGAATAGGTTTTAATTAACTGCCTCTAGGAATGTAGTTGCATTCCATAATTTTTGGGTTTAGGAGTGGATGAAAATATAATCAAGCAATCAAAGTTTTAAGGATGCTCACTCTAATTTAGGCCAATATAACTAATATTTGGTTAACTTATGATCAAACAATATCATTGATTACAATTTTTGAAAATGTATTGGTTTTCTCAATATTAGCAACGTTTAGGCATAGTTTAAAGGCAACTTTCAATTTTGGGAAAATATCACTGAAACAAATGTACTGTAATAGATTTTTTGCCATGTAATGCAACGTTCACATTTTGATCAACAAAAGCACAAAATATCGTTAGATACTATATATGATTATCACTAAATAAAAGGCTAATGTTTCTCTTATATCTGTTTTTATTTGATAACCCCTTCATCTATTGTAAAACATAGCATGGACATGTAATTTTATCATCAAAACCAAATTCTTTCTTGGCAAAATGTTTATTTTTTCACCAAAAAACAAAACAATTTTTAAACAAAATCAGATTTGAGAAAAGTAAACCACACACGGTTCATTGAACTCTCTGAACCTGTTCATATAACGAATATATGTTTTTGTTCCAATCCCAAGGCGGACAGGTGGGTGGCAGAGGATACGGATGGTGATTGAAGGAATTAATTCTGCAATTTCCAGTTACGGTATAATGCTTATTAAATTCCCAATCAGAGGTCTTTCACTCCAAGTATTGAATTAACGGAACTTTTGAACTAAATAATGGGTGCGCCGAATTAAACATAACTATGACTTTGTGTTGGCCTTAGTAAGTTCATATCAGTTCAGATAAGTACATTGTTACTACATCAACTGATCACAAGTCCAACCCCTTCAAATTCTAGTAACCACCCTCCGAACTATCTGATAGTTGGAGAATTCAAAAGATTATTTGGTCTTTTTTCATTTGTACATCGAAGAGTCGATGAAGCAATGACGAATTAAGATGTGAAACAATTATTGATCGCATGCTTTCAAAAGCTCGCAACCAAAATGATATACTGTAGTTCATTAATTAATTATAAATTTAAACATATGCTTAATATTAACCAAAAGCTGATATTTATAATGCGTCCGGTACATTTTGATTGTTGAAGTTAATTTAATTGGGTTACAATTTGTCTGGAGGCAATGCTATAAATTAGAAAAACATCATGAATAAATGAAAAAACACTTCTAATCAAACTGATAACCTGTTACGATCATTGTGATCATACGAAGCCCACTTATTTTACTTTAGCACCGTTCACTTTCAGAATGCAACCCTAATTGTACACATCATCGAAAATTTGACTTAATTTTACAGGTCTGTGTAAACAAATATAAGTAAAATGAAACGTGTAATGTATGTTTTCTATGCTCTGCTTTTTGTGGAAGGACTATCAATAATTTACATTAGAACATTACGACCACAGATTTACAGAACTGGATTAATTAATCAAACAATAAGTAATATACTAGCCAAATCTATTGCTATATATGATCGTAATACTTTTAAATATTTGGAAGATAATTTCAACTATCCAGTGACATTTGATCAAAATGGACGCTTGTGCAATCAGCTCTTTGAATTTGCTTCAACAATTGGGATCGCGCAGAAAAATAGTTTATCACCTAGATTAGCACGATGGAGTCCTATTCGTGAATGTTTTGACATCAGGATCACTGACGAAAATACTGCAGACGGACAGAAGGTTTACTTTGCCAAAGAAGAGGAGACTTTCGGTCCCGCTTACTTGAAGTTTGAGAAAAAGGCTTTTCACATTGGTAGAACATTTAAGAAATTGAAAGGAAATATGCAGTCGTGGAAGTATTTCAGCCACGTTGATGAGATAGTTCGAAAAGAGCTTAATTTTCGACAAAAACATATAATAGCTGCCAACAAGTTTCTCAGCTCCAAGAAGAAAGGAAATAGTTCTTCGACATATGTTAGCCTTCAGGTTAGGCGAACTGATTTCGTCAAAAAATATAGTTCGCTCATCAATGGAATTACATTGAAATACATCAACAGCGCTATGTCTGCATTTCTGAGTACATTCACAGATGTTATTTTTGTTGTCGTTAGTGATGATATAGCTTGGTGTAAAAATAATATCAATTCTACGAAATATGACATTATTTACTCGGAGGGCCATTCAGCCTGCCAAGATCTAAGTATTCTTGCGCACTGCAATCATTCTATCATAACAGCCGGATCTACTTTTGGTTGGTGGGGTGCATACTTAGCAAATGGTCAAGCCACTTATTACGAAAAATGGTTGAAGCATGGACACTGGAATTCAATACCGTTCGTTGAAAAAGATGTATTCCTGCCACGTTGGACGATCCTTGAAAGATGAAAACAATGCAATATACATCAACATACTTCAACTTGTAAGCGGAATTATAGTGATAAATCGAATAACTATCAAATATACGTTTTGTACAATATACATATCGTCTTTTCTAAATAAAAATCCTTGGAAATGCCGTTTTGCGTTTATTCTTGAGTCACATGTGAGTGAACTCATATTGTTATTCTCAACTTATCGAGAACATAGTCGTTTCACATCTGACCAAATCACTCAATTATAGATGGCATCATTTTAAATGGCATCATTTACGTTCTGTCTTCTTTGTTAAAGTCCCCGTCTAAAGTTTGAAAATATTTTTTTATCATTCATTTACTATTTGTCAGGACTTAAAAAGTGATTTTAGAGATTTTTGAACAAAAAAAATTTTTGAAAAAAAAGTTGTGAGCATTTCATTTCTCAAATATTCAAATTTCCCGCCATTTTTCAAAAAAAGTTGAAATTTCTTAATCATCAAATATTTCTTAATGCATTACAAAAAAGATTATCTTTTTAACACCAATGCAAAGGTTGAACAAAGGACACACTATTTCAATAATAAAATGCCATATTTAATGTGCCACTTCAATGTTTTAACATATCAAAAATATTTTGAAACATTAGTGATGTCACTAAGGTACCAAAAACATTTTGAAAAAAATTGAAATTTTTTTTTCGATGTCAATCTTTTCTAAATATGTTAGACTTTCATAAAAAGCCAATGTTGATTGTCTAACCAGGTAAAAAGGAAGAATAAATTATGTTTTAAATATCATTGTACCATTGGTTTCTATGAGAACTAAAATTTTGAAATGCATTTTTATCAGAACCATTTTCATGCACTGATAAGTTCATTTCTCGCTTATTTATGAACCAATTTTCTTAATTTTTTCGGCAAAAAACATGGGAGGATGAATGCTATGCATTGGTATGAATTATGGCTAATTAGAAGATATGAGTGACCTCTAAAAGTTGGTTTTAAATAAATTCACAAATTTTGGAACAAAAAGTCTATCAAAAACCACTTTTTGAAATTTAAAAAAAAAGTTTCACATATCACACTTTGATAACATTGGGTAAGACTACAATATAAGCCAAAGTGGTTTAAACTTTACATGGGGCCTTTAATGATTCTTTCCAATAACATTCGAGAGACGAGAGAGAATGTCGTATGTACTTTTTTGTGTATGAAATTTGAATTAAGGTTGTTAAACATCAAGGGGCCTTAAAATTAATTAACGATAAAGTTATAATACTTTTATGATACATTATTAATTACTTAATTATGTCTCATTACCAAGGAAAGTGGAATAGTTCATTTTAAGATGTCCGCTGGACAAAGTTGATAATGATGAAAATCAACCCCAATTTTTCTTTTCAAAATGTTGAATAATACTATAACTGTTTCTGCAAGTTTAAGAAAAGGTTAGATGCTTCAGCGTGTGTTTTGGGGTGAACTCATAAGATCCAAAGAGGAAATGCCACGTCCAGTTTTTTGTGTGCAATATGGACATTCATTGGCCTCTTATATTAGAAATACTATATTTACGTATTGTTTTCAAATTTGAATATCCTTTGTTTCCCTTTAAAATCTCAGAAAACTATATTTGAGAAAGCATTAATGCTGTTTATTTTTAACCTCCAGAGAATACCCTTAATAATCATTGTGTCCGATTGCGAGTAGGTAGTTACCAGTTTCATCACCAGGTGGCTAATTCGGGCCCAATAACATGTCAGGGTATTCAGTAGATATGTTTTGACATGCGCAGAGCTTTATTTCGTGATATTTTCATTTCAAATATGGCGGTCAATTCGATGACCCGTACAAAAGATAAGGCGGTGTGCATTTTTACCTTCTGTGAAATAACAATTGGAATTTAGTAGTCGGTTTGTGTTTTAGCATCATTCTGCATCGACGTAATTCTATGTGAATACATATCCATACTATGATCGATATTTTTCGTGAACCCGTCTCCTGCTAAGGATATAAAAACGTGTATGCTCAAAAGTGCGGTTGTGCACCTCAATGTCAAGATTATAAGTTAATGAATGATTTGGAGTGCAATACAGGATATATTCTGCTCGAGAAATTCTGTATATGGATGAGACGAATTCGAGTGCCAATACAGAATATCGAGACACACATTTTAGATGTAATTGTACATGTAGATTGCAAATATGATATCACTTTGACTGAATTTTGAATTTCTAATGACGTAGTTCAAGGTTATTTCAACTCGCATCTTGTCTATTCCCTTTTGTCATTGCTCTTCGAAAAATGCTTTTTTGTATGCTTTGATCAATAATTTGGAGCTCATATAAGAATTTAGCAAATTGCAACATTATAAATTGCCATTCTTGTGTATAATTCCCATTGATTTCTCTGTAAATATTGCTTTTAATTCTCAATTCAGTTTTTCTTTTTATAATCATTCAATAGGATCGTTGGAGTTTCATATCATTTATTGTTGACAGTCCTCAAAGGGTTACGACAGGAGTGTAAATTAAACAAGGCAGTTTGGATTATAGTCGATGTGTCATTTTCTGAACCTTTGAATTTGTAAAAACAACAATTGTGATGCTATCATTATTACTTTTTAAATGGCTACCCTTATTTGCATATATAATTTTCCCCGAAATTAGTTATTTTTGGCAACCAAATTAAATCAATAAAAAAAACTTAATTTAGTTAATTAGTCAGTAATATTCATTGAACAAAAGCTTACAAGCTTGATATCTGAATAAATGCGATATTTCAATCATAAAATATACTAAGTTGCAATTATGCACTTCATCTTATAAGTTATTCTTGACATTTTAACAACATCACATTCAGTTTAGACAAACTAATTATGCTGCTATCATTTTTACATTTCAAGATATTGAAAACAATCAATATTTCAATGATGACCTCGCTAATTAGCCTATATTATTTTTTCCCCAAACCAACTTTTTGTCCAACCCAGCTAAATCTCTTCAGGAAAGCCTTATCGTCATAAATTAACCAAAAAACATCGTGTTTTAACAATTAATAGGTTCCCTTTAGGATGCATAGGAGTGACAAATCGACTATTAGTACAAGGAATCATATTGACTGATCTACATGCCCATTGTAAACAAATTATTTTATCTTCAAGACGATTTCAATAAAGTATGAATATCATAGATAAAAATAGACTGATCCAGTAGACTCAAATGGAGCCACCGAATTGTTTTTATATTGGAAGCGTATCGTAACCCTTAATGGCGTTTCCTTTTCAATTTTTAGTATACTTTGTGTTTTCCCCCTGAGCATCCTTTTGTTTACATATCTGTAATTAAACTTTACAAAAGTCTATACATTTAAAAGTTTTTATTCATACATACCAAACACATACATATAATTTATAATACATCTAATAATACATTCAAATGTTATCTTAACTAATAAGGATAAACACCATTGTAATGTCTATGTTCGTGTTGTGGTCGTCTATCATATACTACTCCCCTTCTGTCAAAAACGACCTCCTCTTCGTTGGGACCATACACAACTCCTTCATTTATAGATGGCGCACTTTGGGTACGGGGAAGGTGTACAGAAGTTGGTTCTGTCCATTGATGGTATCCATCATCATATGTAATGTGACTTTGCATTGTCCCGTAATTATGCAGAGATGGCGCTATTGAGGAATGGCCATCAGGGAAACTACTACCGTCGTCAGGAATAAGACGGGTGTTACTCCTAACTGAGTGGGGTCCAGGACTGTATGCTCTGCGTTGGTTGTGATCTATATCTGTATGATACCCACGTGGTATGCTAGTTCTGCTATGTGGACGGCTAGAAGTGTGTGCTCTTGGTAGACGATGTGGTGTCTTTGGTAGGGGTTCTAGAACAACCTCACCCTCATTGACAGAGTATACAGGGTTACGGAAACCTAAAATGAGATGGCGCGATTCATTTTTTTGTAAACAATCATTTAATACAGTTTTTAGGAGCACTTACTGTCAACCACAAACCGTTTTAACAAGGTATAACATATGCTTGTTTGTTTTTGGTTTGTTTATGTGTTTGTTTCTTTCTTTCTTTCAGCCAAGTAAAAGGTGGATTTATAATAAGTTAAATATTACCGTTGTTTGAATAATCCCTCATCCAGACATTTGGGTTTCGCGGACTAGATTTGGAAATGACGAGGCCGCTCCTTTCCCGTCTTTTGCTCCTCTTGACGCAAGCGATGACGATAAGAATGACGAAGGTGAGGACCAGGACGCCCGCACATACGGCTATCACGATGATGGATGTCGTTGACAGTTTAAACCCACCTGTATCCAACATACATTAAGTAGATATTGTTTATGTAAATTATAACACACTTCATAATCACTATTTTAGAGCCTGAACCCTCACCATCGAGGACACTATCACCCTCATAAGTATGTTCAAAAATATATCATGTCATATTCGCAACATAAATAATTGAGCACTATCACCTGGTGTAGTTTTTCGGACAACTTAGCACTTCCTCAACAGTCTAACAACAAATAAATGGAAGTAAAGTAGCAAATACCTTTATTTTCATCGGGTGTTTCCTCCGCATCGGGGTTTGGAGGTGGAATTGAGAAATCTAAAAGATAACATAATAAAATGTCGATCTGTACTAATGTGTAAATCATATCAGAAGCAAGAAACAGATATAACATATATTTTCTATTAAAGTCCTGTTCTACTTTTAACTCACATGGAATTGTGTCACGGTTTTGTTTTTTAGTCGAAGTTTAAATTTGCCAAATTAGATGAAGGTTTAAAAAGCACAAATTGAAACTAAGTGTTTGTTCAGTAAGGGTTTACTATAAAACTCTGACTGAAAAGGCGAAACGTCGTATGCTCTCATTCAAATAATACATACCCGGAAAGACTGGCATTACGATTTCTGTAGTTGTACTCCCAGTTGGGGGAACGGTTGGGTCCGTCAATATATCACCATGGGCGTAAGCTTAAAACAGAATGCCACGATTAAAACTCAAATTACCTTTTAACTTACTTACATTCTGCACATACACAGAATGGTATTGAGAACAATGTCGATAACAAAGAGGAGAGACACTTGATGCAACACAGCTGTCAGTTACAAATAAATCTCCCCTAGACAAATTGGAGCATGGCTTTTATGATATTACTAACATTGAATGACTTACGAAAACATTGAGTCCGATTGAAAAAGTCACAGCAATCGTCGTGTACGAGTTGGTCCGCTTGCCCTGATGAGTCATGAATTGTACATAAGGCGCCTGCCTTCTCAAACGTATATCCAGTGCAGTTTTGGTTGCCTGAGCACAACGACTTACAGCCTGCTTCATCGAGGACTCTGTAGACGTCACCTCCAATCTTCTTATGGGATTTCGTTTTAAAGTAACATTCGCCTAGAAAGAAGTCAATTATGATTCATTTCAAAGATATAATGACTGACAAATAGACGTGAACACACGATGCATTTATTTGCATCCGGGCTTCGAGTAGTCCCTCCAGCATTACAAACTCACACTATTTACACCTTGAGAATCATCATATATTTAATACACTCGGGATGGAACTTCCCCTTCCCATCTCTCAATTTTTCTCACCTCTCTTTTATTACCACTTGCGATGTAAACCCCGGTAAACAATCATGTTCTTGTAGTTCGCATAGCAAGAGCTTATCTATATATTATACTTGAACCGTGTCTTCTAATTGAACAATATTCTCTATTTTTCTCTCACATCATCTTCCTTTCTAGTTCCCCTAGCCATTCTTTCATCACTCGCATTCTGTGCTCACCTTGGCAAACCTTCATCTTCTCATAGTGTTCACAACACGGGCTCTTCTTTAGCATCTCTGGATTCATGTGGTTATGTGTCCAACATGTGCTATCCCAGTTACTGTAGTCTACACCCTTACATTCCTCATCTTCAAAACATAAATCCCTGCACGTCTCTTCTGTGTATGTACCTAAGAGGATTCAGTGTAAAATATAGATTATCTTTCATCAGATCATGAGATGCGTACGTTTTTTGAGATGAAAACGCAATTTTAATGAAGATATTTTTCGACAAAGTCTTATCGCCGTTGATTTCAGTATAAATTACATTTTCCATTCCTAAACCTACAGTTTGGACACTCTTACAATCTATACAGGTAACAACATTCGTTGCTAAACCAATCGACCAAAAATGAATACCTTTCGTGAACGACAAACTGTATTTGCTTTAACTTTTTCTCAAAATCTAAATTATAGGTGAATTATCAAATAACTGGTCTTACGTCCCAGTTGAATAAAAGGACCAATTTGAACTTACAATGACACGAGCAAGTTAGGCGCATATTTCTTGTTAATTTGGGTTTGGGGCGCCAATTTCCGTATCTATTGAATATTAGAGAATTCGGGAGAGCACTTTTTGAAGAATGTGTACGTGAAACCGTGAAAAATAGCACAATTTAGGTTCACGTTCTCCCAAATCAAATGTGTGTAACCTCTCTATCAACAAATCCATCTCCAGAAATGCACAAAAAAAGAGATTATGGTAATGACTTCTTGACGGTAAACACTGATTAGAAACATAGGAGTCGACACAAAGAAAACAAATAAATGAATATCACAAAAATGTAAAAGATGGCGTGCAACAAACGCCTTTCTAACATGACAAAACATGCTATATAATTATGCCAAGTCAGACAACTATATCTAGTAACATTCTGCATTTAGAAATAGAATCTACATATCAAATGCAGGCAAAATAGTCAACAGCGCTCTGATAATGCGTTTTATATGTGAAAAGAGACAATTCCTGTCAGCAAGCATCTTCCTAAACGGGTATCCAGAATCTGTACCTCCTTCTTTCCCCCAGCGGGTAATATAGAAAGAAGACATTCTGGATCTTGAAGCTCTGTGATAGGAGGATGGTCAGCCAATTTGGAAACGTGCTCCAAATCAATGTTTACTTACCCTTTTCAAGTCGACCTCCAAGTTGGTTGACACCGTGTGTAAGCTTGAACAATGTCAGACTGTCGCTACAGTTATCTGTGGTATTCTTCAGAAGAAAATCAACTGCAACATCATCAGACAACATCATGTATATGTAAAGGTTTTAGTTCTTTAAGGTTTTATTACATTATGTCATGCTTATGAAGTTATTATGATTACAATGTCATATTGTTTTGAAAATCTTCCAACTGGAAAATGTGAAAAGAGTTCAGTTTGGGCAGTAATTAGTAAAAATTACTTATCATCGCTCAACATTAACTTTTCTAACAGGAACATTTTCGGAATCTATTTACCATCTGTAAATCTTTACAAATACAAAATGACCAACCGTTGCACACATCCTTTTCATAATGAGTACAACACGATTGATTGCGCTGTAATTTCTTTTCTTCTCCCTCTAGATGCATCCAGCATGACTTGTGCACGTGATCATAGTCTACAGAGGCACAGTTACCCCCCTTGAAGCACAACTCCTGACAAGACTCTGCCGTCTGATCAGAATAAGTGACGCCACCCATCTTACTGGAGTTTAGGTAGATACGGAGACATCCAACTGCAACAATGATATAACAACTCATACTCATGTGAGAAAATAGGTATTTAAATGCAATTAAGATATTTGCCTATAAGTTATTGAATGATTGGAAGTGCAATACAGGGTATATTCTGCTCGAGAAATTCTGTATTGGCACGAGACGAACAATACAGAATATCGAGAGCATGTAATATATCCTGTATTGCACTTCAAATCATTCTATAACATTTTTATCGTTTTTACTTTGGAGATACTCCCTGGGAAATATTCTTTATTCTCTGTATTGCTACTGAGATTGTCTCCTCCGTGCCAATATTTTCCGTATTGCTAAAACTGATCAATTAGAGGGCTTCATTTTACAGATCATACGATAAAGTGCGATTTGTGAATTGAAATGAATAGGATAAAATACGATACACGAAGCAACAAGTCTCACCTTCAATGTGCATTTCAGGATCTGCAGTGTTGTTATTCGATATGTAGTCAATTTTGTAACTCTCTGTATCATTAAGGTTATACCATGAATCGTCGCCACAGCTGTCTTTCTTAAAATGATTGCAACAAGGTTCGTCTTTTTCGTGGGAAGTTTCATTAGTGTAAGAATGAATCCAACATGAATTAAAATGTCTATTAAAATCAACTGCGACACAGTTTACTGAATCTGTGCACAACTCAAGACAGTCATCCTCATTGTGTCCTTCATATATATCACCACCCTGCTGTGAAGCATTTTGAATCATTGTATAGCAGTGTACCATGTTTGGTATAGCTACATCGTTCTCTTTTGGTATTTTGATGTCATCCGTGTTAGCTTCTTTGGACATATCACCGGTGTTGTCCACATCTATAGCTGTATCAAATGACATGTCATCTTCACTTTTAAACGTACTGGTACCTAAATCTGTAGTGATCTTTAAGCCAGTCTCCTTTTCAACATTACCAGCGTCATCTGCATCTATATCTTTATCAAATGTAAAGTCATCCTCATTCTCACCAGCACTTGTATTTGAATTAGTATTCTCTCCTTCGACATCTTCTTCTGATAATGTTTCTTCATCTGACTCGTCTTTTAGATCTTCCTCATTGTCCAGTCCGTCATTTGTAGTATTACCTTGACTTTCCTCTAAGTTTTCCCCCATTGTTCCTTCTTTGCTCACATCAGTAACTTCAGGCCCATTTTGAAATCCATCTAATTCATCATTATCATCTTCACTTGATAGCATTACATCTTCATCAGATTCTTCAAACTTCAACCGAACTTTTTCACTATCTTGAATTTTATCACTATCTGCTGTAATTTTTACTTCATCCTTATCCATGGGTGATAACGGCGTTGTTCTCCTATCTGGATGTGTAGTGTGAAATGGTGTAGCCGGGGACGATTGCATGGTCATGGCCTCAGTTGTGACCTCCTCTTCAAAAACACTTTGACTTTTCGAAACAGTCGTTCTCATAGGAGTCAAATTATATTGTACTGTAGTGTCAGACACAGCAGGTTCTGTAGAACTTTGATTCATGAATTGAACGTCTGAAATATCAGCATTTATTCTTGATATAGTATCAAGCATACTATGAGTTCTCATTCTATGTTGGGACCCAATGGCGCTCCAGTCTGGGGTTACAAGGGGCGTAGTTGTTTTACATGGTATTTTCTTATAATGTGTGCAGCAAGTATTGCTTTCTTGGCTGGTTGCAGTTGTTCCTATATGGAGGAGACATTCTTTAGTTTGTTTGTGGAAATCAGCGGCCTGACAAGGGCCGTAATCCAAACAGAGTTGTTGGCATTTCAGTTGGGTGAATGCAGATTGTTTGAAGGCAACACCACCAGGCTGCTTTGAATTAATGTATGTCTTTATCTCGGGACATCCTGTAATATACACATTACACCAGCAGAATATAGTATGTGGAAAGTAAACGTTTTGGTTAAGGTACGTTCACACCAACGGCGAATGCCACGCTTTAAATCGGCGAGCAAAGCGCCGTCATTTTTGTCATTTTTCTTCATACCAACGGCGCTTTGATGGCGCTTTAAAGCGGCTTGTAAAGCGGCACCAAAGCGTAACAAAGTTTGATTAAAGCGTCGGGGTCGTAATAGGTCGTAGAAAAGCTCAGAGTAAAACGGGATATTCGGCAAGAGCGCCAAAAAATTTTAAACTCTTAAAACATTTTGGGCGCTCTGTTACGAATCGATTAAGCGCCGAGAGCGTATCAAAGCTTAACAAACCGTAACAAAGCTCAGAAAACTTGATCCAAAGCGTAGGAAAGCTTAACATAGCTCTAAAAGGTTCCTCACGCTTTGATCCCGCTTTGATCAGGCTTTGTTACGCTTAAAATCACGCTTTGAAAAGCTTTGATAAGCATTATTACGCTTTGATGCGATTATGACGCTTTAAATCAGGCTCTGATACGATTGCAAAACTCTGTTGTGCATTGTTACGCTCTGTTAAGCTCTGTCACGCATTGGAAAATGTCGAGATCGCCGATTTCATGCCGCTTTTGATCCAATGACTACATAAAGATGCAGTAGATCCATAAAACCATTGCATCTTTGACTCGAGAACACGATGGCAGAACAACGAGATCCAGAAATTCCAGATGGACCAGAGCATGACCTATCTGAAGAAGACATGACGTTTGTCGCACGGCGTGATATAGCGTGTGAAAACTTTCAAGCGTAACAAAGCCTAGCAAAGCGTTTCAATCCTTGATTAAAGCGTCTCAATTCGTTGGAAAGCTTGAGAGTCCCTCAGGAAAGTGTAACAAAGAGTGTCAGATATTGATGAAAGCGTCTGACCTCGTGTCAGATCTTCATGCCAGATCGTAGCAAATCTTGAGATATCTTAACGAAGCGTGTCAAGTGGTAACAGACCGTGAATAGACTGGGGTCCCCGCTTTGAACCAAGCTGTGTTAAGCTTTCCTACGCTTTGAGTCAAGCTTTGTTGAGCTTTGTTACGGTTTGTTAAGCTTTGATACGCTCTCGGCGCTTCAATCAATTCGTAACAGAGCGCCCAAAATTTTTAAACAGTTTAACATTTTTTGGCGCTCTTGCCGAATATCCCGCTTTACTCCGAACTTTTCTACGACCTATTACGATCCCGACGCTTTAATCAAGCTTTGTTACGCTTTGGTGCCGCTTTACAAGCCGCTTTAAAGCGCCATCAAAGCGCCGTTGGTGTGAACGTACCATTAGGTGTCTATGGGAAATTTGGAATAATTAGAGTTGTCAAATGGTTCCATTTCACTATAAAAGGTGATGATGGTTTGATTTCACAATTGACTTGAAGTTAGAAGATTTATATGATTTTAGTAATATTCAAAACTAACAGTTTAAACGTTGCATCTAAATATGAACCTGAATATATTGTATATCCCTAGCACCAATACTCATAAATTAACATATTAGCAAAAACAATCAAAATTGATGGTAATAAAAGTTATTATGATACCTATAATACAAATATGACTCCAGGCCCAATTAAACTGCCACAATTACAGCATTACAACGAACGTTTCAAGTAATTAAATACGAGCATTGGTAATAGAAATAGCTCGCTACATGTTCCATATGTTGGAAATCAGTCTCGATTTAGTTCACAAGATTTTCTTTTCCAAAACAGTTTTGTTATTGAAATGATAAAGATTATAAAAGATCTCACATTAATTTCAAGACCCTACAACCTGAGTAAAATAAAATGATCTTAATAAAAGTGACCTTAACCTTTCAACTTATTTCGTAAGAGGCCACAAAAAGATATTAGAAAAGAATGAAACGGCAATCTCGTAAAAAAGTCTTAAAAGTGTCAAAGCTTAAAAATCACATATCAAGCGACGATTTCATGAAGTACTAGCAATTTTGTGCGTTTTTATTAAGGTCAACCCAATGGTGTATTGCTACTAAGATCAAAGTTTGTGTAATAACATTGCAATAAAATAACCATATCAAATTCTAAAGTAATATAAAATATACAATACATCGTACAAAAATGTTTCTCTGTTTTATTTGACGGTGTACAACTGAATTAATATTCTTACCTATAATGCCATCATTAATCCAAATCAATAAAAAAGTACAAATCAGTTTGAATTCCATATTTTATTTTGTCCAATGCAGACGTTATTCCTCGTAGTTTAATTTTAATACTTTTAACAAATGATCATTCTGATCTGAAATGTAACAATTTAGTTATGACAACTCCTAATTTGCTTCAGGGATAATAATATAAAATTTAATGTTGATGATAAGTAACCTTTTGACAATTAGAGTGAAATCGTTCTAATTTAATTTGCGATGACTGGTGATTTAACTATGCTTGTTAGACAATTAGGGCGTATGAAAGGTACAACAAGCAACATTATAAAAACAAAACAACATGCATTCGTCTTAGCAATATCTACTGTACAGCACCATGTGCTTGTGTTAAAACGTCATTTGTCATTTGCCCGACGAACACATAGCTCTCCACAACGTTTTATAAAGGAAGGATCGAACAATCGACCAAGAGTGATACATTTTACAAACTAAGTATTGTGCTCAGTGCTTAAAACCTAAACCAAGCATTGATTTTGATTTGGCTTATATTAAGAAATGCAAGTGTACAACATTTCATACCCTTCCATGGGTCTTCACGTCATAAAGTTTCCTGCTAATAATTCAGTTAGTTGATTCCCATAAAACACTCAAATAAATAAGCCGATTAATTATTTTGTATTTGCTGATTATGCGATTATCAAATTAAGAAATTGTTATACGAGTATACTGTTTCGAGTATTATCTCAAAGATCCCTACTTACAAACAAGAATATGACGTCTTTCGTGACCTACTCTTTAAAAATTGTTTTATAACGTTTTTTGATCCCTGCTCCAGGCACATGTTTTATAAGTAAAATCAAAAGCTCTACGTCAAGAGTCAACAACTTTGATAATCTCCAATATAATATTTACATACACCCGTAATAAAAGTTGTTTTGTAACGGTTTATCTATAATGATGATTAAGTGTTGAATGTTCTTATGTATCAAATTATTTTTGTCGTTTCACCTTGAGAAAAATAAATTACGACAGGCTAATACTTATTTTAGGTCAAACTTTGCAAATAAACATAGTTTGGGGTCCAAGATTTGTTTATACAGCTTAAAAGTGAAATCAAAATTGGTTTTGCTACCACAAAATATTTTTGGACATATGCATCGAGATTATTCTTAAAGAAGTAGCTATATAGTTTCCATTGTAAGTAGGACTACTTAAGAAGGCAATCTTTAGTAAATAAACACAACCTCGCCAGATAAACTCTCCACGATTTTGTGAAACGAAATATCAACCAGTGTTTTCTTTCAATCAAATTGTTTGTTTTCCATTTTACGATTGAATTTTTATTAAGGAGAGCTAGAAGTTAAATGAATGGACATTTGATGGGAGGGGCACTAACTGCATACAGGGGGTCTGGAAAAAGTCACAAAATCTCAGTCGAAGAATGTTAGCTGATTAATAGCTGATTCACATAACTCGGATTAAAAGTGGACCTTATCTATTTGGAATGAATAGCGGATTAATCTTGAATTAAATTTGATGTCAATAAACGGTTTATCTCTTTCATCAGAATATCTTATGAATAACAACTAAAATAAATAGTGAATTGATAACTTTAGTACATAATTACAGAATAATGAAAGATTTTTTATTTGCAGTTTGATATTTTACGGTTTTTATCGATCAATTTTAAGAACCTAAATTAATTAAGATATAATAAATCGATCGTAAAAACCTTCAAAATTTAGATCATTATCTGCAAAATGTTAAATCTGGGTTAAGGTGACATACTACAGATTTTTATCTGGCAAAGGGCGTTTGTGAATGGGACTAGACTAGACCTTATATCAAAACAAAACGTTGGACTGTCAACATATAACCCTTTAAGGACTTGGAATTTATCGGTAAGTGTATTTGATTTTATTTCAAACTGAATCTTTGTATGATATGTTTTAATTATTTAATTTCTAAAAATACATTTCAAAAATGTCATGACATATACCATATGGCGTGTTTTACGTTTTTCTGATACCGCCTGTTGTGCTTCGACATAAAAACTATCAAAATTATGTGCATGTTCTCTATATTCACTCCAAAAATAGTCTAAGTCAACATAAATATAGTTTAGAAACACTTTTACAAAACAAGTTTTGTTTATTTACTTATTTCCTGTGCCCGTTGATCTTAGCATTATAAAGTAAATTTTATTTAGGTTTACAGATGAAAATAAAAGCTGCTAAATACTTGCACAAATTGATAAGCTTTCAGAAAATTTTTAGTATAAAATTTTATGGATGCAGTTGTTGGTTTGAAAAAAGTCGGTCATGGTCATGCGGGCCTAACAATTCTTTTCTTCACTAAGCAATAAATTTGGATTTATGAGGTGATGCCATGTCGGCAAAACAAACATTATTTGAATGGAACTTTATATTCTAGGAACCCAGTTATAGCATGCACTTTGACTGAGGTTACATTCAGTGAAGGAGCCATGTCTGAAAATGCAAAATCCATGAAGATACCAAAATGTTTGCTGAAAGACGAAGCAGGGATAGCCATCGACTTAGGTACAAAAACTTTTGTTATATTATAATTATAAAAACGTAGTATGAGGTGTATGATGAAAGATATAGCGGACACAAAATTGGGAGCAGAATTGTAATTCATTAGGGTGTTTTATACAAGCCCTAAATACGTGGTTTGATAGTTTATCTTCCTTTTGCATTCGTTCGACTTCGCTTCTTATAGAGAGCTTTGTCTTCGGTTTATAACTAGACTCGCATGTAGGGTATATTTTGTCAAATGCCACAGTTATATATATAAATGCCGAAAATCTATTACTCTTACTATATCTTTCATCGAGCCGCCTACTCTGACCTCCGGGAATTGAGTTATAATTTTATAGAACGCTGTATTTCATTTAAAAACCAAAACTTCATTGTCTCGTGCAACAATGACATTCATGTATTAAAATAGAATCAGTTAGGACTTTAGGAATCATATGGTTTGGTTTGAATACAGGTATCTATGAAAGTATATCATAAATTAACATGCCATTTATTCAAGTAAGTTGAATACAGTGGTCCGGATAAAGCACTTGGCTCGTCACTCTCTTTTATTGCAATATATTGTTTAATCCTAAAAATAAAAGTCCTTGTATTATGAATCAAATATTGAATTAATATTTTGATTATTTAAAGAAGGTATAAACCGTTTTTTTTAATTTTAACATTGGAAATTTTTACGACTTTAAATTAACTTTTTGAAATTCCTGAATATATTCAAAACAAGGAATTGCTGTCTAAATACACAGATCTCAGATGTACCATTTTATTTAATACATTACAGGTGATAGATGTTTTTTTGATTTCCAGGTGGATCGTGTATTAAATGTGCTTACTACCAGTTCACGTCATCAAGCGACCCGGATGAAAAAGTAGATGTCACATGCATTACACTCCCATCCCAAGATGTTCTGGAGAGTATTCGGAAAATTCGTATAATTATGGATGGCATACCATACAAGTGGGACACATATACTATGAACGCTACTGGATTTGCTAGTTACAAGTTCAAAACCGAAATCATTGATATTCTCGGGATCCGGTGAGTTCTTATCTCCATACGTTCCACAGCTAAAATTTTTCAAAAAGATGATTTGTTGCATTCTGTCTGTAATTCAAGCTTTTTATCTATATCATTGTTTTTATAAGACGTTATATGTTCCTTATGATTTCAGCGATATGATACCAAGGTCTGAGTTTGACATTTGTGTGAAAGGCCTAAATATATTCCGCGATCAGCTGTCACCTGAGCGATACGTTGAAGAAATGGACAAAGACATCGTTGCGGCAGCTTACAAAAGCTTACGGGATTACCAATTGATAATGAGTAAGGTATGTACATGCAGACATTTCAGGTGGCAGCAAGATGGTTGAATTCAGAGAGATCTAAAATAATAGCCTGCTTATTTTGCTAACTGGAATTTTGTCTATATTGGGCTATAATATGGAGGTAAAAAAAATTGTGGCCTAACCGTACAGCAAAGTTGGTGATACCAAATGAAAAGCTATTTGTGGTTTCAAATCACAATGATTTTAATTATTTTAAATTGTTTTTAATCATTTAGATGATGAAAGAAAAGAAAATATCCTCCGACACCATTAACAGAAATAATGATGACCTGGAACACAATACAGCTAACCACAAGGAAAATACAATTCAAAGCAAAATACCTCTTACTGACCATGTGGACAACAATAACACAAACATTGATACTAATCGCCAAAGAGAGGAGAAGCACCGTACTGTTGATGCCGAGAATAACATGCATGCGCCTACTGCAATTAATGGAAACAACCAGGGGCAGGGAAATACAAACGCCCCCTATTTATTAGTGTCATTAGGGTCTGCAACCTCTATCATAAAAGTAAATGTTATTCCATGAAAATATGAAAATTAGGATAAGGAACCCTTAAACCTGAAACGCTCGTATCAGAATTTTTATTGTTACTTAGATGTGTTTCTAGAATACACTTTATTAGTTTAAAAGGATTGAAGAATTGGTTAGATTTTCTGAATTGTTTAAATTACAATCACATCAATGTACTTTAACAAAAGGTAAAGGAGACCATGATGAAGATTTGATCTTTGTTTCTTTCCATCAAAATGCAGGTTGGGTCCAGTGGTAGTTACAGTATAGTTGATGGCGTACCCCGCGGAGGTAGACAGTTCATCTCATTGATCTCCCTCATCACCGGGGCTAAAGTAAAATTGCTTATTATCATTTATAAATATTACAAGTCTAGTACTTCTTATTGACGGTTGATGATTTAACATATTCATAAAAACCAGAAATTCCGACCTGATGTCATTGCTGAAGAGTATTAAGATTTAAACATAAACGCACTTCAACCTAATGAAAGGGGTATACTAGTGCTTCTAACTAATAGTTTTTCTAACTAATAGTTCTTCAACTTCTCTTTTGGTATGCTATCATTTAGAGCTTCGAAGATGTTTCTGACATGTTGGAGAAAGGGGATCACAAACAGGTCGACACATTGGGTGTTGATTTAAAGAAGATCAGTGGAAACATTCACCAAGGGGGAGATATGTACTCGGTTATTCCAGACAATGCTACAGCTTATGCATTTGGAAACGCCATGTGGAAGACATCGGGTATGTTGGTACATCTTTCATACATATTATCTGAACAATAACTTGTTGAATATTCCACAATATTCCAAAAGTTCCACTTCGAAGTATTCATCAATATTTACATATACTGTACATCTTGTCATATAAATATTAATTAATCTCTGATGTCCTGATGATCCTGCAAACTTATAAAGATATCGATAATGGTTAAATGGTGAATCGTGAGTGTAAAAATAAAAAAATCATGCGGCACACTGTATATAATTAATTGGCGTTGTGATCATGCTGCTTTAGATGACTTCAGAAGAGAGGATCTTGCTGTCGCAGTGTTAAAACCATTAGTAGATGATCTTGTTGGTACAATCATAAATGCTGCAACTACACATGCTGTTAAGACTGTATATTTGACAGGGGGATTTGTAAACCAGCCTACAATTAAGAGCTTTTTCACGAAGGCAATAGTGTTCACTTCTACAAAGAAACGGGTGAGACAGGAATATATTCAACTATCATACAATTATTTGTTCCTTTACTTCTTACGGTATCAAGCCTCTTGATATTGAGATAACTATTTGCGAATAGCTAACCAATTTTTCACTCTTTTCCAGATTAAGACGGAATTCAAGTTTATCCAAAACGGGAGCCATCTTGGGGCATTTGGATGCTTATTGTGTGTATGATAGATCCATGACATTTTGAGCAATTTTTCTTCAATTGAATTGTAATTCGCATTGCATTGCAATTTGTGCTTATTCAAAAGGAACCACTATGTTCATTATCAAAATACAATGTTAAATAAAATGTATTGTAAAGCCTACATTGGGCGTTTGTTATACTAAGTGAATGTTTTCCATCCAGTTATTATTCATCAATATGGTGAAGGTTTTCATGATTTTTATGTACGCAAGTTCATTAAAGAAGCGCTATACATAGTTTAAAAGAGAAGAGGAACAAATATCATGGAAGCAGTACATATACTATAATACCCTTTGGAGGATATATTACATTCTGACTGGCTTGAGACGTGAGTGACGCATCGTGAAATACAGATATTTCGGCATTATGGCGTATGTACAAATACTAACAAATATCTTTAGTAAATACAAATGCCAAAGGGAAAGGACAAAGAAATGTAAAGAAGCCTAGCAAGAAAAAGAAACTCTAAACCTGTAATAAGACTCATAATCTGACGTGAAAAGAAAAAATGTCTAACTCCCCTTCCCCCTCCAATCGAGAACCAATATCACAATCCAGGATCAGAACACCAAGGGACATTATATTCATACTCAAGTCATTACGATAAAGAAGAAAAATGGAAAAAATGACAGCCGATACTCATAACATCAAAATAGTTGTAGATACTACAACTCCTGAAATTTTCATTCAGTCTCAAATGATGTGGGATAGACGCAATTGATTCGTCAAAATTAGATAGATTTTTACAGGCCAATTTAGAATTCTACATTTGTCACAATAGACTAGATGCGAGTAGAAATAATCTTGATTTACGTCATTAAATATTCAAAGTCAGTCAAAGTGATGTCATATTTGAAATCTACATGTAAAAGTACACCTAAAAATATGGTTTCGAAAGTTGTTTATCAACTTTGAAAATTTAATTTTTTTGAAAATGTGACTTCTTGTTCGGGTTGATTCCCCATAGACCCCATGTTACAAAATCACAAAAGTGAAATATCTTTTCTTGTATTGGACAGATAACATTTTCTTTTTCTGGACATATTTTAATTTGCATAACTATTAGATACATTAAAGGGTTATATGAAAATTGAACCACAAAAACAGATGTAATTTAAGTTAAAGGGAACTTTCTTCTATACCCGCCATGCTATCTAACCCGAACGAGCCACCTGGTGGTGAAACTGGCAACTACCTACTCGCATCCGCGTTAATAACGAGAATCAAGGAGTTTGATTGATAACTTATGATTCTCTGTCAATAATTCCACTTTTGTTAGATTTAATTAATTAGGACGAAATAGCACAAACGTACAAACGAAAGTGGATTATATAAAGAACTACTATACAGGTATTATCAAATAGACACTTTTATTCTTAAAGGTCAAAATGGTATAATTTGTCATGACTGAGATGAACTTTGACTTTTATTTTATCTACTTTGTGTTGGTAAATCTCATTTAACTTTAATTTAAACTTTGATTTAACTTTAAGTTTATCGTTAAACATTGATTTGATATTAAGTTGCAGATCAAAGTGATAGGATTGGTTGAAGTTATGGTTGCCATGGCAACAGAAAGAATGAAGAACCAGGGCAACTATCTTCTTCCTTATTGCTCTAATCAAATCTCTTCTGTTTGTATTGTTTTTCATAATTTACCCGTGTCATAGACTTTCTATGGTCACATCAGTTTCCACTCTGTGACATCACAAATTTGCTAGAAAATATATAACAATGGAAACAAGTTATTAAAACAATAAATACTGGCACCTAAGTTTATTTCTTTTCAGTTCGCATCTTTGCTTAGCATGGGGGATGTTTATATTAGGAAGAAAAGCTCATATTCCGCTAAAACGTTGAAATAATCAAATAAGCACGTCGGCCAGTACGGTCTGTACGACGTGTTGAGAATTGGGTGTGATAAGGGTTGATTGAAATGCATGTGTAAGACCTTACAGTGCGTATAAAAAAAACGCAACAAATTGTTATCTTAAAAAAGCACAAAACCAGTGATAACAGCATTGATTTCATTCAACGCACCATGAAGCCATGTGTCTCTTCTTTACAATGGTATATCATTCATTGATATTTGGTCATGGTTGGGCGAGTAATCATTCCATTTGCAAAGTGGGCCAAAATTAGCTTTGGGCCAAGTTATAAACATTGAAAAGGTCAGTGTACGGAGCCCGGTGCAATATTGGACAGAAACATAAAACCAATGCTGACTGAATCCTTTTAATTCAATGTACCAAAAAGCCAAATTACTCCTCTTTGCAATGGAATATCATTTATTCACAGGGAGTCATCTCTGGCCGAATAATCATTAATTTTGCAAAGTGGGGTAGAATTCAGCTCGGACCCAAGTTTAAAACATTGCAAAAGTCAGTACAAGGGGCATAGGGGCTATTGGAAGAAGGTGTGACAGGTATGGCATAGACAGTAAAGTGTTCATACTCATACTCTTGCAAGAATACGTCCTATACCCCTCCAAATTGCCACCACTTCCTTGCACATAAAAATGTGCTCATCTGTCCACCTCATGCATGGTTCAGCCCTGAATCATCTGTGGGTTAAAGTAAAGAAAAGCAGCCCATGGGCAAATCTTTCTCGAGGTTTTGCAATATCTGGTGGAGCAATTGTGAGCACAGATGCTCCTGAGATAGCTCCAAAAGAAAAAGTCACAACAATTCAAGTCAGGGGAACTTCCATTGGCACTTAGCCCTTGCACTGATTTTTTCAATATCTAAAACTTGGTGCAGAGCCGATTTTGACCCACTGTGCAAATGGAAGGATTTCTCACCCAACCATTACCACACATGAATGAATGACATATCATTGCAAATAGGAGAGACATAGCTTTATGGTACATTAAATGAAATTGATGGAGTCATCACTAGTTTTGTGATTTTACGAGATAACTACTTGTTGCGTTTTTTTGATACGCCCTGTATATCGATAACTAAAATTTCACAACATTCCTAACACAGTTAAAAAGCCAAAATTCTCAAACACAATACGTTGCTGTGGTATTCTAATTAATATAACTTACATGCTTTCACAAGCGATTTAGCTCTGATTGATCCACTCACTCAACTGGTATACCTTTTGCAAATTTGATAAAAAATAGCAAAAACGTGCAACAATTGGCTCAATCTATAAGAGTGAACAACTCATATTTGAGACAAGGGTTTTATTTTTAATTGTGACAAAATCGTATTTTGCGCCAAAATGATTCCTTTTGATGTGTCTTTGACAATCGTGTCACGTGATGTAAATTTCTGCTCTGAAAATAAAATTAGTCTTGGCGCAAAAACAGACACATGCTGACTTTGTATCCACGATATTATGACAAAAAGAACCTGTGACTAGATTGGTGAATTTGAACAATGTTCAATTCAAGACTCCAGATTCAAGTTAATTTATTTAAAAATGATTTTGACATGTGATATTGCTGAGAAATGATAACGAAAATGTAAATGTTCTATTCTTACCGAAAAGCAAAATATTGAAAAGTGGTGTTGGAATTGCGAAAATTAGGAAAAATGACCTTGATTTAAATCGTGACCTTGAGCACTCAAACTTTTGAGTTAACTGATTTTTAAGGTCCTTTTATTTTGTTTAAACCTAGATTTTGAAAATTTAAGCTTTTTTACTTTAAAATGTCATAAAAGGTAAACCAAATATCGGGTTTAAATTCCGATTTCAGATTCCGATTTTCAAATTCACACCAATTACGGTAGATTTGGAACTTTCTGAAATTCCCTTCTTTGGGAGTCAAACCCAAAACTCTTAAAAGTTATCAATTTGGATTGATTCATTAAAAGCACCTTTTCCGATCTACACGATGAAAAAATTGAGAAAAATAGTTAACCATAATAAAGATAATTGACAATTTGTAAATTTGACCTAGGTTTTGATCTTTGATAAAAGTTTGACCTAATTTTCCAGAAACACACATACCTTATCTGACCATGTGAATAACTTTACCCCAAGTCTTCTAGTCACTGAGAAAACGTGCCAAGAATAAAAAATACAGGCAAAAGCAATAGATTATCAATCTGGAGACTAATTAAACAATAAATATATTTCACATGAATGCAATAATAAAATTGCTACAATGTGGATAAAATTACCATGCAAAGATAAAACTCCTGTCAAAGCTCCCTATCAAAGATGGATATTCGTCAAACGATACAAGAAGCTGTTTAAAACATAACACTTAACGTTTATCGTCATAGAAAAGATTCGAAGTTTTATGTTCTGTTAATAATTTACATCAGAAATAGTTAATATCTAATGAACACGGGCAATAATAAATAATAAATACAAAGATCAAGGACAATTGGAATTTTGGACACAGAGCTGAAGAAGAATCCTTGGCATGGTTCTGCCTTAAGATGTTCCAAAATATAAGTAACGTGTCGATTCCAAGAGAACTCCTGAAGGAAGATGCTGGAATTTCTCTCGATATGGGTAAGTTCCTTTAAATTCTCAGCTCAAAGAAATAGATAAAATAAGCTCACAATACCAATGCCAAGGACCAATGTATTGTTAACGCCCAATGGTTCAGGTGACCTGTATGTTGGCTATTACTAAAATTTAATAATTTTGAGGGAAGTATGCACAATATGGTCTATTAAATATGGCATGCATAATGAAATTATTTGAACATTATGTGTCCATGAAGTATAGAGGCACCTTTGATGTCCATATTTCATTCGTATACAGTACTGTGCTAAGCATGATATTTGAAGCAACAATCTTACAGTATCTTATACTGTCCGTCAGAGAGACAAGTAGAATGAGTTCTGTGATATATTCTTAAGTTATTCCGAGAGGAAAAAAGTGTATTAAATAAAGTATCATGGGACAAATAAGGAAGTTGAAGCTAATTTAAGTATCATTTTAGACATGATTATGTCATTTTGGTTGTATAATTCTACAGCCATATATGATATGCTGTACATTGGCGAAAATAATATTGACGTCCATTCTTTATAAAAAGTAAAATATATTAAGAAATTAACGTTTTTTGCCAAACCTGAACCTGTATATGCAAATTGATGAAGTCATATAAGTCAATGAATAATCGTTTGGCGGATATTTCGTTCCAGGAGGATCCCTTCTCAAATGTGCCTACTATTCAAGCGAAACATCAGAAAAAGAAGTCATTATAAAGATTCTTACGCTATCACCAAAGGGTGTTCTGGAAAACATGAAAAAGTTACGTTCTGAGATTTTGGACAATATCCACTTTCCTTGGGACACGTATACAATGGCTGCAACGGGTATCACTATCTATAAATATAAAGATGATATCATTAAAATTCTCGGTATAAGGTTTGTACTTGTATTAGTATTAGTAATAATTTAAAGAGGTCGTATTGTTGTATGTCTCAAATGACATCCCATGTGCGTACAAATTGTCACCTGTGTATTTGTGAAATTATCATACATAAAAGTTGCACATTTATATCTTATGTTCCTTACTTTGTTTTCATTGCAGAGATCTGACCATACACTCCGAATTCGATGCATGCGTCAAGTACGTGAATGCGATTCGTGACAACCTACCGAAAGAACGATACATAGAGGCAAAGAGTAGTGAGGCTATAGGCCGAGCACACAAAGCCATGCAGGATTACCAAGAGTTTTTTACCTCCATTGATTTCAAAGTAATTTCAGCGTCTCTGTCATCTACGTTTACAGTTTTTAGTGAATGTTCTAAATTTGCAGTTTGACTATCCACATGCTTAAATTGTGTTACAAGAACTTTCTATGAACTTGAAACGATCCTTCATATAGCTATAGTCATATTACAACATGATAGTCATGGTTACAACCATTGATTAAAAACCATGCAAACATACGAAAACTTTTTATTTGACTTCTGTGATTGATGTGTATTTTTCTTCATTGTCACTAAGTAACTCACAATCAATTTTAGACCAAAGCTGAAACTCAAGAAAACAATAACGACAAAGACGATGCCAACAGTGAGATCAACCAGACAATTGAAGATGTCTCTGACACAATACCTGATGAAATAAATAACGTTGAGCAGCATTCCGACGAAGCAAAACAAAAAGCTGAATATCCATACATGTTAGTCAATATTGGCTCTGGTGTGGGGATTCTAAAGGTTACTGGTGTATTTGTATTATCTCTTTGTCTCAATTCCCTCTTGGTTAGTCTATATTGGGCGCCGTAACCACGAGGTTGCGAATTCGAGACGGGTGTGCTCGTGTTTATTTCATTAATGTTCACAGGGTACGTACCAACTTAAGCGTGAGAGTTGAACGATATGATCTAGTTTCTGACAGCTTAATTGTTATGTTATAGGCCAATGCGGATGGGTCCAATTCCATGATAAATGGTTTGAACCGTGGAGGCAGATCATTTATATCTCTAGTATCTCTTACGACAGGTGCCAAGGTACGTGCAAGATACAAAGGTGTAACTGTTTATTTCGATTGAGAGTCGATAATATCATTCCACAAGCATTTTACAAGACATTATATTACAATTGATTGTTTATATAACGCTAGGATGTACTTCCTAATATGTCTAACGTGTAATTACGTCAATTACGTGTATTTTTATTTCATGTCAATGATATTGAAGATAAAAGCTTGAACTAATGCACTTTTGATGTTGCTAGAATTTTGATGATATATCAGAAATGCTATCAAGAGGCGATGCTTCAGCAGTTGACACACTCGGGAAAGACATCGAAAATCGGGAAGAAAATATGTATTCCGCAATCCCAGATGACGCAGTTATATACACTCTGGGAAATGCATTGTGGAAATCTCCAGGTAAGATGAGGCTAAGGGATAGGTCAGATGATTAGGCATTTTCTTGAACGTAATGGGAAAGCATACCTTAATTCAATTACATACATTTAAATATTGCGGTGAAGTATTATAAATTTTGTAGTTTATTCAGATACCCAAAGTTAAAAAGATCTGAGGAAGATAATGTAGTGACTTCGGTTTTGAACTCTCGAATATGGACACATTTAACGTTTGATGAGTCTGTACACTTTAAATAAACATTTTATTTCTGTTCTGTAACTTTATAGATGATTTCAAACGGGAAGATATTGCAGTAGCCATCCTGAGAATGACCTGTGAAGAAATTACCCAATTAATCAGTAGCGAAACCAGATTAAATGACGTCAAGGCAGTTTACTTAAGTGGTGGCTTTTTGGTTCCGCAGAAAACGAGAGAAATCCTGACAGAAGGTCTCACTGGTTTGACATTAATGAACAATGTAAGTGTGTAGTGTGTAGTGTAGTGTAGTTTATTCAGTTTTTCATGAATCTTGTGTATTAGGTGAAATAATGACCAATGGCCGATAGCCCCGAGGGCATTATTTTCTCCTTAGACCTAATTTGAAAGTAAGCATAGATCAATATTGTTATAATGTGGGTAGGATTGGCTCTCAGAATGCAATTTCGATATTTTCCAACAACGAATCCAATCTTGAAAGATGTCATGATTACGCTTCTGAATTTGAACCGCAAGTTTCGGTCTTATTAATATTTCTGAAGAAAAAGTTTCAAAACACAAAAGTCTTGATTAGTATTATTTCAAATCTTTTGGATTGCTGATCATGAATTTTTAGTCAGTTATTTTGTCTGAAAATAATGACGTTAAGGACATTTTTAATGTTGATATCGATCAAGGTCAAGGTCAAATATCGAGTTGCGTCCCTGGGAGCCAATCCTCCTGGGTTACAACTGTACATTCTTTAACGTGAACTACAGTTCATTCTATTATGTGAAACATGTTGAACCTTGGAATCATTTTAGCAGCTTCTTTTTGGAACTTTTATCCCAAGGTTTGACGTTAGTAATGTTGTGCCTTTTAACCAAAACGAGTACTGATTTGTTGTTATAAATAAGGTAGCAAAATGCTGAAAACACATTTAAAGTGTCATCACTCGATCAGTAAAATTGAATCCACCCTAACTGTATTCTGAAAACATATTTTTCAAAAGTACAGTATGATATCACGAAGATGTCCGAAGATGATCAAACCATTGCTCTTATACATGTATTACCTACAGTATTGTTTAATACCCATAACATTGGTGCCATCTTTTTTATGAATACTTGAGCAAAATTCATTGATTTTTCATACAGGAGATTGTACTTCAACTGCATAAAGGATATTTTTGTGTCACTCTCCGTGACTGAAGTCGTGTGACTTTTGCTTCCCTACTTAGTTTATATGAGGGTGGGAGGGTGGTTGGTTGGAAAATGTATTTTTCCAGAATTACATATTATTTTCAAATATCAAATCTCATTTCTACCGAAAACAAAAATTCTGACGCATTTTGGAGCATTATGGGGTATCTGCACTTAATGACCCCCGTCTCAACCTATCTGGGTTCAAACTTTTAAATATTTTCCAAAGTATAATTTGACATTTAATTGAATATCTAGTAATTGTAAACCTAAGAATAATCCATTTTGGTCATAAGGGTATTCATTTTGAAATTGATTTTCATAAAATTAAATGACCCCTTGGGTTTGAAAGGGTTAATATCTCATTTTACATTCATTTAAATTTCAAATGGAGGTCAGATTCTTAATCAATGCTGACCCTTTCAGCTTTCCAGCGGTGTATTGGAACTACATACTATTTCCAAATATCAAATCTCATTTCGACCAAAAACAAAAATTCTGGAGCATTTTGTAGCATAATGGGCCCACTGCACTTAATGACCCTTATCTAAATTTGCATTCTCTAAAAAATCAAATGGAGGTCAGATTCTTATAGCTTGACCCTTTTAGCTTTCCAATAATACATTGGAACCTTAGTTCAGAGGTGATCATGTATCACGCCTAACCATCGCGGAAGCAGGCGTCACCGTACAGCGTCAAAAATACAGTAGTACACTTTTCTGTACGGTGACGAAAATTAACTGAGTTGAAGCAAAAACCATAATGAGGTTTGTAAAAAAATTAATTAGATGAAAATAAATACGATTTCGGGTGTAATAAAAACAGCATTCTCTTAGAAATGGTTTTAACTTTATAATTATGATAAAAGTTTTTCGATCACTGTTCGGATTTTCTCTGACTGGATCGGCCCACATAGTCGACTGCGAGTATGGATAATTTTTATGAGAATATGTATTTGTTATCTACACATTTTAGAACAGATGAAGATTTGGCAAATAACCATTCACTGTATATATTCAAAAAAGATCAAATCTGTACGGTGACGCATCTGCTGTACGGTGACGATTGCTTAGAATTTAAGAAGCGTAATATATGAGCTCAGTATTAGCTTTAGATTCCATAAGTTTTGGTGTGGAAATTCAAATGTTGTATCCCATACAACATTGAAAAAGATCAATTCTTATGTTTCCATTAATTGTTCATAACAAGTATTAAATACTGAAACACATTCAACTCTAATCTTTCTGTTTGAACAAGAGGTAAAGACGTGTGTCAGATCTACATGTACATTATCACTGGTAAATATCAAGCGAAGCTTACGGCCGTCACCTTCGCATTTAATATTTTTAGTTTTCATGGAACAAACTATTTGAGAGTTGACGATATGCTTTGATATCATTTGAACTAAACCAGGCTTTTCTCATATGACTTACAAAGACAGCATATAGTCATCTTTACCCCATGCAAGATATTGCAACTTTCATCCTAAAAAGTCACACGTGCAAGATGTGATTTACATGTGACATTACTTGTTTAAAAACATCAATAACGTAGCAACAAATACACTGAGTTTTTGGTTTCATGATTCTTACTGTATCATACATTTCCAGTAACCTTCCATTAAGCGTGGAAGATATTGTTGAACTGTGGCGCCCATGCATTATATATGAACAAATGATCATACTCCAGAACTTCCATTTCATTTCATTTTAGTATCATTTAGTTCATCAAAGCAGAACGCAAACGATAAAGAAGTTTAATTCGAATAAAACTAAAAATATCGAAATCGACACTTCCTTTCCGACATCTTAAATTCAAAATTGACTGCAGTAACTTTCGCTTGATACTGATCGTTTGACGACATTTATACGAGGGATACTTGACTGGATCAACATTTGAACTTCCACACTAAAACTTATGCGATTTGAAATAAATAATGAGTTCTTCATATTACTTCTCACAAATTATAATGAATCGTCACCGTATAGCTTATGCGTCACAGTACCAATCTGATCTTTTTTAAATATACACAATGAATGATTATTTGCTGAATCTTCGCCCGTTCTAAAATGTGTATTTAACAAATACATATTCTCATAAAAATAATCCATACGCTCAGACGGCAGGGAAAATAATAACCAAAAGAAATGTGAAAAAGACAACCTTTTTCACTTGGGTCGATTATGTGGGCTGATTCACTCAGAAAAAATCCGAACAGTGCTCGTAAAACGTTTATCATAATTAGAAAATTAAAACCATTTCTAAGTGAATGCTGTTTTTATTTCACATGTAGGGCTGCCATCATTAGTCGGAACGTCGACTTGTCAGTCAAAATGCAAGTTCGACAACGAAGTCGACAAAATTCCCGTCATGTCGACAGCAAACGATATCAATACTTACTTGAAAATATCCAAATGGCCCCAATACATTTCAATACACATTTCAACGTGTTATGTGCGCGTATTCTGCGGAAATATTGTTCACATTCATTTCATTTTCAAAAAATAAATTCACCCGGAAGTTCCCTTCATGACTTCTCTTCTCTCTTGCGAGACGTTGTACGAGATTTCGCCCGAGCAGTCGAAATAAATCCCGGTCGAAACATTGCAGGTATTTGTCCCATTTTCGTCTATAATATTCTATTAACTTGGCAACAAATAAAACATATTAACATTTGTATGATATTTGTGTTGAAAGATTTGGAAAAAACTAACCAACAACACAGAAATAATTTTTCTTTTTTTCCCGATGATTTTTTCTCCCTGGAAAGTTCGATTGTCGACAATATTTTCGACAGCAGAGTTCGACTGTCGACACTGACATTTGAGTTCGATGGCAGCCCTATTCACATGAAATCGTATTTGTTTTCATCAAATTAATTTTTTAGAACCCTTGTCATAGTTTTTGCTCCAAAGCAGTCGATTTGCGTCACCGTACAAAAAACTGTACTCCGCTATTTTTTGACGCCGATGGTTAGGCGTGTGTTTATCACCTTAGTTTGCTCTACTAGGGGCATATATAGACTGAAGGAGCATCGGATCTTTACGTTTATCGTTATTTCTTTTTAAACTTATAAATGAGGTTAATAAAGATGGCAGATTATTAGTGTTTTCTATACTTTTTAAATTCGAAATAACTCCAAAAACAAATTGTAAATAATGAAATAACTCTTTGAAATATTAGTGTGAGATTCTAGTTTCTATGGTTCATATGGAGTGATTCTTTTTTCAGTCTGTAGACTTCGAATTTATCAAGCATGGATCACATTTAGGAGCTCTGGGATGCTTGATTTCCAGCAAAGGTTCATAGACAAGACAACTCCAGCACTTAGTAGCAGCTGTAAATAATGATGTGCAGAACTAAAGAACAAACACAGAACAAACTAATTCATTCAAAATTGTAATCAACTGAACAATTTGTTTCTATTTTGCGGAGATATTTTATAAATAATATTTTATTCTATTTATATGATGTTAATTACATACAGGTCTGATGTAATATTTGTTTTCAAACATAAACCGATATTGAATACATGTATCATCAGTACAATAACATGGTGAATTTCATTTATTAAACAGTTACATATGCGTTACATATCGAACAAGTATAATTAAACAATCACAGTATGAGCTATATAATACACTATACATATCCACGTGCCAAACCTCAACAAAAACTCAAAATTTGTCTTTATAATATTTTGAGTCTTTCTTGTCATTAGAGTCAGTGATGTAAGCAATGTTGTCGTACACAATCGTAGTTCCGTTGTTCACCTGTAATTCTTCATATTTCCCTGAAAATAAAATCTATATGTCATGCTTATACATTCATTTAAAATCATGTGATTAGTTTTTAGCTGGATAATGATATTATATAACAAATGTCATAATTTAGGGGAAGTATTTATAATGTGATATCGTTATTTGGGATCGTGCTTTTTATGATTTTGAAGCTCGAACTCACAACTAAAATCAACAGATAACATTGATTAGTGTTCAGATTCAATTAAAGGTGGCAACCTATATACGCTAATAAATGATTAACAATGGCTACCTCCTTGCCGAAGTAGCCGTTTTGCCTCTGCTTCTTTGTGGTCCAAGTCTTGGTATAATATGTAGGCGAAACCATATCTGTATAGAATAGATGAGATGATAGCCCCGGCTATAGGCCCCACCCAGTAAACCTGAAAAAAGAAACACAAGGTAGCTAACATTACATTGTTATAAAATGATTCATTAGTAAATAAATTTAATTAAAAAAAACATAAATTAATAAATAATTATTATTAGTATACATCGTGTGTTTGTTTTGCCACGGATGCTAGTAGTACATACAATTTGTACTTTACCATTTACCACCTTTACTACAAAAACAACAATCTCAAAAACTAACATGGCTTCAAAAGCTAACCAGGCATGGTGAAGGATTCAAAATCGATTCAAATGTTAGAAGTAAAAATTGAAAACACTTTCTGAAACGGATGATTAATGTATCTCGCGTACACGACAAACAATACGATTGAATATTGATGTAGAATGAATTCAATGCTAAAAATTGCGTCGAACCATTATTATTCTTAAAAGAAATACGAGGGTTGTCCCAGAAGTAATGCAGTATATGCTCTAACTTTATCAATAATTGATATTTGTCCATGAAATTTTCAGTAAATGTTCCTTGACATTTTGATTATTCCACAAATTTCCATGTTGACTGATAAAACTATATTGATGTTGTAATAAAATCAAGTTGGTTAGTTTGAGTAGGGTGGGGCAGGTAGTCACGTCAAAAGGAACAAAAAATTGAAAATATGAAATATTTATCAACAAATACCACTTTGTGTAGCTATAAGAAGTATGGTCAAAAATACATTTTAAGATACTTTACTAGGAGCTCATCCTAGTTTAATGGATGTATATTGCACAGTGTTACTTTTGATGCCTGTCAGGTCAAACACTCTTGGCAATTTCTTCCACTGTGACTTGTGGAGTTTTTGCCTCCCATGTTTGTCATCCAGGGTCAAATCATCTCTTTTAAATAACTTCTGCCACCTCATAATTGTAGTTCTATCTGGTATATACTCCTTATATAATTTATTTTTTTGCGTGGCTGTGAGTCCTTGTGAAATATGAAATTAGGCCACCAAAAGCAAGACATGTTATCAGGTGAGAATTGACAGTGACTGTATTTGAATGCGTGACTATTGAAATGTGGTATTATGACATCACAGTGCTAAATGTCATTTGTTATTTGTACTTGGTTAACATCATGCTGAATAAATTGAACAATTTCTCAAACATTTTGATCATTTAAAGGAAAGAAATATTAATAAAATAACACTTTAGATATTTTCATAATTAGAAAGATTGGTACAGAGACTTCAAGGTATAATAGATAAAACTTCAATGTTATATACACAAAATTTCAACTGAATTGAAGAATATTAAAGAAAGTTAGAGCATATAGTGCATTACTTCTGGGACAACCCTCGCATAGAGCAAATATACCCCGCGCGCAGAGTTTATTTATAATTGGTATATTGCCTTTATTGAAATAAAAAATCATCAAATAAAATTTAATTACATATAATAAGTATTTGCCTTAGCTTTTTACTTTTCCGCAATGTAGTAGACTGATGCCCCTACTTACCCAATGTGACCTCCAAAGTCGCATAATAACAGCGGGTCCAAGAGATCGCGCGGGATTAAGGCTAGCACCGGTAGATTTTACCTGAAACATATTTACATGTAAAGAAGGCAGAGTTATCGCTACATTGATGTTGAGTTTATGATGCAACATACATGAGAGTGAAATATTGAATGTGAAATATATGTTGTCAAATATTTCTACACATATTTGTCATGAAAATAATCAAATAGACAAATCACCCGTGAATATATATCACGGAGATTAAGCAACGGGGATGCAAAGTTGAATAGAAGACAATATTGGAGACATCTTTTGAAACAATGGTCTACTATGCCTTTCTGTTTGATGTGTTTGGGGCTGAATTTATCCATCGAAGCAAGAACATGAACAAATCTTGGATCGAATTTGTTTTCAAATTTGGATCTATTTTTCTGTTAATTAGTACTGGTAATGACATGGGTATTTATATTGTCTACCCTCACCCCCATCAATACTAAGGCGGTAAGAGTCGTGCCTATAGGTACGGATGGAACGTATCTTGGCTTTAAGCGTTCATCAGTAGCACCCAGTATGCTTAATATCAAGACAGCTGTAAAGAACATCTCCAAGAGTACGGCCTGGGTGTCGGTCACTTCTGGCCCAGGGGCTGTCACAGCGAGGTTACCGCGTCTTGAAGCAGGCGTTACGCTAAACAAAAAAGCATTCTCATCAAAAGGTCTGTAATTAAATGTGTCTGTAAATTTGATCCTTTGTAAAAAACTCAAAAAGACTGGACCCTAGCTATCAACATTACAAGTACCATATTTGTTTCAATTTCAAAGGGCAAATATTTTATTTCAATGATAACAAAAAAGGTTTACATCAGTCTTCATGTCTGTTGGAGTAACTTTTGAACTTGAAATATTGAACTTATCTTATTGACCAGAAAAAGGGGCAATTCATCCATAAAAGTAAACATTAATTTTACATTTAGATAACATTTCCTCACCCATATATGAAGCCAGCCCCTGCTAGAGCGCCAGCTATCTGTACTGCTATGTAAGGAATAGCTGTAATTGAAAAATCAAACAATTGTGACTAGAAAAACACGCCATGTAGTTGTTGAACCCTTTCAAATACATGACAAGTTCGACATTCTTAGTTCAAATCATGTGTTAACATTTAGACATTTTTGATTTTGGATGTTTTCAATGTTTTAGTAAACGCGAAGATACACTCCCCTCTTTAAATTTGGCAACCTTAACTCCCCCATTGGATTACGTGCTAAAGCCTATTTAATATATTTATGTTTGACTTTTTATTTGCATCGTCTGTGAAGAAAATATTAATTTCAAGGCTTGAAATATATATTTACATAATTTCGAATACCTACAGTTTTACATTTGGTCGGAGATTGATGGAAAATCTGATGTTTTTCTGATGAAGTTTTGAAAATCGACATTCCCATATAAACCAATGGGAACTGGTATGTTTGCCGCAAGTCATATGACAGAATCTGAGTTCTCGCAAAAATACAAGTTTGGTAGAAAAAATTGAATTGACAAACTTTATTTAACAAAACAATGATATTTTTTTCACATTCAACAATTAAAGTTATAGGTCTCCATAGTCAAAACTACAGTAAAACCTGAGTTAGTGAACACATCTCTCTGGTGAATTCCTGTCAACAGTGAACGTTTTTATTTGGCAAAACCTCTTCTGTTGAAACAGGAGTGACTTATTATAATTTTTAATTAGCTTTGTTTTTGCAAGACAGGATATTCGTGTGTGCAAGGGCAAGTCACTGGGATGAGGTGGGCAAGTAAGTCCCAACTTCATCTTTTTCTCATCCCATTTTCTCATTTTGGGGTGAAAATAGAATGTCGTCGTGTTTTAATTATTTATGTACAGGGTTCAACGAGAAATAAATGTTTTAAATAGATTTATCTGAACCATTTTTCTGCTCTTGGAGTTCTTGTTTTTTTACCGGAAGATTAGGGTGTGTTTGGTGTAAATTATCACAATGTATTTGCGTGGCAACTAGAATTAATTTTGGAATAAATTTATAATAATCAAAAAAGTCCTACCAAATTAACTTTTTGAAATTAAATTGAAACGTTTCATAAGACTATAGGCAATGTTGTTTAAACTTTATATGGGCCTTTAAAATTCTGGCTTACCTTATCAAGATATCATTTGTAAATAAATTAAACCTATTGTACATGATGCCCGGAGCATGTGATATAAACCAAAACAACCCAATAAGGTGTGTATTGATGATTTACTTTCCTGTTATCTCAAAATTTGCGTAGAACTATACCACTGGATTACTATGGGAAATTCTTAAAAGAGAAAACTCTAGGGATAATGGAAGGGGTACCATTTACACAATTTGAGAAACCATTGGCATACATGAAACCTATTAAAATCAACATTAATATTACTTAAAATCGATCATAATCAACGATTCCCACTTCCCAGTCCTCTGAAGTTCAGAAAATAAAAATACCTCCAGGTGTTAATCCATAGATAATTCTTGAAAATGAGAAATATTTTTAGGGATTATATGGTGCAATCTTATAGTCAATAAAATGTATTAAAGTGTATTGATGTTTTTAGATCCCCCGATTCATTCTACAAACAACTCGTGGTCCTTTTTTATCTTGAAACGCCAAGAGAACAATCTAGACATGACATTTACCACGTTTCAACCTATATATCAATGAAAACCTTAATGGAATAGGTTGTTATAGTGAAGTATTTTGCTTTTATATCAAGTGTTTTATCATACCAATGTAAGCATTTATAGAAAATATGATAACCTAAATACTTGTAGTTATTAGTCGATTAATTACAGATATTTTAACCTGAATCATTAGAATAAAAAATATGAGTTAATGATTTTATGAAATGATGAGCTCATCGGAAACCTCACCTAAAATATTTGTTAAATGTTGATTTGAAATTTAAAAATTGCAACGATTTATCTAAAAATAATCCAATACTACTCAAATGACCCTTTGACACAATTCGTGTTAGACAAATATCCCGACAAATATCATGATCCATTGTTGAAGCTTTTTGATGACCTTTTCACTTAAATGTGATTTTAACATTTCAACAACATGGTCTAGCTAGTCTCTTAGAAGGACGTTTATCAGATAAGTCATGAAAACAAAATAGGATATATTAATACAACATACGATTTCAATAATTGTTCTTACAGCGTGATCCAAAGCAGTCGTAGCCAAAGTTTAAATAAATTATACAATCAGCTCGTATACTAGTTACACAAACTAGAATCTATGTATGACAAAATAACATGATGATAATGATAAACAATAAGACATTAGCACTGTGCAAGACTCCATCGGGGACAGGTCAACGGTAGTCAAAGTAATTGAAATCACACATGATTCTTCAGTAGAAGACTGAGAACTGCAGAACCATAAAAGAACAAACAAGAGATAGATGACAAACCTAACCATCCAAATGGTCAGAATGAAATCACGGGTACATTATTTAAACATTAAACACTTGATATACACAACGCTTATTAAACACTGCGAGATCTGGCGCAATTGCATTGGATGGCGTTCTTAGAAATCACTCGGGAAACAGTCGATCCCGATATTAATGACACACGGTTTGACTAGCCCCTGCTCCTGATATCATGATCTATGTTTTGAAAAGTTCACACATTTTTTGAATCATCTAGAGTAGATCATCCTTTGAATCATCTTTTAACATGAAACTAAAGTAACCAGTTTTTGGTGTGGCTGTTTTTGGGTCACTCTGTATTTATTCAAAGTTGTAAAGCCTTATCTTGCTACTGATGATATGTGATATACTACATAGTTATTGTATTTGAGACAATGTTATCTCCATGAGAAGTGGCGTTTAGTTTTGTAGAACCTATTTCATAGTTTATGTACATAGTACACTCCCATTCGTAAATTTGGCAACGGGGAGTCCCTTTTTGGACCAAAGCCTGAGTATATTTTTGGTGAATTAAAATAATGCCATCAAAGTTAAAACTCAATAAACTAATGAAATTAGGGAACAGCGTAAGAGCAAGCAGGCTTTGATACACAATCCAATGGAAACTTCAAGTTGCCAACATTGGGGGGGGGGATGTAAATCGACAGTCATTTAAATATCACTTGTCTAGTTGCAACAGCTCTCAATAGAAAGTGAAGAAAGTTACGATAGCATTTTGCATAAATTATTGCTCTCGAGGGATCGCAGGGATCAATTTTCACATTTCATTTCTGGTCCTTTTCTGTTTTACTTTCTTAGATTCTTGTACGTCCGTCCCGATTCTTCCGTTTTGAAAATGCGAAAGTTGGGATAGACAAGAATGCACGAGGTTTAGAGTGTGTATGCCAATTTATACTGAAAAGGGTAGCGACCTTGGTATGATTGAAGTTATCTAAATATTGCACCATATCTTTGATAATATATGATTTTCGTATTAGCCTTGAGATGTTATTATGGCCCTGATAAAGGATTATCAAAGACTGCATGTTCAGTATAAAGTTTTAAAAAGTACAGTTCAGATATAGCACTTAAATGTGAAGTATAAGATCGAGTTTTTAACTTGTCAAAGACAAAGGTCATTTAACATGTTTTCGTTATGATGACTCAAACATCCCGAACTAAATCAAAAATGTAATATGATGATTAAATACTATGTGTACATAATTTAGAAATTAAAAACCATGCATTACCTAGAGAAAATAGGGAGTGTAAGAAATGTTATAATAACTCATTAGAGAATCTTTACCATTTTATTATGGGTTGTGATAATTATGTTGACAGAAAGGTGATCGGATTGAAAATTTGACTAAGGAAAATCCTACATTTAAGAAACTTTCAAACTTTCAAGGTTTTATTTAACAATATTTTAGGCATGAAGTTCCCAATGGAAAATTGGGATAATGTTTTGATTATTTCATTTAAGAATGTCTCAAGTATGTACCAATGAAGATTTATTGGCTGATTTACCAATGTATCCATTGTTATTTTGGGTCTAAATTTTGCTCATATGTATACATGCATAATTCATGATATTGTAATTGTTTAATTAGCATAAGGTACAGTATAGTGTAAGATTATTTTAATTGTCAAACTATTCTTCAGTATTGGAGGCTTAATAAATAAATAAATAAATAAAGATAAGAAACTGCTAGATTACGACATACCCACAATATAACTACACGTTTAAGATACGATACCTGCAAACATATCACAAAACAAAATATATAAATCATTACACTTAAGAGTTTCATTCTGTGTTTTTAACCATTAAGATTGTCTGTAGAGACAAGTAGTTCTTTTCAAATCAACTCTAATATCAAAGTGGACCATGAATGTAAAAAATATGATGCTCTTAGCTTTCTCTAGGCAGACATGTCCTTTTGTCAGAAATGGCATTGATGAATGGTATTTGGGTGTAGGTCATGTTTGCCACGTTTAACGCTTGAATATCGAATGGCACAACATGACAATGAAAATGGGGACAATGATCACAATTCTTTTTTAGCAATTGACCTTCATTACAGATTCATATAATATATGAATCTTTTCATATTATGTTAGATATAGCATTTTAAGAAATTAAAATTATATTTGTTTTGCAGAAGAATATATAGTTTCCTAGATTAAAAACATATTGGCACTTTTGCCCAATGAAAATGCACTTTATAAGCCATATTGAAACAAAAATGGAATTTTACTCTAGTTTTCAAATATATAATCAGTTTGACGTATTCTGTCTGGGCTACTATATTCCATTTATGTTTCCCCAAGAGTAAAATGGGTACTTTTTATTTCATGAAAATACGGCCTATATAAGAAAAATTATTCAAATGAGTTTTCAAATTGCGGGGTACCATCAGACCGACCCCCTCCTGTCTACATGGGCCTTGAGTTTTGTCTCCTTCACTCATAATATGTACAAAGCAGACGATAGCGACATGCGTAATTATTCATTATTTCTAAATATAAATTGTTTATCATAAGTACAATTTATTAATTTTTTTCTAATTGTGAATTGTTCTACTAACCACTCGATCAAAATGAAAAATCAGATGTACAACCGCAATTTTCATTAAGGTCTCTATATATCAAGAACATTGTCAAACAATTTTATTAAAGGTCCCGTGCAAAGTTCATAATATATTATTTTTATGACTTGATTAAAGATTTGTCGGATTTTCATTATTGTAATATGCTTTTCGGCGCTATCAAAAGTAGATATTATCAAATGCCAAAAATCGTATTTTCAGTAAAAGACAATTTTAAAAAAAATATACAAAGATAATTTTTTGAAATTTAAAGAAAGGGGTTTATGACTGCATCGAGAAACAATACTTATAAGCCAAATAGGTTTAAACTTTCAAAGGGCCTTTTATTCCATTACAACATTTCATTAGATTTCAAACGATGCACACTTACCCCTCATGAGAGATATTTTTTGTGCAATCAGCATGGCTATAGTAACGGCAGGGTTGACATGGGCCCCACTGACAGGACCCAACGCTTCAACCAGTAGGCCAAGCGTGAACCCCATACCGAGTGCTATGTGGACAGGTGTACCACTCTCCCCCTGGGTGCGTGCTAAGCCATCGTCGATATTGTCCCATCTAATTACAATGGCACATTGGACTGCCAGTAGAACAAATGTACCAATGAATTCTCCGGCTATTCCAACGTAAAATCCTGGATTCTTAATTTCATTTTCTGTGATCTTCGAAGGTGCCATGTTAATAGCTTTCTGATAATTCAAATAATCTTGTGTTTTGTTTCTGACTTTTATACACGAATCCTATGTAACATTTAAATGATGATCCAATGGCAAAATTAGTTATAAATCCATCAACTCACAATTCATACCTGAAAAATAAGGTTTGTCCCCTACACCCGAAATCCAAACAAATTTGTGATATATGTATATATGACAGGGTAGAATTCTAGCTCTAACCACTTGTGGAATTTAAACAAAAATATCCCACACGGTAATAAATCACTATTATATTTACATTGTGATAAAATAATTCCTCTGATAAAATACAAGTGATACCTATGTAGACTTACTTATATATGGTATGATAACATTTAATATACATTTACTATATTAACTTATCTAACTAGACAACAGCAACGCCAAAGCGTAGCAAATCTCATCGAACAGCCATGACTGCCATTTTTACAAAATCCTTCTTCTACTATTTCAGTTATAGCAAAAATCGTAAACAGCACACATACAAATGGCCACCATTTTCAAAATGGTCGCTCATTAGCTAAAGTGTAACAGGAAGTAGACTCATATAAAATGTCAACAAAATCGGATAGATCTACGTGTAAATCGCGGCCATTTTTCAAAATTGCCACCAGTGAAAGTGTAATAAGACAGAGTGCTACACTCTATATCTTTTTGAGTTATTGTAGAAACGTAATATAACACAGATACGTAAATAGCGGCCATTTTGAAAATAACTGCCTTCTAGCCAAAGTGTCATAAAACAGTGTGACATGCTTATAAATCCTCACATATCAAATATGAGCAAAATCGCTCCTCCTAGTTTTCAAGTTACAGCAAAAATCGTGAAATAGTGTAAAGGCCGACATTTTTTTAAGATGACTGCCATAAATATCTACATTTCTAGCGTTATTAAGCTCCTATATAATTTTTTTAACATAGCCGACTGCTATTACAGCTTTATATATTGTACCTGAATTACTGTACAATCGGCACCAAAATAGTCGCCATTTTTAAACGAGCGGCCATTTTGAAAATTAGCTTTCGAGCAGAACTGCTAGCCCCATAGGACATATGTGTACAAAATATGAACAGAATTTTGCAAACCGTATTTGAGTTATCGCCTGGAAAGAACGGTCGGATGGACGGACGGACGATGGGATAAAAATGTTATCAAAAATAAGTTAGGTGATACGTATTTGATCGCCCCGAGCGACTAATCGAATATTTGAAAAGTAAATGAAGTCACCTCCTACGGGAAGAGGGTCGAATATTATCCCCAAGATATATATAAGAAAATAAAATAAATACCCGGATCTGACAAATATGACCTCGTGGGTTAACAGCTTCAATTTAAAAGGAAACACAATCATCTAAATATTTTTTCATTCCATTCCTCTTATTTCTATAGACTGCAGCGTACTTGATAAATGTATTTCTAACATGTTTTTAGCAGCATATGCAACTTACGTAATTTTGTCGATTATGGCTAATTCGAACATGACTGTATTCACGCCTTCTATAAACTGTAAACGAAGTCAACATTTCACCCGGGGTATATTCGCGAACAAAACGCCTGATAATGCGTGTAATGTGTGACGTCATAACGCCGGGCCGTACTAATGGCGGACCATAACGAATATTCGAACATGACTGTATTCACGCCTTCTATAAACTGACAGTGTAATAAAGTCAACATTTCACCCGGGGTATATTCACGAACAAAACCCCTAGTAATACGTGTAATGTGTGACGTCATAACGGCGGACGATAATGAATATTCGAAACATTTTGGTGAGTTTTCATGTTCGAATCGTAATATAGACCTCAGAGCAGGGGTAATATTGTCGAATACACCCCTTAGGGCTAGGCACAAAAGCTTTCGAACCCCTCACTCCCTTCAGTCGTTTGGGGTACAGAAAAAGTTTGTGCCTAGCCCTGCGGGGTGTATTCGACAATATTATCCCTGCTCTTCGGTCAATATTTCTTAATTCGAACATGACTGTATTCACGCCTTCTATAAACTGTAAACAAAGTCAATGCTTCAGCTGGGTTATATTCGAGATCAAATCCCCGACTCTGTACTAAGTGTTTCGTTCAGTGCACTCATTGGTCAGTTTAGGCCGTTCCGTTCTTTTCGCATCCCCCTCTCGTCTGCAAAATTCAAAATGGCAGGGAGAAATTGTACGGGGCCAAAATGTTCTGTCGGAGCATTTGTAAACTGTAATCTCAATAATTTCAATAATTATCAATGTAGTAGATATGCGTAAAACCAATTAAATAGGCCGAAATGTCAATAAAAACTTAAGTCGGGGTCAGGAGGTAAGTAAACAAATTGGAACAGCCAAACGCTCAACCGGAAGTTGAAATGAAAAAAGTGGAAATGAACATCGAAATTGACGATTTTGCAATATTCTGGTGAGTTTTCATGTTCGAATCGTAATCGGTCGTTCGGGGTATAGAAAACGTTTGTGCCTATACCCTGCGGGATGTATTCGAAACTAGTAGCCCTGCTCTTCGGTCTATATTTCTTAATTCGAAACATTTTAGTGAGTTTTCATGTTCAAATCGTAATATAGACCTCAGAGCAGGTGTTATATCGTCGAATACATCCCTTAGGGATATGCACAAAAGCTTTTGAAATAATCACTCCCTTCTGTCGTTTGGGGTACAGGTACCTTTCATGATTTTGACTTTTCCCCTAAAATATACTTAGATACCAAAAAACTAGTCTTTCCCGAATAACTCCACACCTTCTGATTCAAAATCCGTCCATAATTGGCTGCACAGGACAGATTTTATAGACGCATGTGAAATCTGATTTGCGCTAACTTTTCAGTGGTTGGAATTCTTTTTTGGCGTGAATGCTGTGGAAAGTGATATCTTGTTACATATGGCCAATGATCCAGTTGTTTCTTCCCTGGATAAAAATAAAAGATTTCATTGTCGGGGTGTTCAATTTTGTTACGTATGATGGCAACAGGATGGTGCAAAGGCCTGTGGCAGATCGTTTGGTAGAACTATTTGGAAATCAGAAGATACCATTGAATTACCAAGTGGATTGGCCCCCAGGGTCATCCCCTTTACACCCTTGATTTTTGAAGGGCCTCTGAAAGAGCGCTCTTCAGCATCGCAAACTGACTTAAATGAACTTCTGCGAAAATAATTGAAATGTTTTTTTCGATATAGAGATAAATTGCCATTAGCAATCATATTCCAACTGATCAGTGACACATGATTGTAGTACTATTTAAAAGACAGTTACGATAACCTTTATATATATCATGGGCTTGCAAGGTAACTCTGTGTTATAAACATGAGAACTTCAAATATGAGCAGTGTCTTGCTTCCCTTTTTATGATAACAATTGAAAAAGTATTATATAAATAAATGTATATGTTTTAGTATTATCAATATGATTAAAGCATAAAACATGTTTATTCTCATGTAAAACTAAACAAAAAAGACCAATAAGAAAAAGAGGTGTCAAAACATTCTCTTCAAGTATTGCATTGTGGGTAATTATTCAAGAACACATTCCGATAAAAACATGATTTGTGGGAGAATGTTCAATTTCATTATTGCCATAATCATGATGAATTCTATTTTGTATTAAATTGACAACATGCATGTAGATAATCATGTTTTTATTTTTGGGTTATTTCTTTAAATCATACATGAAAAGTACAAAATCAGATTTTTCTTGGAATGTGTACATTCTCCAATAATGAAAACCCAAGGCAATGGCTATGTATGGAATATTGGAAATTGCCTACCCCTGTCTTGAAAGCCCATGTTCATATTTAACAATTTAAAATGACTGTGTAAGAATCAATATTGTAGGAATGGATTATCCTCTTTTACAGAGGTACTAGCACTGGGTAAACTACACATTATATTATAAGATAAGTGAACACCTAGCTATATTCCTAATTCAATCAAACATCCATGGAAACTCACACTGTTTTAGAAAATTGTTTGGTCTGTATTATGTTATCATGTATCATGTATTATTTTAGCTTAGTTCAATATTATGAACGACTAAAACAAACGTAACATGAATTTAAAGTCGTCAGTATTTGAGAAATTGCTAATGCCTGGGTTATGGCCTAGTCACATAGCCCGGCCGATGTCCGGCATCGGTAGAGCTCGGTGGATTTTTTTGGTGCCACCGAGCTCTCCTCATCGGAAGCAGAGCTCGGTGACGTGAACGGACTCCGTCCGGACATCTTCGGGCGACCGACCGAACACCGGCCGGTGACCGTACGGAGTCTGTCTCAAAATGGTAGTTTTTTTCTGCCGATGTGGCAGCAACTACCGGCCGGAGGTCGGCCGGACATCGGAAGGAATACGGCCGGTACCCGAGCAGGTAACAGGACAGCGTGCGATCGCCGGCCGGGTTGTTAACGGGCTTTGAACAGTGACCGGCCGATGCTCTGTCCCACATCGGCCGGAGCTCGGTCGGAGCTCGGCCGCTGTCCGTTAAAAAACCTCGTCCTCTGGTTGTCTCAAGTAGCGGTCACACTAGCCGTGTAGGCTCACCGTTCGCCACCGTTTGGCTAATTATGGCCAGACGGCGACGGCCGCATTGTTTTTATACATTTTTGACCGGGACTATACCGTTCTATTCCGGGTCTGTACCGGCTTCTCATCGGCCTTGTACCGGACTTACCGTGTTTCAGAATTCTTGCTTACCGTTCTCGCCGTGTTCTCAACTGGCGCATACCATCCCCTCACCAGGTTTTCACCGGCCGGAACGCCTGGATATCGGCCGAACCGCCTTGATGGCGTCATGCAAACGCTCACAATATTTAGCTCACTTTTTGGTATGTATGCTCAACCATCCACGTGTTCAAAGCTAAATGATTTATATAATTAATTTGCTTATACATCTTAATTATGTTCAATAACATTACAAGTTTGTCTATATTTAACTGTACAATGTGGCCACATAGCTTGTCCATCCTGTAAGCAGCTAGTTGGGTCAACCGAGTTAAGTCTTTCTCTGTAATAGTTAGTTTGTTTATTCCATGAAAATACGTTGAAAATGAATAGGTCTCGAGAACCTGACCAACTTTGGTAGACAAACATGCAATATCTATATTTCATCCGACATATCACGTTTTACGTTTTTACTATACGTTTTGAAACTAATTGCTCTGAGGGGTAACTATTTGTTTTGACATTACATTTTACGCAAAGCGTTATTGGAAGGTACAGATTGAACCTTTACTCCCCTCCAACGTTTAGAAATATTTTTCCTCATTAAAATGGAAGGATTTGAAGTGAACTGTACTCGAATTGGAATTGAAGTCAGTTTATTGAATCACTAATAAAAAATATGCCAAATCTTATTTGATTTCGAAAAAAGACGGCGGTGTTTTATATTATTTTTATAACGTTTTGTAAAACGGCAACTACATATATTTTGTGATAATTGCGTCAACGTATATATTACAGGTCTTAGACCTGCGTCGTTTGAGTTATATACCAAAAATATTGACTTTTGCACGCTGGTGACGTCGCGCCTTTTTAAATTAATCGAATAACTCAGAAGGGTATCACTCGAAAATTCACGGAAGACTTCACATCTTTGTTATACCGTAGCTTAATCATTAAGGGATTAATGGGTGAACGTTAAGTTGTCATGAACATGAATATTGCAGTTTTATTGAATTTTCTGACAGAAATCGGCTCTTCCTCCACCCTATTAATTTTTTCTTATATAATATATTGGTCGTGTAAATGAGAAATAAAGCTTTCACAACTTTTTGATGGACGGTAACGTGAACAGAAAGATCACGTAAAATGCATAAAACAGTTGATAGTTCGAAGTTTGGCTTATAATGCTAACTGGACATTTATTTTCACTTTTATTTGAGCTTTAATCATTTTTGCAATTTATTTATTTTCTTCGTGTATGATAAAAGAAATATATTTGTAACTTGTTTTTCTCAGTGTCTTCAAAAGAATCTCTGTCAAAGTGGTTTGAGTGGATTTGTGGCTTCAAAGTACAAATGAGAAAGTCGAAGAATTGATGTCTCGAGTTACGGGACAAAACCTTGGACAATAACTGAATATTTAAATAAACTGGAGGCAAAATTGTTGAAACGGCAGAACACGGTGACAACACTGCGTCACGAGGCGGTACAATTGCGAGTTCACGGTAATAGGATGTTTAGAGGATGTTATGGAGCAGTTATAAGGCCGTTAACACGTTAATGGACTGTTACCTAAGCGTTAAGCGGCTGGTACCGTGAAAACCCTTTTTATGTGACCTTTCAAACCCCCGTTTGAACCTCGTTTATCGGACGGTACCCAAGCGGTACACTCTCGTTCGCAGCCCGTCACTGATAGAGTCAACGTCCACCATCGTCCCATTACCGCTCTGCGAACGTGTCCTTAACGGCTGCACCGTCCTTATACCATTCCCGTACCGCTATCACCGTTCGCAACCGAACGTTACTCAAACGGGAAAAGTTTTGAGCATGCTCAAAAAATTCGCCGGGTGTGGATGGACGGCAACGTTCCCTGAACGTTTCTCAACGGGCGGGAAACGACCCACCGTGTGGCCATACCGTGCACCGCCGTCTGGCCATAATTAGCCACACGGTGGCGAACGGTGAGCCTACACGGCTAGTGTGACCGCTACTTCAGATGCACGGGATACCGGCCGATACTCGGCCGTGCACCGGCCGACGTGTTTTCCGATGTGGTTACGATGGGGCTGCGATGACATGATGGGGAGCTCGGTGAGAGCCCGGTGAAATTTAACTCCGAAGTTAAAATTTCACCGAGCTACCACCGATGCGGTTTTAAGCAACAAACGAGAAATTGCTAATGCCTGGCTTACATGTTACATGTGTTCCGATTCATCGGCCGGCGCCCGGCCGATAACCCCTAAATTCAAAGTATTTAATGGATGTAAGGAGGGCTGTTTGCTTTCTCCGACCCTGTTCGCCATTTATATAAACGATTTGGCATCTGACGTGAAACAATTGAGATGTGGAGTCCATGTCGATGATGCCAATGTAGGTATATTACTTTATGCAGATGATATCGCATTAATAGCACCAACCCCTCAAGACTTACAACGTATGCTAGATAAGGTGAATGAATGGTGCAGGAAATGGAAACTCTCTATGAACCTGGACAAAAAAAAATAGTGCATTATAGCCCCCCCCCCCTCTCCCACCCTCAATGTCAGTTTTAAAATATTTCTCACCAGGCTTAGATGAATTCAAACCAATAGTAGTTAAATATGCAAGAAATAACTTACTTTTACCATGTGTTCATATAGCAAACTTATCTATCCAAACAGGGGATTTTCAAGCTAAGTTGAAAACAGCCAAAGTTACCCCACTTTTTAAAAAAGGGAACACCTCAAAATTTTCAAACTATATCTCTACTTAGTGTCTTTTTAAACTCTTAGAAAAATAGATTAATAACATTTATTGAAACATGCAAACTTTTATTCAAAAATCAGTTTGGTTTTAGAAAACATTATTCAACTTATATGGCAATCCTCTCCTTCTTGGAACAAGCGAGGATATCTCTAGATAAAAGCTCAAGTCAAGCTATTGGAATATTTTTAGATTTATCGAAAGCCTTCGATACAGTAAATCATGAAATTCTTCTAAAAACGTGAAAATTTTGGAATTCGAAATGTTGCAAAAAATGTTCAAAAGCCATTTAGAAAAATCATTACCTCTTTTAACAATATTCTATCTGAAGAAAAAATTATCACCTGTGGTGTACTTCAAGGGTCTGTTTTAGGCCCCATCTCTTTCATTCTCTATATAAATGATTTACACAAGGTATCAAATATTCTTAAACTTAACATTGAGACTGGTAGATGGTCAAACATAATATTGCAAGATCTGCTCTGCTCTCTTGCATTTGTAAAGAGACAATTTAACCTTGAAAGGCTGACTGAAACATAATTATTTGTAATGTCCTAATGTATGTTTTACCATATTCATTAGATTGAATGCCTCATCACTTTTATGATATAATTCTAGTCAATTTAAAGAGGCAATATGTTACATGTTAACTCTTTCTATTCATTATTTATATGAATCTATAATTATCAAGCTTGTGCAATACTTGGGATAAATTGTTTTATTATACAGAACAGTGTATGCTCAATGTTCTTACGAAAATAATTCTATTAGGAAGTTAGTGGCCAGTGTTTCATAAGCCTAATGTATGTATTAATTGTGTCATACCAGTGACACTTAAATGTAACTTAAAACTATTTTGTTCAGAATTGCATTCTTGTGATAAAAAAACTCAATCGACCGGACACCGGCCGATGGATCGGAACAAATGTGACCCAGGCATTAGATGGTGCATTATGTGTGAATGTGTAATGTACTATTATATTTGACATTCAGCCGAATCTGTATATCCATCAATCTATATGAGAAAAAAACAATATGAGTATTGCATTAACTCTATGTAGTTTTGTATTCCCAATGTATCAGTTTTCTGCCAAGAGTCTTTTCTAGTTCCTTGTTATACTCTGCATAGAAACCTTCCAATAGAGTCCTGGTTTCTGGTAGCATTTCGCCATATTTCTCATATTTCTGCTTCACTCCATTTACACCTTCTTTTGACAACAAACCGAGCCCATCCATATGCAAAGGGTGAAGTCGTTCTGAAAATGAAACTTCATGCATATTTAATTGAACCTATTCGGATTTATAAATACGTATAGAAGTTATGCGGTTTATGCCACCCCTTTCCTTCTAATCCGACTATGGGCAATCAGAAATACACAATCAAACATTATAACAAATCCATGACAATGTTCTATAAGAATTTAGATGCGATAAGTGTCACAGTGAATCTCACCTATGTTCAAATGGTCGAATATGGCCGTCATTGTTTTTGTTTTATCTTCAACGAATTCTTCTAGCACAACTGGCAATAGATCGTCACCAACGACTTTAATCCAGTCACGCAAATAAATGTGGTAGATACCCAGAACTAGTCTGAACTGGAAAAAATAAATATTCTATATACAGAGGCCTGCTCTGACCAAGAAAAAAATATTTGTACTTAGGCATTCACTGAAATAGAACAGGGTGGGCAAATGATAATGGGACACTCACATATGTGTTATTTAAAAGAGCATATATAAACAAAATATCATGAAAATTAGGGAGTATTACGTTTGGACATTTTCGTTCATGTATGTAGAATTTGAAACCAACTTTATTTTTTTCTCTAAGCAAGAAATGTGACGCATTATCTTGAAAAACAGCATCAAGGTATATTTGATGGACATACCGAATGTTCTAATTGGAGATCTGATTTATAAACACACATACGTAAGGAGTGTGACTCTAAGCAATCGTTGAAGAGCCGAATTCCCTTTCTGGCCATCTCATCAAATATATTTGGGTTTACCTCTTCATCTGGATGAGATTTACGGAAGAATATGAACTCTGAGTAGAGTCTGAAAATACAACAGTGATTGCCATTTTGAAAATACTTTTTGGACATTATGAATTAAAATATATTCGAACTACGCGTATGATACAATTATTGAACATTTTAGATTAAAAGGTATTTAACTTAAAAAGTATAACCAATGATCTAGGATTCATAGAGTCCATATAATACAAAGTTGAAATGACTTTGTCTTATCCAATGTTATAAAAATATGTGAAATTTTTCAATTCGATTTCAAAAAGTTGATTTTGAAGGACTTTTTATTAAAGTCTCTATTATCATTTACGAAAGATTTCCAAAGAATAAATATTTTTGCTGTCATATCTTCAAGATATTTTATATAACGAGTGTTTAGGCATGTACCTCTCCACTGGATCACGTAGCATTACAATAAACTTAGACTTGTTGCCCTGAACGTGACGTATGTCGTCAGCTATGATTCTCATTGGTCCACCTTCGTCAAAGTCTTCTAGAGAGCAATTAAACACGGTGCTAGGGCTGCCATCAACTACATCCAAAGGAAAAATACATTTTATCTAGATATATAAAGTCTTAACCTCGATCTTTTCAAAGTAATCAAGCTCTTCGTCGAGTGTTTGAAACGCTTAATATGTTTGCCCAAGAAAAGAGTCCGTTCCAAAATTAAAACATATAGTTCTAATGACAAAGAAATAATAAATTTCGGTTTTAACATTTTTTATTCTAAGAACTTACTTTACGTGAATTAAACTCTCTGGATGCCATCTCAACTGAATGATCAAGAAGAAAACCCAAAGACTCTAATGTCTGAAGTTTCGAAGAGAAGGAGAGAGAGTACGAAGAGGAAGAGGATGCAACTTCAATGTAAAATGTGCTTATTATTTGAAATCAATAAAATTGTCGCAACCAGTCAAATGAATAAAAAACACTCTAAATGTAAATGCAAACTTTAAGAATACGACTTTAATGATCCTTACTTATAATCTTCTTATGGAAATAATTTGCATTTGGCCCCTGTGTACCAATATAGGTACTTTCTTTAACAATTTCTGCAGCTTCGTTGAACAGATCTGTGTAATGACAAAGAGACGTATTGCCTGAAAATATGAATGCACTTAAAGCTCTTAGATGTAAACACTTTGAATGGAAATGTTATGAAGATTCACTAAGAATGTACAACCCATTGTGATGAATGTCCATTAAAATCGACGGAAATAAGAGCCCATGATATATCTAAAAGGAAAGAATAACAATAAACGTGACTTCGTGTTTATTTTAACAAAATAATGAAAAACTATGAGATTGGATAAAAGAAAATGCTTATAATATATCTTGCGAGATGAAATAAACAATGGTTTACCTTTTGCCTTTGGAGCACGCATCTTTGTCCACCAATGGAACTCCTTCTTCGACATAGCCACATCCGGGTGTCTGTGCAGGCGATGAATCATATCAGTAGTACCGCACTTTGGAAACCCAATCAAGTAGACATATGGCAGGCATTTGATCTTGTAGTTAACACGTCGTCGTAGTCGCTCAATCCATAATGGTGTCATGTGTTTGATCATATCTCTCATCCTGCTTGCCCATTTGAGTTGTCGGTTGGGAATAACATCATGTTCTGTCAACGGTGCTAGCCAACAAGGAGTCTTGTAATTACTCAAAAAGATTGGGGTTTTCTAGAAAACACGGGAGATTTGAAAGTCAATGCATTTATAGATGTCACCCTGGCCAATTAATTACTTCTCAGGCAGATTAGATTAGCAGCTATAGCCTACCTCAGAAGGCCCTCAGAAGGGTTAGGTATGAGTTGAAAATGAATTAAAAAGTGGAGAAAACCGCTCTTCCTCTTTGATATTATATACATGTACATTATATTCTATGGTACCTCATTTATAAGGTTTCAGTTGCCATATTAAAAAGAAGTGTCACGATGAGGTGACTTTCACTTCAAGAAAAAATGTCAGGTACTCGGTCTTTAAGAATGACTGTTACATGGTATAGAGATTCTACTCTATATGTGTCTCATTTATGTATAGGTGCTGGATAGATATAATTAATATCAAAAGAAAATGTGTGCAATCTTTCTAATATCAAAAAGGTTACTTACCATAGTCATGACATCCACTTTCAATAAACTCTGTGTATGAAACATTTCAAAATCATGTAGCATAATTCTAAATCTATCCAGCCTCATATCTTTGGGCAGTTTAAACTCATTTACTATTTCAATGAGATTTTTATTTGAAATCTGATTTTTGGCTTGTTTGCTATAATATGACCCAGTTTTCTTAAACATTGCATTATAATTTGTAGGTTCCTTCAATCCTCTTTCTATGTTAGGGTTGGGCCTATTTTTCAATTTACTTTGTTTGATATTATGAGAGTCTTCAAGAATGTAAGAGTTGTTTCTTTCATAGTTTGAGTGTCTATTTTGTTCTCTATGTTTCTTCATGCTTGTTCCGTTTATGTGATCTGTGTCTTGATGTTTCGTGCGTTCAGTTTTAAATTGTCTACTGCGCATTGTTGTTGGTCTAGAGTCCACGTTAAGTTGCTTAGCATATGTCGATTTCTTGAAATGTTTCTGCTTCTTCGCTAAGGCGATACCATCAGTTGTCTTGTGGTTCTTCATATTTGATATTTGTGTTTTATTTAAATGATTCAGTACAGCAAATATATGGTTCTCATTAACATAATCAGGCGCATACTTCAAAACAGACGTTACCCTACTCCCGAAACCTGCTCCAGGTACATGTGCCCCTATTTCATGTCGTATCCCATTTCTTCTTCTTAATCGAATGTATTTTTTAGGTTTTTCACTTATAAAATGGTCATTATTTGTTGAATTATGAAGTAAATGTATGTCAACCTTAATATCACAGGGTTCTTTAACTTTATCTTTGACCATTATTTTTGAACAATTTACATTCGTTTTCTCCCTGTAGGAAGTACTAAGCATATCTAGACCACCATTCATGTAATTCTGTAGAGCAAAATTGACGCTCAAGAACACCATCCCCATGTGGATGATCAATACAGTTAGAAATACCATCTTCGATCTCATCGGTCTATTCCAAACCTTCTGCCAGCTTATGTATTTACTGTTTCCAGTCATTTGTTTTGTTTTAGTTCTCAAACTAATTTGGCAACTTTAATAATGAAGGTCGCTATCGATGTACGTATATTGGTAGATACAAAACTATAAACAGCATGTTACGGCGTTACACCTGTCTCTGCCAGTCTCGATCTAGGGATGAACTTGCCATTAGCAATATTTTATTCATATTCCCAATGATCAGTTATCAATATTGAAGTTTCAATGATATTGCAGTTTCATGATTTTGAAGGAGACATTCCCGCAAATTAGATATACGTGTTTTCACAACAATTAATGGAAAAAGTTCTATAATCACATAAAGATGGTGTTACTTCCTTATAAATACATTCTTTCTTAGATGTATTGGTTTGTACAGTATACCTCAATCATCATAAAGGGTGAATATGCGTTCCGATCACGTTTCGAAGATGTTAGAAACAAGACCCTTAACCACCTCTGAGCCTAACGAAAATTAATTTAAGAATGCATCTCTGCTCATGAAGTACAAATGATCAGTGAACTAAACTACTAGAGTTTTGATTTCAGAGTATTATTTTGTGATTTACAAACAGCTCAAAGAGTGAATTATGTAAAATATATCCTAATATGAAGTGATTTCACAAACTCATTTATTCAACTATATCTAGAGTATCCCCTTGTGTGGTTGAAACTAGCCAAAGGCTAGTGATGGAACCGTAAGTGTAGAGAAAGTGTACATAATTTATTTCACAATTACATATTCATCATGGACATGACATGGCTTTTTTAGTCTGAACTCCTCTTCACGTATGCGAACATAATGATATTAAAGAAATGCTGCACTACACATCCGTCAGTACTATTTATCGGTATGATTTACAGCCATGAAGACATAATATAGAAACAGATCATTTAAAATACAAGTATTTACTAATTGTCACTAAATCATTGGTGAATCACGGTTTGGTATTTACCAGGCATGGCGGTGGAAAATCTCTAGTTGCATCATGTCAAAAGGAGATCAAAATCCGACTTGCAACTAATATTACTGGATACGAGACAATATTCGCTCCTCTAGATTATTCTTTGCAGTGAATCGAACTCCCAATTGATTTAATCAATTTAATGCTGAGATATATGCCTATGATTAATTTAATAGATCGTCACATTATCCCCTCCTCTACAAAAACTCGTTTCTCGAACTGATATTTATTTTGCAGTAGAAATGGTTCTCTTTCTGTGCATTAACTCGGCGAGGGTTTTATGACGATATATTATTCCTCAATACAATTGCAGTAACACTAAATGGGTGGAGCAGAGTGCAAGTCATATTTGATGCCATGATGCATTGAGGAGGTTGCGCTTGTTACAAAATTATGATAGGAGCACGTAGGTTATCGCAAACAATTTCAGACAATTCCGACTTCGATATTGAATATTTTCTGATCATGAACATGGGTGAATCTTTTAGACCCATCTATCATCTTCAAGAAAAGTGGATATAATGATGATTTAGTTTATCAGACCAAGGTGATATTAAAGGGGCAATGGACCAATCAACATGCTTTTTCAAAAATGTGGACGTAATTGTCACCAAATATGCAACATTTTATTATAATGTTGAATGCATAGTTAAAATGTGTTCAACAGAACCTTAAAGACAATACTGTTTATGAATTAGGAACCCCTTGTTGACCCTGGGGGTTCACACTGACTCAATTACTCAGTTGAAAAAGTAATAATAGTAGTGCATTAAACATTGTAAAAAATGATTGCATTTTTGGTGAAAATGGGGTCAACATCTTTTAAAAAGTGTATTGATGGGTTGATTGCTAGTTAAATATTACAAAGTCTGTTTGGCTTTATTATCATTACAAGTTTCTTTGAGATAGTGAATGGATCTAAAAGATATACCTGTCTTCATAGTCAGAAAATAGTCTTAATCCAAGATATAACTGTCTGAACTTGTTTATGATAACCTACGTGAACCTTTACTCAGAAGCAGAGTAAACCCTTTTATGGAATGTAATACACTTGAATATCAATACGAGCGAATTTTGTCGTGTATGAGGGTGTGCATTTAAACGAAAAAATTAAATGGTGTGTTTTATTAAAGTGTTGCCATGACAATACCAAGTCCTTCAGCCAATCTGAATTTAAAGAGATTTAAAATTCAAAGCATCCTAAAATTAATATCCAATTTTCCACATGAACTCACACTAACAGATGATACGTATTCTTTACTCTTTCGAAGTGTTTTCTGGTCTTTATTAAGTACCATAGGGTAATCTGTTACTTTGTACTTTGACATCACACATGCTGTGTTTTGTAGCTTTGTTATCTTAGGCGAACACATTGAGTGTAATCCCATCATTTGTCGTCTTATTTAAAATCAAGGATAATTATACGTTATCAATTTCATTAAATGATTTATTCAATGAAAACTGCTCACTTGTATTTTCTCTAGTTCACATTTCAGAAAAGGTCGATGTAATCGTAGTGTTATTCCATCATATAATATTGGGATATTTAGAATCAATCGTAAAAAACTGATAAACGCTAGTAGTTGTGTAATGTAATCACAGGTTTGATGATAATTTTTATCAAAAAACTCTGATCGTGAGCATTTTGTGCTAAATAATTGGAATATTTAAGAACATTGAACCCACACACACGAAGATTGTTTAGACATGATTGTTCCAACTGATTGGGTCTTTACGATGTTTGAAGCTGTTTGAACAATTGATTGATTAAGTGTCTCAAATACCTATCTATATCATCCTGTATTAGTACAGATAATAGATAGGTGGACTTATCGTAATAAGTTTTAATTTTGCCTATTTGTTGGAATGATTGATGGCGATTTCCAGAGCAGATGAATGCGGACCATGGAAATAAAATAACAATCGGTGTGACCCATCAAATAAAATGTCTGATTTTTTAAGTGAGATACTGTACGAATTGATTTTTTATTTCATTAAATTTAATTTGAGACGTGATTCTAAGGACAATAGACCAAGGCTTGACAAAGAGTAAACGGGTATAAATGGAGTTTGTCTTGTCAACCCCTTGTGCCCCCACCCTCTCTCAAACATCCCCACAACGTTTTGTATGTTTTGAGTATTATTTACAGGACGGTGTTAACTATTCATGCGGATTTATGTTCAATTCAGCCAACCAATCAGATATTCGATATTCGGCTTCAATTATGGCATCACAATGGCAATTAGATAATAACTAACATGTCATTAACAAGCAAATGTCACTACCTATCATTTGTTACAGACGCCCCGAATGCCGACCGCCGAACATTAACAACCGAACACCGTCCACAAAAAAGTTAGAGACCATAACCACTTGTGGTGGTGACATTAAAAGTCAAACCGACAAACAACAAATTAAATCAATCACTATGAAACCAAGGAACAAACAAACTTGCTAAACGGCCTACAAATAAGCTTGTTGGAACCTAGTAATTAATCTCAACCTCATTTACTCTGATTTCTATTGATTTGTTCATCCTTACATCAATATTCTATTCTCTTGACTCTAATGATAAATTAAAATGTACCCATCTAGATCTGCAGAGCCTATCCCAAGCCACAAAATAGTAATATAAAATATCACATCATTAGTAATGTTTATTACTTGGCGGTCTTAGCTCTAAATGAACAACATCAAAACTAATATTCTCGTGATGCCAAAGTAGAAGCAGGCAATTAAAAAGCTCCGAATTGGTGACGTAGCATCCATATATTTTCAGTTTTTCGTTACACAGCTCAAAGATACTTTCAGATCATTCATAATTTTCTCAAAAATGACTCGTGCAACGCATCAACGAAAACTGTTTTATACTGTAAATACCCGCGTGTTCTTGAACTAAGACTGTCAAAATATAATGCTGAAAATAATTTTGAAATCTTGATAGGGAATAGCTCAATTTGTTGTTCTTGGTCCCATGGTGGTGAATGTCTTTTTGTTATTTAGTGGTATTACACCGTACAGGACTCTAGAGACCATGGCTCTCTGAGCAATCTCAGCTAGACAATCACTGTCTTAGACTCGAAACATTAATTGGAATTGTATGTTAGATCGATAGTAATGATATGATGACTAATAAAAAATAGTTCTTCTTCGTCTATTTAGGGTATATGCATGTGAATGAAGTACCAGACCACTGCTCTGGGGAACTGGTGTGTTAATCGAATATATTTCTATCGGATATTTAAAGACATCTGTAATTGTTTATCTGCTCGAGAGTAAGATACAAAAAATCAAGTACAAATTAAATTACAAACAGAAATATCTCTGTTTTGTCATGCATTATTGGCTAATCCGTCTATTGGTATGCTCTGCTGATTATTCTGATAACAAACGTTTTAGGTTTTAACTTTTTGCAGATTTTCCTCATTTGTACACGTGTTTGAATATAAAAAGAACAACGGTACAACCTAGCATCCAGATTTCTTTTACTAACAATTCCAACAAAAATAACTCACAGATAATTAAAATCCTAATTGAGTTGAATGCATGCGTACAGTAATATGTAAACAATTTATAAAGAAAACAATCCATTTCAATCAAGAAATGATTTTCAAAACGGGTCGTTCCTCTAGAGGACAAAAATAATCGCGAATTTGATCCATGGATCAGCTGGGTGAAATCGTTCGGAAGTCCTGCAATAGACCCAAGTGAGCCGATGGCAAATCAACCCTCGCCGGAGCAAGTGAGGTTTTGACTACTTCTTGTCACAAATTGGATATATTTAATGAATATATCCATCATAAGCAGGCAAGGAATCAATACTATTTGCATCATTAGAACTGATGAGCTCAAACTGTTACATTGGAATAGTTCTAGTTGTGGGATGTGAATAAGAAAACACGTGTAGGGCAAGGTATATTCGATATAAATGAGAATCAAATAAAAATGTGTCGTTATTTCAATGTTGTGTGAGGTAAAGATGGCGTATTTCTATTATCATATCATCGTCTAAAAATCTAAATATTTCATAATTTGAAGAGTCTTAGCCCTAATATGCGAGACCCTTTGGTAATTCCAATACCCCTATCACATTCACGATTGATCGGATAAAGACCGCCACTGCAAGTGACAATTAAAAAAAAAATTGCGACCCCTCCTCCTCCTTTATTCTCTTTGAAAAATAAAGACAGAGGCATGTGTTACTATGCATGTTGTATATACATTATGAACATACATTATACTTTAGAAATGATTAAGACATGGCCTAATTTTTTTTGAAAATAGCTGTGAACTATGGGGAATTACTTCTCGACTTGTACCTCTTTGATCATTCAGAGGGACACAATCTTACAAAAAAAACATGTGAAATCGGAACTCAAATTGTAATATTTACTGTCGAAGGACTTAGACAACGTTTGGGTAGCAAAGTTTGAAAAAAATATTTCTCACATTGTGGGCGAATTTAGTGAGCTGCCTTTCATATATCCAATGAAGGGCGTCCCCTTTTAGGATAGGCGAATTGTTTGTAAAGCAATTATTGCAATCGAAGATGCGTCCCTTTAAAGCCCATATCCATAAACGTGATTTAGATAACCATAGGGGATATTAATCAATAAATACTCTTCCTTGCATGAATCATTAAGAAAACGACCAGATTTAGGAAGTTCTCGTCAGGTTTAAAGTCATCACGAACATAGAAAAAGTTTCCAACCGTCTTCTTTATTTACACTATATATGCATCTTTCATTTAATAGGTACTCATTTGTTATAAAACTGATCGTATCAATGACATTGCACAAAGTCATTTATAGTCGCGCTACATCTCCCTCTCCTGAACTCCATTGCTCACCTGGATAAATAGTTGGACCTGTCTAAGAATGCCCTCTTTCAAATAACGTCAAACAGGCCCCGTTATATCCTAGGCCAATGGGCAATGGATTTGAGAGAGGAGTTGAACGTTTGGAAAGAATTGTCTCATTTTTACAATAGTGTATCTTTAATCATTCCATTCCCTGTCTATTCTTTAACAACTCAAACAGTTTTCAAATTCTATTTCAAGATAATCCCTTGATTCATCAAAATAAATGAATAAATAAAATAATAAAAAAAAAACAAGTGTAATGAACTTGAACGTTTCTGCAGTTTTATTCTTCAATTTGATCAGATATCTCAATTTTCATTTCAGAAAATATTTAGGAACGCAACTAGACATTGTCATCTCTTCTTAAACATGTTAAAGATTGGTTCAAAATTTTATACTCTTATATTAAAAGAAGCACTGTTCGTGGGCTTTATTCATTCGAATCGAAAAAGAAAAAATAACACTATTTTGTCAGTGTACGAAAATGAACGATGAATTCATATGCAAATTATTTTGTTTATTCCACTTGACTTGTGTGGTAATGATTGTTTCAAACCCTTCTCACATTTCCATGATATTTTATATTATTTTGACATATGCGTTTTAAAACTCTATTGAAGATATGGAACTACGTATATTTCAAAATTCAAAAAATATTGAAAATTAAAAAAGGTCGCTTAAGGTTGTAAGTTAATGCTCTGATGTTTAAAATGCTATTCATAGAATGACAAAAACCTGCATGCCACAAAAAAACAATTTGTTCACGTGCCCTGACACCTTGATGGTCATTGTTTTGTGTTGATTGAGATATCAAGAATTGAAATAAAAACATATTTGAATTAGAAGCTTTCTAAATAAATTACTTGTCGTTTTAAAACGCACTTTACTATTATATTAATGAATCAATTATGATCAGAATATGATTTAATGAATTCAACATTTATTCATTGAATAAGGTATCAATTACATGTAATATATGTATTTACCCCTAATAACAAAATAATGTTCCCTCTCCATTGTATACAGTGTGCCAATAACATCTATTTTGCTTATCAATAGGATATTCCCAGTACAGGCAGTACAAGACGAACAACAATCACCCGGAGGATCATGGTGGTACCCCTCCTAGTAAGTACTTTGGGGAGCGTACTCTTCTAGAGGTCTATAGATATATTGTACAATGTAGAGCGTCTTTTTAGAGCGATTATTTTGTTTCGTTATCATAACATAATTTACGTCTCTCATTCATAAAAATTTCAAAAGATGTGTACTTTAATGGATTTTGTCATTCTATACTATTTGTTTACAAAATATTAATCTTTTTTAAATCATTTATTCACATTCTTACTATAAAAGACAAATTAGACTAACACAACGTTAACTGTTGCATTCTTTTCAAAGCCATTCAGTGGTTCTTCAATACCTGTCAATCACACCTTTTGTTCAAATCAATAAATGGCCAAAAATTATAAAATTTGGTATTCACTTGCATGTTTAAAACTTTAATAATCGTTTGTTCAAAAGTCATTATAGATGTATCTATTTTAATTTATAGGGATATTATTTGCATTATTAAGTTTGATGTTGTTCACTCCTGTGGACCTGGCGGTCGGAAGGCCTGTTGGCATTTATTGAATGAAGGTAGTCCGCTGATTCCTTGCTGCGCCACGGGGGGCATACCGGGCATGCGGGCAGCGTATGCAGCAAAATTGTCAAATAGTCCTGAAGTATGCGGTGCTGGGGCCGCCGTTTGGTTCATGTATATGATAATCCTTCGCAACTCCTCCAAGGCATTAGCTTGCATCAGAATATAGTTTTTTGCTAGTAAAAGTGTAGCAATTTTGGAAAGTTTTCTCACTGATGGGCTGTGAGCGTAAGGTATCACGGAACGAAGTTCGTCCAAGGCGTCATTCAGATCATGCATGCGCCTCCTCTCCCGGGCGTTGATGCCCAGGCGTACGAGCTTTCCTTCGTTATCACGCACCATCTTGTTTCCATCTTTGTCTTTGAATACTGGATTTCTTTGCCCGTATCCTTGTCCTAGCATTTCAAAATCCATTTCACTGGGTTTGCCAGGAGTATCTACATGCTCAATATTCACGTCACGATCGCTATCACTGTCACTCCCCATGTTAGCATTTCCCGATAGACTTTCGATAGCCTTGTTAACATCTTTAATATCATGTCGAGTTGTTTTATCACTTGTCGTGATATTCATCGTATTTCCCACAACAGAACCTTGTGGAATGTTTATTCGATGATCAGCAAGGGCGATATCTGAACCATCGCTTCCGCCACAAACACGATTTCTTCCTTCCATTATCGATTCTGATTGAATTATTGTTACAAAGATACGTCCCTAACTTAAAACTGTTTCTGCTCCGCCGCTCCCCTGATGATTTAATCTTGTTATCGGAAAGACGTCTTGAAATGGCTTATCGCTCACTGAACATTACCTAAATTACATCGCTCTTTCTATTTGCTATATGGAGAATTATATTCCCTAAGTTGCTGCACCAATAACCGCTTATTGTTGAATAAACACTGATTTCTCCCAAACTATGTCCAAGTATCACACTCCTAATAGAACACTTTCTTATCGCCGATAAAGATTTCTGTTTAGAGGAGATATGATTTGAGAATTTATCGCTATTTCCTCTGGGACAATAAAGCCGGTTTCTTATTGGCTGCGGGGATCTATAACACGATGATTGGATAAATGTGATTTGTTATGCCGTCTCATGACTCGAAGACGTTCCCAAAGATTCATCAATATTGTTGAATTACCAGCAAATGTTCTTTTATAGATAAATTCCAGTCGTATAAACATTAATCTGAAATATGCATTTGAAATTTCTAGATAAATAATCGATTGAAATCCCCAGCTTGTGTTATAAGAGGTAACAGTTGGTTATGTTTGTCAGCTTATTTAATAGTCAAATTTCATCAAAGGTTCTAAAATATCTGTGTGGCCAAACCGTTAGGAACATGTTTTCTTAAAGATTATCCCCGTTTAATCAGATCGATTGGGTAAAATCAGGCATTGATTACTTCTTTGATTTGCAAATAATTTCTATAAGGCAAATTATGTGGTATATTGACGATAAATATGTGATCGGCTTTCATTTTCAAATGAAGTGGTATAACGCCCCGGGTTTTACTCTATATCCTTTCATGGTCAATTTACATACACCATATGCGTTGATTTTCGTATTCTTAAAGAAACTTCAATTTAAATGATTTATAAATATGATATTACTATTAGCATTTGTTTACCCAAACCTAAGTGATTCTATTCAGAGATGAATTATGATTAATTTTAGGACAAAATGGTCTTTTTTGATGTTCTCGGCAGTTGTGCCTTGAAGAAACGTTTATTGTCGGCCTTCTATCGGCACTCGAGGATCCACTTAGATTGCTCATTCAATATTGGAATTAGCCCTAAGAATGAAGTGGCACGGCTATTTAGGCGTTGCTCTTTTATACACACCCGTAGAAAATTCTCAGTCGTATTTCTGAACCATGGGTGCGTATAATTGAGATTCAAAAAGGCGTAAGAATTCACAAAGCAGAATGATAGATGGATGCTAGAGACCCAGTTGCCTAGCATCAATGCCGAATATAGCCAAGTACACTGAGGTATATTAAACCAGGTGAATTCACCCTGAACCTATGGGGCAAGCGCACAGATGGGGGCAGCTAATTCTCATCACTCTGCGCAATCCCCTTGAAATCACTTCCCTAGTCAAAATGCAAATTGAATTTTCCTTTTCACAACCAATCAGTAAATAAAAATAAATGGATCTCGTAGAATGCGTAGTAACTCCCCATATCATAATATGACAATGATTTGTTTCAAATCTACCTTGTTATGCGTTAATTCAACCAAAAGCGGGCCCGCTCTCTCTTTCAACTCCGGTGATTCGCTACAGTTAACATTCACTTTCAGTTCTACAATACCATATGGTAAATTGAAATTTAATTTTCTATCAGACAAGCAATAGTTAACTTATTAGAATACATTAGGTTCTATTATTATTCGAGGCAGACAAACAATAGCGGTTGCCAAATATCTATTCCGTTAAATGAACAAATTATGGGTACAGTGTACATTTAACTACAATGTTTTCTACTTAAATTCAATTAAAGAAGGTTTTCTTAAAAGCCACTAACGTCTAATGATCATATTTGGTTACATATTTATCTAGATCGACAGGTACATATAGACAATGCATAAACTGTTAATTTAGAAAACTGTATAATATACTGAGTGCAGGTGAGACTGCGAGGCAATGGTGGCTCAAACAGTGGCAGCAAGGAGAATGATAGGTTGAGAACAATATTTTCAGTATAACATGTCAACGTTTCCCTTTAATACATTCCCTTACTACCTGAAAATGTTAGAAATTGAGTTTGACCATGAAATAAACTTTTAGAGATTTTTGGGTAAAATTACATTTTAGTATCTTTATTGCCTCGAACGTCTAATAATCTTCCGAAACTCGAAGTTTCCATCGATAGAATTAGTAACGTAGCTTAAAAATCAAAAATACTACAAAATCAGATTTGGAATGCATACAAATAAATACCCACGTCGAATCATTTTAGAAATATTTATATATCGAAATTGACCAGTGTATTTAGAACCAACCAATAATTGAAAAGATTATATTTATATAACAGATTTATTCCAATAATATCTTGATATCAAGATTGACCACTGTCTATGACAGAAGGCAAATCCTCCGTTCAAACACGATTAAATATGATATTCAAATATTAGTATTTGATCGTTCAACCCTTATTGAATTCTCCAACAAAAGTTATAAATTGGATTAAAAAGAAGTGGTTCATGTAAAGATGGTAATTTCATCATAGCTTACACGATCCCAAAGAAAGTAAAAGACCGAACGTGCTTAAAAGAATTTTCAACTTCAAATCTAAACAGTAAACAAAAACAACAATAATCCTCCATTATATGGGACTCAATAGACACCCTCATAGACTCAATAGATGCCCTCATAGATGCATAACTTCCATAGGGGTAAATGTACTTGATATTATTAATTTCACTTCTGTTATAATCTTTCTTTAAGTTGGTAAATAGTTTCAAATGGGCTGAATTATTCTTTGGAATCAACAGCACTATTTTGTGATTGATCGTGAGTCCAAAGATAACCATTAAAACATATTAGTGCACATACCAGAAAATCCATATAGCATTGTACCCGCCATTGAAGAAGGCGGACCAATACTCGAGCCAATACTGGTCAGTGGATCGAAAAGGGTAAAAATGTACACCCCTAGGTCACGTTAGCCTCGATTTGACTTTTGTTGTCCTAATTTAAAAAAAACAATAATTTTCTGAAAAGGTAACTGAATAACTTTACAACAATACCAACATTATTGAAATCAGACAAGTAATAAAATATCATATAGGAGGGGGAGTCCAAAATACCCTCTTCCCTTGCGACTTAGTGTTATAAAAATGTTGCAGATATTGCTGTTGTTTCATGTGTTTTAAAACCCACTCATCGACCCACCCATTCAATACGAAATTTTACTATCGGATATGTCTAAATGACCCCCCCCCCTCCCTTTTTGCAACTTACTGTTATAAAGAAGCGTGCAGACATAAAGTTGAAGAGGAAAGTGTCCCTGGTACAATGATCATACAGGCAGAGCAAGGTGACAATATTTTAAAACAGTACTTTGCAAGACATGAATTCTTGGTCCTAACTTGATACAATCCCTTCCAACTGTCGAGTCCATGTTCTTGGTCGTGGTGTCATTGGTTTACCAGTGCCACCTTTATAACGCTGGATGTTCTTAATTGATTTTTGATCAATCTTTTAGAATGAAACAGGGCTGCGATCATATAGAAAGAAAAAAGAGAGTGTGTTGTCGTTTGTTGTGTGTGTGAGTTGCTATTTTATCACATGCTCTGTAAAATTCCAGTAATCTGATTGGTTGATTACCGTGTGAGTTTTCCCGTCTCACACGTTACTAGAGGCAACCAGTGATGATCAATAGCAACGATGTGACGTCACTATTTATATCACTTCTAGCTAAGGAAAACAATATGACGTCATACTATTTCACAAACAAGTACGAATACAACGGTATGGCGTCATATTGTTTCAAAGCGAAATCAAAAATTATAATAGTTACCAGAAGTACTGAACACAATCATAACTGACCAAATCAAAATGCTTCAAAATTCCTAGACATGTGATAAAATCGTCATCACACGTTTCAGCTTATGTGATACAGGAAATATTCCACTCGGGTAACAATGTATCACCACTCAAGCTTCGCTTTCGTGGATGATACAGTATTACCTTTCGTGGAATATTTCCTGTATCACATGCTGAAACGTGTGATAACTGATAGTGTCATCTCTAAAAAATTAATTGAAATTTTTACAAAAACAGTGCTGCGCCATCTTTTAAACCGGAATTGAATTGTATTAATATCATATTGGAATTTCTAGAAATAAAACAAGCCATCGTGTTGTGCCATCTTTTAGACCCCAGCTGAAATTGTATTGATCTTATCCTGGATTTTCTAAAAGAGAAACAGAGCAGCGTATCGTGCCATCTTTTAAACCCATTTATTCGTATCCTGAAAAAGAAACAGGAATGTTAATTGTTCTGCAGTTTTAACTCTAAACGAGCCGGAACCAGGGGAACGGAGATGGACCTCACAACGCTAAATATCAGTGGTCATCTTCACTTTCGTACCAAAATTAATGTGTCTTATATCATTGCAACTCACTTAAAAGGTGATGAAATGTATAGTTTCTTGCCAAAAGTCTCAAGGTCCATTCCAATCTATTGCGCGTCAGTTTCTCAGATTTTGAGTTGAAGAATGCATGATTCGAAGCGATTCCAAAATGAGTTTTCTAGAAACATTCTATAATTTAAGAAGAAAAGTAGTGTTTTGTGCCATCTTTTAACCATGTCAAAAGAATTGATATCGTATCCAAGAATGACCCAATGAGGTTTTATCTGTAGGACAAATGTTTAGCTGTATGTCACATGTTGTTAAAATGAAAAGTAAAAGTAATCAGCAATATTTTCATCTTGAATTTCTACACATTGGCAAGTTATATGTTGTATAATTCTATTAAATTCAACAATCTTTCAAACCACACATTGTTCAGATTGTTAAAACTGTAAGTACACTTGACGACTACCTATGTGCTCACACAAATTACCTGCAGATAGGCCAGTTGACTCTAAAATACCATTGTGTCGTTTAAGTAGGTAAATAATAATTTAACTATGTCAATACTGAACTTAAATGCATTGTGGAAGAAAATAAATATTTTTGTCAAAAACGTTCTCCATTTTCTATGAATATGTCGCGTTGAGTTCAATGGCTTTTCACATGCTGTTTGATCTGTAAATACACTCTTAGTTACAGCAAAGTTCGCCGTTTATCATAAGATTTGGTAAATTGAGTTAAGAAGAATCATAGGATTACAGGGATTTAAGTACGACGGAATGCCAATATGTGAAATATAGATTAATATAATTTGAGCTTGAGGTGATAATGAAAATACAAAAAATATAGTTGCGCAAATATTATCCTCTGAGGACACGTTTAAAGAGGTATCAACTGTTAAGGTCATGTTTTGTTATAATACAAGAAACGTTATCAACACGCTGGATTGACTGAAACACAAATATTTCTCAGTTTTTTTAACAGTATAGCTGACGAGGTGAATACTCTAGATCATATCAATACCACAATCACAGAAATCTGCTTAAGTAATAATCATGCAAGAATCAACGTCGACGTGACCAACAACGTCATGGCAAGTGTGTACGAAGTGACGGAAAACCTATTGGACGCAATCCGAAGAGTAAATCCACGAAAGGCGAGGCGCATCCTGAAACGTTACAACGGCAGTGTTGACCACATTTGCACAAAATATGGAAGTGATGGCTATTCTCCCCTTACTTCTGGTAAATATATCCGCATGTGATGCAGTATGTCTGCTTTAGACAACAAATGTATCACTAAATATATGAGGTGAAGCTTCACACTTCTCCAATTTATTTGCTCTATTTCTGGCAAACGTTAAAAAGAGAAGTGTGACAACAAAGAAACTACCATAAAGCTATGATCATGAATCTCTCTTTGAAATATTCTTACAGAGATTCGAATAGATTCTTTTCAATGATCGTTAGCCTAATGGCACATATCAGGATACAAGATCATAAATAAAAGATTTGACCATAAGTTCAGTGGTCATATTACACATATTTATTCTTGTTGTAGCGGCTGACCTCGGAAATGCCGAGATATTCAAGCTCATCATTGACTCTGGTGTACCGCCATATGTAGCAGATGCTTCCGGCTACACTCCTATACATCATGCAGTTAAACAAGGCCACAAAGGGATCATTGACTATTTCATTCTTCGCTCATTTAGGTATGATCGAGTCATTTCTTGGATCTTGGTATCATAATATGACATAATCTAAACATTTTATTACCAAAAATAGATCTAAAAGATTTCATTATTCAACGATCACTAATTCTTGCCATGATAAGATTAAAACTTCGGACTTATATACTTTCAGATTGGATATCAAGACTCCCAAGGGCATCACCCCGCTTATGCTGGCCATTGACAAAGACGACACTGAGCTCACCCAGCTCTTGGCTGTCAATAAAGCAGGTTTAGATGAGCGAGAGGAGAATGGGTGGACTGCTATCCATATGGCTGCAGCAGAGGGAAAGACGAAACTCATAGAAATTCTTTGTCTTGCTGGCGCGGAGAAAGATATCGAGACTAAAACAGGAGCAACTCCCGCATATTTAGCGGCTCAGAATGGACATACAAGCGCATTGAGAATGTTGGGAGACTTTGGCGCTAAATTGAATATCAGAAATGTAGATGGCTGGGCGCCGCTTCATATAGCGAGCTACTTAGGGAGAGAGAAAGTTGTTCTATTACTCCTTGAAGCAAACGTTTATGCAGACCATCCGACTAGAGATGGATCAACAGCACTGTTCAATGCAGCACAAGAAAACCATATAGAGATTGCGAAGATACTTATAAAGAACATGGCATTTGTGAACTGTCAACGTAGAGACGGTATGACTCCGTTACACATAGCATGCAAGTGTGGTAATGTTGAAATAGTGGAGTTTCTCATTCAGTCGGGAGCCGAAGTAAACAAACAGGACCAGCATAAATGTAATGTATTGTTTATCGCTTGTGAAACACCTAGAACTGATATTGTATCGCTACTTCTCGACCAAGGGGCCGACCCGCATGCCATAACTACAGAAGGAACATCGTGTCTATTTGCTGCAGCTAAACAAGGTCATAAGGAAGTGGCAGAACTGTTGATTGAACGATGTGAATTGGATTTGAACAAAATTGACAAAAACGGTATGTGCGCGATGCACTATGCTGCTGAAGGGGGGCATTCTCGTGTTGTTCATTTGCTACTGGAGCATGGTGCGCTTTACCAGTTTCAGGACAAACTTGGCCGTGCTCCACTTCACCTTGCAGCGTTAAGTGGAGCAAAGGACGCATGCAGCACACTCATATCTGCAGGTACTACTATATAGTACATGGTGTAAAAAAAACGACACTCCCTCTACAGCAAAAAGTACTAATGTTTCATTGTGTGTCATATCTCATTTTAAAGAGTCAATTCTGGAGTTACCTGAGGATTTTCAGCTTTATATCATATAATTTTACAGATTTACAGCTGATTCTTAGAAGTTGGTATGACCACCAGTTGCTGCTCGGACAGCAGCTTATCTGGATGGATATAATTTCAATAAAAATTCAGATAAAGGTGTAGCATTGCATAATCCATTTAGCACTTTCCTCACATTCTTCAAAAGCTGTATCTTTTTTCAAGAGGCTCTTTGTCCATCAATGTCCATCAATTGCTGTAGAGTTGGTGTCGTTGTTTTTGACAGCCTATTCCATTGTTAATCAACACGTGTTAATTAATGCACCAATCCAACTCAAGTACACTTGCTTGTCAATTTCACATTTGAACAAAAATTGTCTCATTATTTTTGTTAACATAATTTTACCCCTTTTCAGGAGCAGAAATCAATCTTCAAACTCAGTGTGGAATGACACCTCTGTACCTTGCTTGCCATAAGGGTCGGTTCAATGCTGCAAAGTATTTACTCCAGAAGGGAGCTGATGTTAACCTGCAAGAGGATGGACAGTGGAGTCCACTGATGATTGCAACGGAGGAGGGCCATAAAGAGGTGATACAGATGCTGCTTGAATTCAAAGCTAATTTGAATCTCCGAGCTGAAACGGGAATGACAGCACTGTATGCTGCTGCCATGCAGGGTTTTCATAAACTCTCTGACATACTTGGGTCGCACGGAGCTGATCCGGATTTGAAATTGAAAGATGGGACATCGGCGTTACACGTTGCAGCACAAAATAACCACGTTGACGTTGTCAAAATTCTTGTGAAATATAAGGCCGATTTAAATCTGCCTAGCAATGTAGGGTCAACACCACTGTTTTTAGCCACTGAGCACGGTCACATAGGCATCATGACGGTGTTATTAGAAGCTGGAGCCGCCCCTGATATACAGGATCATTTAGGGTGGGGGCCAGTTCATATGGCTGCAACTAAGGGTAAGAAGAATATACTGGAAAAACTAATTAAACACGACGCCAATATTGGCATTAAAACAAATAATGGAGACTCTCCTTGTCATATAGCTGTTACAGCGGGACATGAAGTTATTGTTGAACTATTGATAGACAGAGAGGTGGTTATTGATGAGCATAATGCCGAGGGATTTTCTCCACTTCAACTTGCAGTTACGAAATCATTCAAGAAAATCTGTCAAAGACTGATTAAAGCTGGAGCAAACGTGAACGCCCAGTCAAGTGAAGTTGAACCTGCTATTCATCTTGCTACACAAAATGACGACTTTGGATTGGTTGAACTCTTAGCCAATAGTGGAGCAGATATCAACCTCCATAGAGATGGAATGGGTACCCCACTCCATGTTACAGCAAGAGGAGGGTATCAGTATACTGCAGAGGTTCTTATTAACAAGGGTGCTGATCCACTAAAAACTACCGTTGGAGGTTGGACAGTCCTGCACACAGCTGCATATTATAACCAACCGGAGGTACTTAGAGTTATACTTGACACAAAGTGCAAGCTGAATATTAAGGATGACAGAGGCAAGATACCATATCAGTATGCTAGGGGAACTGAAACGAGGCAACTCTTAGCTGGTACAATACGATGAGAAAAATGATTCGTGAGCAAGGCCTGGAGACAGCTCACCGTAGGGATATACACCATGATGGTACATAAACTTTAAGATTTTCAGATTTTATCATATTGTATCTCAGATGACGACAGGCGGATTTTGTATATCGTACTATTTATTTGAGAACACATAATACATACATTAGCGTAAAATTTAAAAAAAACAGACATCAAGGAAAAACATTTAAATGTACAAATAAATATGAATTTATAAAATGAGGAAAGGCTTAGTTTATTACAATAAAAGGTTATACTAAGTACTTATTTTACAACATGTAAAACGCATAGTTGAGTTTCAAAATGGACTTGGTGTATGATAATATGAACATCTGATCGAGTCCCCTGGATCAGTATCAGGTAGGACATTGATATCTGTTTAATTGCATAGCAATGTTGTCTGCAACACCAGCCACACTTCTGGGATCATCATCGAGGAAGCCTTGGTTTATACCAGGTAAGAGGTACTCTTGGAATGTAGGTATTGCCTGGAACTCAGGCCTGCCATCTTTACCCCGATTGTTCCAAAGTTTAACTAAGAAAATGTCAATCCCATTGTTTTTCAAAGCTCTGGCTGCTTCTATTGTTCTGTCTCTCTCCTTCAGAGGAGCAGTTAGGCCATCATTGAACAGAATAACAATATCAGGGTAGGTTTTATCGTCTCTGTCAATTGACTTATTATCATTAAACACAAAATCCAAGGTATAGGCCAATGCCGAGTGAGTTTTTGTTTTGCAATTTACTTCAGCCATGTCCATTCCTGTTAAGTCATCAAGTACCGCCTGTATGTTCCCTCCATGTTCCGAACTGCTAAATTGTAGATAGGCATCCTCATCGTATGTCATGGCAGAGTATCGAACATCTCCAACGACAAGCTGAACTATTTCTCTAGCAACCTGGAATCATATTGCACCGTGTAATACTTACTATACGATGCTACGTGTACTAAAACGTATAGTCTGTCTTGATTTTGATTTGAAACGGACCAAATTAAGAAAGAAATAAACATCCAAGATTTAGAGTTTAAATGAACTTGACCTCTTGCCATATGGGTACCTTAATCTTAATTGTAATGATGGATGGTTAAGGAGAGCCACTCAGTAAAATTACGATTTCTCTACACCATGATGATGATTGAACATTCGTAAATGACAAGTCATAAGTTACGACGATATAGCTATCAAACTTTGGGTAGACCTTGTTATCTCCGGATGCACAAACGTCTCAGGAAAACATAGGTACTAAAATAATCTCGATTGGACATAGTGGCTCGACGATCGCGAAGAAATAAACAATGCTGTGGGCCCCCTTAACATTCTACATTGAACATTCTAGTTGTTACACACCTGCAGCGACGCCTGCTTGTGGGCTTCCATTATGCTGCAACTTATGTCAAATATGAACAGCACATCAGCACAAACTGAAATCACACATGTTATACACACAGTGGTTGTGTAATTTATAGGGGAGCAAGGTATGACACTCTAAGAAAATAATTAAACATTTTAGAAGAGCGAAGACAGAAAGAATTGTCATTCTCAAGAACCTTTTTTCATTTACACTTTCAAATACTATGACATTAAAAGATATCTGATTTATTGTACATATCGAAACAAACATCGATTTTGAATGTGTCATTCGTAGACCAATGTAAGTTGATGTTCTTGCAGAAAGGAATGTAAGATACTATTCTAGTACCTCTTTCGTCTGACATCATAATTGGGGGACAGGGAAACATTCGTGACATGTCTCCGTTTAGTTCCTCGATGAGTTCATCATTGTCTATGTCGTATGTATTGTCTTCTACAGGGTCACTAGGAACCATCTCAACCTCCTTTTCTCTCGGAGGCTTCCCAAATCTGAATGTGAAAAATCAAAACATTTACGACATTGGATGACTTAAATCTTGATAACCAGTGTTTTGATGTGCGTAAAATAATGTTGATATTTTTGAAATATATAAGCCTGCCCAAAATCATCACCAACCGGATATTTATGGTAGCTACATGTAGGTTAACGACCATTGTTTATTGAAAATACCATTTTAAGTGTGACCGAACATGGCGAGAAACCATTGATTCCAAATAACGGTCAAATCCTCACTTGTTAGGCACCAACACAATTCCGATGTGTATTCCTTTCTCCTTGGCTATAGCAGCATTGGCAATGGCCTTTTTCTCGTTGCGCTTCGGAAACGATCTACTATCCGTAAAGATGAGTGCAACATTTGGGTATTCAGCATCATCACGGTCACCAAGACTACTATTGCCAAAGTATGTTGTATAAAGACTCTCAATAGCATGGTGGGTGTGGGTCTTACAGCCAAGATCGGACATGTTTGTGCTGGAAAGCGCTGATAGGATGGCGTCGCTCCCAATGTTGTCATTAAGAAAGAACTGGTGACCAATACCCTTGCTGAATGTTGCCGCCCCGAGCCTCACTGAACCTTCACTGGTGTCATCCATAGGCTAAAATGTAACGTGACTGATCAATGTGAAATGTACATGGTGTTGTATTTATAGAATTCGTTTCTTTTTCTGACTTCTTAACTCAACAAAATGGTAACAAAAAGAAACCAATCCCAATACAAGAAGATAAAGATTGAATATTATCCAATAGTGTCTTGAAATTCAAAACAAGGCTGTAAGAGCAAGCCATATACGTTCAAGTGATGTAAATACGCAGTAGTTTCGAGCAGTGTTCTAGAAGACTAGATCATAGTTTAAATAAAAGTAAAAGTAGTTTGATTTAATTTCCCATAAGTCTTGGTTTTATTAATATAATATAAATACTAGTTATAATAACACATACCACAGAATTAATGGCTGAGTAGAATCTTTTAACAACATCGATTATTCTTTCCTTGTCAGGCTCGATGATGGAACACGAGGTGTCAAATAACAGCATGATGTCAGCACACACTAAATTAAAACAGCATGATGAATATCAGCAGACACATGTCAAAAGGATGTCTTCGTGCATGAATAACAGAATGTCGGCACACACTAAAGTGAAAAAGATTATTTCTACGCGCACTTAGTAAAACGGCATGATATCTGCATACACTATGCCCAATGTTAAAACAATAGAATGGCATATGTCAACACAAACTAATAGACAACCACCATGATGTTGAAACAACTATTTGACAATCGTCGCTGGTTTATAAACTGTGGGTGCAAATACTAAACATACCCGGTGTTCTAAAAGGTGTCACAGTATCAGGTATTCTGGCGCCATCTATCATCGATCCCTCTTCGGCAATAACTTGGAAATTATCATAAATCAGCACAAACGCAACATAACAGACACGGTGTAGAATCGCCATTGGTACTGAAAATAATGTAATGTAAACTTAGCTCGTATTCGCGAATGCAACGCCTGTCGACTACCGGATTGACCTACTGTTTTATGGGCAACTAATTTAAATATGAATAGTACCTGCCACTATTCCTTTCATATCTTAATGGGTTGGTCATAAAATAGTAGGTTAATCCGCTAGCCAAGCATTCTCAATATGTGTCATGTCAGTATTAAAATCGTCTCGCTTTTTTAGATATTTGACATAAAAATACCTGTAAAAATAGGATATTTTTCAACTTGCTAAATATTTTGACCATTTTTAAAGAAAAAATCATTTACACTGGGGCCTCAAGAGTTCAAATCTGACCTTAGTTTTGAGATTTTTCAAAATTGATTTTCTGGATTCAAATTTTGGTCAGCTTCATTACAAAATGCCTACTAAGCTCTGAAAAGTAAGATTTGCATGGTCACAGGTCTAGGTCATTTACCATTTGCATTCGTTCGACTTCGCTCCTAAAAAGAGAGCTTCATCTTCAGTTTATAACTAGACTCTGCGAGCAAGGTAAGGTCATCAAGCTAAGTCATATCTAAATTTCTCAAAGGTCGAGAGTACCAATCAATATTCTTGGTTGAAAGTCGGGATATACTTTCTTCTAAAGGTTCTACACTAAGTGAGCACAGGTCCGTGGTCCTTTATTTTATATGTCCTTTTATTTTATATGTCATCAAAATCAAGTTTCTTCCTGGAGCAACTTGTTAAAACTTGCTCAAGTATTCTATGCCATGAAAAAACAAAATATTCATTCACAATGCAAACATACTACACCTTTGATAAACGCAGCAAACAATAATATGGACCGGACTGGCGCGATCTACCGTTACAAGTTTTTGTTTCATCAAATTCAATCTAACAATTCAATTTTTCAATCAAAATTGCCCAATATTGAATTATATTGCTTTAAAAGCTACCAGCAGACACATAATTAAAGTATTTAAAAATGTTAAACTGTTATATTACTGTACTCACCGTTGTGTTTTGTTCTTCCAATCCTATAATTAACTTGTTATCTAGGTCAATGAAGATCTACTGAAGGTGAATCTAAAAGTGTCAAATGTTTGATTGTCCCCATGATCTAATGGGTTTATATATAATGGAAGAAGTAAATAAAGTCACATCTCGTAGAATCCTCTTTATTTAGACGACCATGTCATATCAATTAATTATTCATTTTGACTTTATCTAGCAATTAAAATGTAATCTTCACTGATTAATTGGAAATGGATTTTTCGGTTAGAGCGGGGAACCAAAGACCAGAACCATCTGTATCTGTCACGCCATGTCGAAAATTAATATTTGCTTCATGAGACTGGTATACAAATATTTAAAAATATATTCTTCGCCAATAATTTATATTGTAGAAATAAATTATGAGTTGTCAACTTAATGAAGCTACAAATACTTGTACGGTGGACAGTAAACTTTTATCACTCTAAATACAGGTTGTCCCAAAAATGTATGCACTCTGCATGAATGATATTTACAAACAACGGCTGATATTCATATGATTCTTCGATAGAGGTCTTTATTCACACCAAGTTAGTTAGACGGTCAACATACTATATACTTATTTATTTATTTGCGCTATTATTATATCCAATTTATGTTTAATCAAGCAGTATATACACCTATATAGGGTATCCACTGTAAATAATTTGTATTTTTATTTATTGTGACATAAAGGAAATAAAAAATAAAAAATATATAATAGCAAAGTTACAGCAGCTGGAATATTTGTTTTTCAGTCCTGTGTGCCTGGCTCCATTGTACAGGCACAACACCACAATGTTACCACGACCAGATTTTATATGTTGGCTAACACTGGGTATGTTTGATTTACGGCTAAATGTGTCTCAAAAGTCGACCCAAGTCATATCCAAGTGAAAATTAAAATTGTGATGTTACTTTTTACAAGCTGTTGCTTAGAGGCTCTAAATCGTAAATGTATGAGATGTTTAATTCAGAATATTATAATGCCATCTAAAAATCAAAATAAATGACCTAAAATGATTTGGGGGCATATATAGCCAATGTGCCCATCGTGACATGGGTTGCTCGTTTATGGCATTATTTTTGCTTCTTTATTCATTAAATTCAAATATATTCGATATATGAAACATTTATATTCGCTAAATCATTTTTCCATTCGGTAAAAACGTTTATATGTTTGTTACAGCAAATAAAGTTTTCAAAATAACCAATCACTTAATACTATGTGCATTAAATTACATATTTCATTCGTTAAATGATATTTTTTGCGTAAATTGTTATGGTATTCCTTAAGAGTAACACATTATATGCACAATATTGAATTTCTATTTGAACCCTACCGAAATAAGTTTGCCTATATTTACCAAATGGTTTATTTTTCTACGACATAGTTAATGCATTTTACCGAAAGCTAATTTGCTATTTACCGAATGCAATAAAATTTACCGAATGCAATAAAGTAATATTCGATAACTTGCGTTGTTGTTCGATATTTTGTCACGTGACTTCTAGATTTGCAAAATGGCCGCGCAGCTATTCTACATCGTACAAATATATCACGTGACTGAAAGTCTCGTAAATTATCCAAAAATAACGAAATTTATCGAATGTGGCATTCGGTATTTACCGAATATAAATAATTTAAATACCGAATGTACAAATAATTAATTGAATTATACGTGCGTTAAGGAAAACAAATTGATTTGCTGCATCACACAAATACATGTACAAATATCAAATGTGAATGTCAATACAAAGAACAAGTGAAACTATTTAGCGAATATAAATTGTATAGATTATTAAATTTGATAAGATAAAAAAAGATTCTATAGATTGGGTAAAGGTTTGGTAAATTGTTTGTTTTATTTGGTATTTATGGAATATTAATGTACCGAATAAAGAAGCAGTTTAAACACCATACTCGTTCAAATCATTAAACTTTTGGGACATCCGGTATGGGGCTAAGCAGGACGGTTACAACTCTGTAGATATACTCCCGTGCTACAGTGAACACCTGAGTACAGTCTGCAATTTGCTTTCTGAATGAAGCAAATACACGTTGCTGCAATCAGTAAAAATTGCTAGATTTGACCGAGTATGTAAATATCCATGGTAGATTGGTGTAGCATTTGGTAATTAATTACGACTAGCATGTCCGTCACTCATGGCCAAGTTTTCTGTATTGGCTACAGTGTATTTGAGACAAATGATCAATTAGGCCTTTTTGTACTCAGTATTTACATGATAAATGATCTATCAAATGACAGAAAATTATAATTTTGTTGTTGTTTCAAGCAAACAAGTATGCAGAAACGGCCTTCCGTTCTTTTATATTACTACGGGGTACCAACCATTTTTTATTCATTTATTTTTTTTTGAATTTGAATTTGCAAACGTTGTTTAACCTCTTGAATACCCAGAATGACGACGGATATATTTGTCACAAATAAAATCCATTTGGAACCCAGACCGACAGATATATCTGTCATCGAATTTTTCACTAAAACTGCTCTAACTTTGGCATTTTTTATCCAATCTTCACAAATTATGATTTAGAATGTATGTAATAGGTTTATGTTTACTATTCTTTTGAAATCAATGTTTCTTCATGTTCAACAAAGTAATAGGTCTCCAACGTTAAAATTATTTTTTTTAAAAACTCTCCCATTGAAATAACACAGAAGGCAAAACATGATTTTCAAAATTAACTTTGAAGCTCTGTAACTTTAGCCTGATACTCACGAAGAAGAAAGTAAGATTTTCTAAATGAATTCTAATCTTTGGTGAATCGTTTTACTGGTTAGAGTAATCATATCCTGAAATCAGATTTGCCCCGAACCCACCACTTCCCATTGGTTTACATGGAAATGACAATTTTCAAAAATTCATCAAATTTGACATCAATTCTCGACCTATTGTATCCTAATTGAAAAAAATATTGGATATCTAAATAAAAATTCAAACATGAAAAGGCTTGAATTAACACGTAGTTCAATGAGGGAGCTAAGATTGCCAAACTTATCATATGGAGGGGAGTGTACATGTACATGTAACTATTCCCACCTGCATAGGTAAGACATAATTAGGTCCGAAGTATCAGTATTGAACACTGAGCCCCCGCGAGCGTCCACTTCACGCGGGCGGGGAAGGGGGGGGGGCGTTGGGTGCGGCCGCTTCCCTTTTCAGTCATTCTACATATTTGCGTTACTTTTCCCTGAGATTTCGTTTGTGTTACTGAGGAGGCTCGGGGCAAAAGCTAGGGGGAAATAACTCTGTTGCCGTCCTAAGTTATGCCGTTATAAGTTCAAGAATGATTGAGACTTGTTTTTAGATGATTCGCACCCTCTCCCCCTTGAACAAATCTGCGGACACCCCTGCCCACGAACAGTATCCAGATAAGTTCTGGAGATCATTGCATTAGGAGGATGATTATTTATGATGCAGCTACCTGTATGTTCGTATTTTTCACAATTTTGATGTGACATTTTTGTCTGTTCGTCATTGTAATGCATCACTATACTTCCGGTAAAAAATGTTTAAAATATCGTTGTGTCGGAATCTAGTTGTTTTGTGGATTCTCGATTAAACATGTGAGCTACAATAATGTGAGTAGTTCGATCTAACGATCTTACATAATTTTTTCAATCGAAAATGGCTTTCTTTTGAGGAACGATACCAAATAAATCAATATTCAATTCTGAAATATTTTCGAATTGTTGAAAAATCAGAAGAAAATAAAATGATTCATTATTGATTGGAAAATTCTTATTTGCCACACCCCTTTACTATCTGGAGTGTGATTATTCTCCACATTATCGGCATTAATGCATAGAAACATTTTTGAAAAATTTTGCTTTTCAGTGACAGTAGGTTTGTCCAAGCATGGGCTTTCATAGTCCAACAACATTAGACCTAGCCTGGGCCTCGTTTCTTATCTGACATGTCTTATGGCCCCGGCTAGGTCTAACTTCCATGATGATTTTGCCCTTGTTGCGATCATTTAATCGTTCAGCAGGTTTCGACATGCGGAACTAATTAAACTCCGAAAACATGGTAATATTACATAAAGAATGTGATTCAAGCATGCATACATACCTTATAAATACATACACACCATCCCGTACCCCCCTTAGACCATATTGATGCATAATTACGAAAATATTGGAGACAGGTTTGGAATTTTACGAAAATATCGGTCAGCTCCGGTAACATCGAAATTGCAAATCGTATCAGGAATTAACCGTCATTGCGACACTGCATCAACGAACAGTAGGTTTGCAATTAATAACGATTTTGTGTGTATACAAGCGCTATATAAATCAATCAAAGATACCTGCTATCCTCAAAAATGGCTATTTTATCCCGAGTAATCGCGTGATAATTATCAATCTATTTGACAACAATTTCGTTTCAATAGTTTAAATTTTAACCCGGGACGAACAGACACAATGAAGGACATGCGGAAATGTCATTTTAGAGATTGGTAAGTTTAACCTCATTTTACTTGTATAAATGACCATTTAATACAATAATATTGTGTTGAATCGCTTGATGTTATGTGTTTTTATATTGTTGTCAAGTATGAGTTGCATGTTATCGCGGAAAAATGGTTTCGGTGGATCCAAAACTTGCATCAATGGAAAGAATAGTAAAGAGGTTAAACTCAATAATGGCCCCAAGAAAATTCTTAATAATAAATAACGCCGTTATTGAGTTTAACGACGTTGAACTAGGGCTTTCAATGAGAAGGGTATGCAACTCTGTGTAATAACATGAGACCTTCAAAATCATAGGCCAAGCGAAAAGTAATAGTAAGCTGTATATAGAAGAGACTGTCTCTTCTATATACAGCTTACTATTACTTTACCCTTGGCCTATGTTCAAAATGAGCAATGCCATGCTTCCCTTTTATGGTAATATTTCAAAAAGTATAAATATGTTAAGGTTCAGCTGGAAAGTAACATTTTGGTAAAAAATTGCTATACATGTACCTGCACATGTTATTTTCTGGTACAAAATTATGAAGGCATGTGTGTATTTCTTTGCTTTTTTCAGGAAAGTATCATTACACTGTCTTATTTTAGAATATCTAGAAACAGGTCAATGGTAGCTCCTGTGTTGTCTGGAAACTTTGAAAGAAAATTTGGAAAAATAGAAAGTGTGAAATATCAGAATTTCCTGGAGGTCCCATTGAACGCCTACCAGATATTCTAAAAGAAGACATTGTAATGATACTTTCCTGAAAAAAACAAGGAAATTGACACATGCCTTCATACTTTATTTTGTACCAGAAAATAACATGTGCAGGTATAGCAATTTATTACCAAAATGTTACTTTCCAGCTGTACCTCAACCCTTCTAGTTGAAAGCCCATGGTCCCTGGGATGGATTGATTTTCAAAAAGGGAGTCCCCCTCAAAAAAGTGCGTCCCGTGAAAAAAGGTTCCCGCGAATTCAAAGTCACTTTTATTCACTGAACGAAAAAATTGATGAAAAGTAACATTGGCCTAAATCAGCTTTCTACAAACGTCTAGAAGGTCACTCAATGATATAGGTACCTTCACTTGAAAGAGATAACTAATATTCAACCATGTCCATAATACGCATTTTCTTTTCGTATTTTGAAGCAATTTGCACTAGGGGCAATCTCGGCTAGGTTCAATTTATCAGTTCCGTGGCCAATCATAGGAGTCGTACCGATTACCACTCGGTATTGTAGCAACTACTGTGATTTTCCTATCCTACAGGCCTCATACTATTTTGATCAGAAATCAACTTCCGAAAAAGAAACTTCGAAAGAAAATATTGTACAGTGGTCACCATAAAGAATTACAAAAAGCTATGGAAATTACATGCTGTCGCACCTGTAATAAATTCTTACCTCAGTGTATTCAGTGCTCTATTTTCTCTGTCCTAGTAACTCCAGATATAGTGGAATTCGTGTCTATAATGACATATAAGAACTTAAAAATTTGAAGTGGAATTCACATGTTAATGCCAACTCTTCAAATGCTGAGGTGATTTTGGAGCCGGATTACGTGGCAATGTGGATTGGCTCCCAGAATGCAACATGACACGTGTCAGCTTTCAAGATGCCGTTCCGCCATTTTGAAATCTGTCACGAGTAAATAAGGTTACCTGATGTTGCATTCTGGGAGTCAATCCTCCTTGGATCACAAACATGGCGATTCATGAAAACATTTGTTCGATTTGGTAGGGATTTATCCATCATTTGCAGGTATGAAGCTTTGGATTCATTTATTGTGCTACTTAAAGTCAATGGGACTTATTTTTCTACCGCTTGGGAGAGTTTGAGACACGAAATTTAGAATTTAGCTCATCGTGACAACTTTTGAGGGTTGAGATTTATTTTTGCACCCCACTTTATTTCTTTTAGAAATAGAATATCCTTTGTTTATTTAGTGGATTTTGACCAAATAAAAGACCGAATGCCCTGCTTTTGGAGGATATTGAGGCAATTTCTTCTATGAATGTTCTTTCTATCTATTTCACCCAAGAAACAAAAATGGTGGAACTGGAAACAAGAACTTAAATTAGGCAGATCTGCATGATGGGATTTTTTTCACGGATAATGGGAAGTTCTCTATATATCTATAGAATACTCCAGGTTAGGTATCTTGAATAAAAAAACTGGCCTTCGCCCTGAGATGTTGTTATTCAAATCTGGCGATTCAAAATATGAAGTGGGAAAAATTCTAAATTCTCCAATTTGGTTCATTATCTGACCGATAGTAAGCCAGCTTCTGTTCACTATGGATCTTTTTGCAATTTTGAAAAGAAGACTGCTCAATTTTTGTTAGTTATACATTCTAAAGAAGAATTAACACTCAATTATTAATCTGGGTACACTAAAGTACTTTTTGTGCAAAAATGAAAGATGTGGACCATGTATGGAATGAGTTTGTTTATCTAAACATAATGTAGCACATGGTCATGAAATTTCTTCTAAGTACAGACTGACCTGAAGAATTTGCACACAAATTGTATCTGTCAACAATGCACTGAATTGATTTTATGTGACACGAAAATTAATGAATAAAGGAAGATTGGCAGCCATGATTCAAACCCAATTCTCAATTGACTGGCATGGACCAATTTTGTAGTAATATTACCTATTAATTGAAAACTAGCACCATCATGGGGGTTTGAATATTACTTGGACATTTTGCAATGTTCATCTCCCAACTGAATGCTTGGTGCGAAGATGAACTTTATAGAACTACAGTATTATTGTTTCCAAATTGTTCCATTCCTGGAAACTAAAGATCTGATTGGAATCATGACTGCTAATCCTCCTTGATCAATTTTATGATTTGATTTTATCTTTCTACATTGCTTTTTCAAACATAGATTAGTCTCAGTGTTATTTCCGGTATTGTCATTTTTGTTTCTTGGATGAAAATATTAATGGGGATGATTTATCCCGTACCAGGACTATAGTCCTGCAGTGAGAGCATTCTTTTGCCTGTACGATTGGCAGGATGCAATGCAGGACTATAGTCCTGGCACGGGATAAGGGATGATGAGCTCTTGAATCGCACTAAGTGTCCTGATACTTTTCAGAATAAGACAATTTTATGCCAATAATGTAGGAAACATTTTGGAAAAGAAGGTGGATATAGACTGTTGAGTTTTAGTATTTCATTTTCGAAGTATGGAATGAGACAGATTGTGGATTCTTACATTGAATTTGCTTCAAATTGTATTAAAGACTTTGACATTGCATTTCAAATTACAAGAGATACACTTCTAAGAGTAAGGATTAACTCAATCAACTATCCACCAAGACTGATGTTTTAGGGGTACCCTGTTGTTGAAGTAGTATATATATATCTTTTATTGACTCTCTGATGTCATTGCAATGACATATTAGTCACTACAAACTACAATATACAAAATTAAACTAAGACTAAACTAACTACTTCATAGGAAATATACAAAGTTGTAAAATACAATTACAGCATCACAAAATGTAAAATACAAAAATGAGATAATTGTAAAATACAGATACAACATGACAGAATTTAAAACATCAGTGTGATGTATCATTGTTACAATATTAATCCAGTTTTTTGAATGAATGATAAATGAACTTTGCTAGATGTAAAATTACATAAGAATTTTTATGAGACAAAAGCTTTTTGAAAATAAAGTTAGGACTTCCTACAAAATTAAATTGCGTAAGGGTGTCAAACAAAAGTTTTCTCTCTGTTGTATTTTTCTTTCACACCACGATAAAGTGTTGTTCATCTTCTAAAATACCACACATATTACATAAATGTTCATCCAAAGGTCTTGGCTTAGGCTTCAAATGACGACCAATTTCTATATGTAATTTGTGTGAACTAAGCCTAAATCTACTTATTGCTTGTCTGTAATTTTTATTTTGTATATTTAAATAACCCTCTCTTTCAAAGACATTTTTGAATGTTATGTAAGTTCTTAAAACAGGATATTTGAAAATATCTTTCTGCCACTGAGACTTATAATTCTGATACCATGAATATTGAAAGAAGTGTTAGATATAGTAACCCCAAGTTAAAGTTTGTCAGAAGACCTCTTAATGTTTCTGTTGAACAATTTAGCAAATATTTGTGAATTTTTATTTCAGTTGCAGATATTAGTTAGCGGAAGCCTATTAAAGAGTCAGCGACAGTTAAATGAATTGATGGGAATATCTGAATAAAGAGAACCAAGATGGTTACTTTAGCCCACAGATTACGCAGGGTCGCCATTGTATTTGCCAGCATTTTAGGGACTGCATACATTATTTTGGTGCTCATTGCCTTGCTCAATTATAACCCTCGGGTAAAGATAGGGATGCCAATCATAGTTGATGATGCAGAATTACCAGGAGCTGGCACCCGGTGCAAAATGGATCCTGATTTAGGTAAATAAAATAAAACTAGCCTAATTGACAATATCTATATTAATCTCATAATTTCTGTCCAAAGTATATAATGTACCTTTACAAATTGAAGTGACATAAAGGGTTAGTGATGCTTATCCATATGTTGTCGGTAATTGCCGTTTGTCACAGTAAAATTGTAAACCGATTGAAGATGTTGAAAATACATAAGAAAGTCCATAATGAAGAAAAAGGACAAACCATATTAGAAAACGTTTTATCTAAAGACGTAATGCTACTTTTCAGGTCCTGTTAAGGTTGACATTTACACTAAGCCCTGTATGGAAGAGCTTGAGAGAATGAATCCTGAGATCCAAGCTGGGGGAGCCTGGAAACCTCCAAACTGTCAATCATGGCAGAAAGTTGCAATTGTCATTCCATACAGAGACAGGTATGTTAGACCATGTAGGACTAAATCAATGAATATATTACTGCACCTCTTATGTAGCATACTCCAGTGAATGTATTTTAAGGTATTTTGCTTTGTGAGTCGTAAGAATGTTGACACAAGGTAATCAATGTTATTGACAAAAATTGTTTAACATGATTTTCATGTCCATTGAAAAATGACTGGTATCCCTGAGCCACATTTATTTTTATATTCTTTAATTTTAGATTAGGTCATTTAAAAATATTGCTGAGGAGGCTTCATCCAATGCTTAGAAAACAACAGATAGCTTATAGAATATTTGTTGTTGAGCAGGTATGTAGCCTCTAATTTGATATAATTAATAATGTATGCATATGGTAGTTGATTGGTCTCTTGAATGGAGGTATTAGTCTAATAAGTGAATAAACGATGAAACAATAGTGAAAATTATCATATGCTTGATAAATTAAATTCTCAAGTCAACTCTGATACAAGCTAGTATACCGCTCACTTGAAATAAGATAATAGCACCACACATAATTGTACAAGTCATCATTTTGAATAAGACGAATTGGGTTCTTTAATTTTTGCCACTTTGTTAAATTCACTGAATATGAATTCTGATTCATTTGAAAAACATATGGAGTATCCTGAAACTCCATATATTGATGCTTGTATCACCCCCAAATTTTCATGTCACCATCAATTCAATATATTTTCAGGCTGGTACTGATCAGTTCAATAGAGGGCGCCTAATGAACATAGGTTATGCCGAAGCAATGAAAGAAGACAATTTTGATTGCTTCATATTCCATGATGTTGATCTCATTCCCGAAGATGACAGAAATGTATATTTATGTGATGACCAGGCTCGCCATCTATCTTCAGCTATAGATGAGATGAGATATCAGTAAGTTGCAATAGAGGTTGATGATTAAAAATCCTTGAATGATACTTTAAATTTACTGTTGTTAATAAGTTGTAATCCATTTTACATTTACATTTAAGTTACATAAAATTGATCACTTACCCCCCTATCACACCAAACTAGTTCTTACCCGTTCTTGCCAGTCCTACGAAAACGTCCTAAAACGGGCTCAATCTGGCTGTGGTCGGGAAATATGTCTGAAATAATTAGCTTCTTCGTTCTTAAACAGTCTTCAATACGTCCATCTCGTTCGCAGTTCGTTCAGGTCGCACCACGTCGGTGTGCAACGTAGTAGAACGCGTCCCTTAGTCTAGAAGGTCAACATGACCTGATTACAGAACGGTATGGTCGCCATCGAACTTTGAATCGATTCAAAATTCTAAAATCACATCCCCGTCTGAGAACGTTCATAAAGTTCGTAAATAGACGTTAGAAAGTTGCAGCTACGTTCATTCCGTTCGCACACAGTTTAAGACCAGTTTTGAAGAACGCAGTGGCAACTTGTTTGATGTGATAGCTATTTTTTTGCTAACTCGTTCATCAGCAGTGTTAAATACGTTCTTAATCAGTTTAAACCCGTTTGCAATTAGTTCTACCTCGTTCTCAACACGTCCTCGGACAGTTCAACTCGTTGTTAAAACATCCCTAGTAGGATTGAAGTACGACGGTTCCGATCGTAGTACGTCCAGCTCGTCGTTAGTACGTTGTCACTCGTTCTAATTGTAGAACGTGACGACCACGAAAACATTTTGAGCATTGTCTAAGTTCTAGAGGACCTACCCGTTCGAGTACGTTCGATGAAGTTTGTAAATAGATCCCAAACGGTTCTTAGTAGGTCCAGTCCGTTCGTACACAGTTGAAGCCCGTTTTCGAGAACGTAGTGAGAACTAGTTTGGTGTGATAGTAGGGTTAGTTAAAATGTAATTGTTTTCAGTTTCCAAATACTTTTTAATATGTGTTCAAAATGAATAAATAAAACATGATATTTTGATTGATTAGAATTAGATCTAAAATAGTTAAAATGTAATTGTTTTCAGTTTCCAAATACTATTTAACATGTTTTCAAAATAAATAAAACATAATATTTTGATTGATTATCAACAAGCTTGAATAATATAAGAAGGTGTGATTTATATCCATATTCAGTATATAGTACCATGAAGTCATATCTTCAAATATTGTATTATTTAGGTATAATGAGCACTAGCAGGGTACAAGTATGTCATAGCTTTAGTCTTATTTTATTTCAGCATAATGTACTACAACTATGCAGGGGGTGTCATTGCTTTAAATCGCCAGAATGTTCTGAAGGTGAATGGTTACTCAAATGACTATTGGGGCTGGGGGAATGAGGATGATGATTTCTCAGCCAGGTACGCAAATACCTTACCTCCCCAAATTGTGGCCTGTTAGGCACACATGTTATCCTAAATGATTTGTATCATGTGATAGTTTGACTGTAGACTTATAGTGATCTCCCCCAGGATACGATCAAATCACAGGTCCCAGAATAATGCAGACAATAAATCAAATGCAGCGAGTTTTTGCTCAGTTGAAACATTATTATTTACCTCATAATTATGAAGATGATCGATGATTAAGCAGTGAGAAAAGTGTAAATTAAAAATGTAAATTATGCAAAAAATTATGCTCTGATGAATGAATTATGCATCATTTCTAGAAATTCGAAATTATACAAAATTAAAACTTGCCTCATAAAAACATAATTCTGAGACCTCAGTGTTAAATAAAAAAGAATAACTGCATATCTCATGGCACATATAGCAAAGATGAGTGAATCATGTCTGTTATTTTCAGAACATTGGCAGCTGGTTTAATGTTAACCAGACCACCAGAACATATAGGAAGATTCAAGATGGTGAGGCACTTAAAAGCTGATAGATCTAACCATGGGTAGGTGGATTTACAGAAATGCTACTTTTTAAATGATATAAATAGATTTACTAAATGTGTGATGAGCCATTACTTTTCTTTATACTCATATTACATGAAAGTTTCACAAATATTTTATTTTGAGAAAATAAAGTTTATGTTACATAACACTGAAGGCGTATTAATTTCAGACAAAGCGAATGAGGTTGAATAACATATCTCATTAATTAAGTTTATTCCACCTTGAAGTAATGTATTCATCAATTGCAAATCAAGTTGATCTATGAAGTCTAAGACTATATAAGAATGCAATGCAGGGTGTTATTGTTGGAAAAATCTTTTGCATTTATTACATTGACACTCTTTAATAAGGGATGTATAATTTATAGTCTGTATAAATATGATTGATCCTATATTTTTGGGGTTAGCTATAGAGTTGGTTTATTTGAACTTGATAATGTTGTACATATTTGCTTGAATGATAATTCATATATGATATTTTATGTTTGCTTTATTTATTGGCTTGTAGTATCTATAATGCTACTCTGTTTTTTTACTTCAAGGCTGTACCTGTTTTTAATTTGGAAAATTTATTTGGTTATTGTACAAAGGGCAGATTGTACATCTTGGTGTCTACCACTTTTCTGCAAAAACGTTTTGGCTGAGATGTTGAAAGCATAAGATATATACATATCCAGGAATAAGTTTTACAACCAATTTTATCATGTCTCATGTTCAGACAGAAAGAAATACTATATTTCTAGTCATCAGGATAATGAGGTTATGAGAGTAAAAATAAATATTCTGAACCAAAAACATGTGACGGTTAAGAAGGCTTGGTCACAAGAATGATAATCTGCCCCAAAATCGATGAATCAAAAATAATTTTTTACAGCAATTCAAATTTTGATTTATTTCAGAAATAGTTACTTCTTTACATGGAGATCAAGGTGGAAAAATGATGGCATCAATGCCATCAAAGAACTCAATTACAAAGTTGTAGAGAAAACAGATTTGCCGGTTTTTACGAATATTTCAGTAGATATAGGTCATCCTCCTGATGAAAAAACTTGGAATGAAAGAAATAAAAATCAAGAAAGTGTCACTATGCTGTGGTAAGTTAATGGGTCATAAATTCCTTGTTATGATGATTGAGCTATTGCAGTAGTTGTATCTTCGAGTTGTTGTGTTTCTTTTTGCCTACTCATGTTCTATGTTTTTGCATTTCATGCATGTTTCCTGTTTAGCAGATTACAAGGAACTCGTGTACTTCTGTATTCACCTTAACACTTTCCTGTATTCTAACATTTTCTAATACTGACCTTATTGTACGGATGGTATGCACTGCACTCTATGAAGACAGTCTGAGTAAAGTCCAGTTATGTGAACTTGATGTTCTTCGATTATTCCTGATTGTGTCTCTGTACATGAGATCATTACTTCTTCAGGGTGATCCAAAAAGTGGTCCCTAAGGATGATATAATTTCACCAAACGCCTGTTTTTCATGATGCCATGAATAAATGAAATTGAGAAAAAATAATTGCTGAATTGCTGATTTAGCCAGTATTACATATGGTCATATATTCAATGAACAACAGCTGTGCCAAATTAGGTCTCTATTATGGATAATAAAATGTGATATGACATTATTTGGAGTTCATATTTCTGCTTCATTATTCGTTTGCAATAAATTCCCTTATATGAAAATTAATGTAACATTTACAAATAAAATGCCTAAATTACAAATACAAATATGATGTATCAAATAAAGAAATTAATCCTCAAATCGGGTGCATTTTATGTTTTTAAGGACTAGAAATATTTGTAACTAACAATTTATTATGTGCCAACTGTACTACAGCTTACTAGTTCGTAAATTTCAAAAAAGTTGCCAGTTATTTTATCGAAGAAATGTATTTTTACGAATAATAATCTTGCAATACCCATGAATTATTGCAGAAAGTACTTATTCATTGGTAAATTTGACATTCAGTTTCGTAGATATTAAACTAATATATTTGCAGAAACAATGATAAAGGTACAAAATGAACTCAAATTTATTGGTATACGGATGTACAATGTGTCACTTACATATGCTTTTAAGGACTTTTCAATGTATTTTAGTATAAAACACATTCAAATACCGTTTTCACGAAACAAATGAGATTAACCAATGTAAAATACAAACAATGAATGAAAATACTCAAGTTACGAACATAAATGTGCATTTAACAAATACAGAAGTTCAATTTACGAATACATACAGTAAAATATGAATACTGAAGCAGAAAACACTCCATACCATAGCATCTTGAAAAATACACTTTTCATAATATTCTTATAATCTTAGTCTGTCACACACAACTTGGAAATTAAGTAATCTGAGATAATTATGGACCCACTTTAGTTCACCCTCTATGATGTTTATCTAAGTAATGTTTATTTTGCTTATTATTCACTACAGGGTGGGCCAAAAAAAACCACCCCCCTAACCATTATTCCTGATAAATATTTATTTTTTAACATGTACACCAACAATGATATATCATTTTAAAGAAAATTTAATTTGCAACAAAATGATATATAATAGCACCATTTTCAACAACCCCATATAGAAATATAACCAATTATGTGACATGGGGGTCAAAAAACACCTTTTCAATTTTCATCGATTTTGCGAAGAATAGCCTTTTTCTACCAAATATTACTGTTCATTTAAATATTGCAACATCGTCATGAGTCTTTCATAATTGGATATTGTATATTGTTTCCATTCAGTTTTTGAACCATGATGCATGCTCAATAAACATTGTGTATGCTTATAAAACAAATTAATTTCTTCTCCAGTCTGTTCAAATATGGCTCAATAGACCCACCCCCTGGATCCATCCTCTGATCAGATTATTCGCTAAAGACGCGAAAGCAATTGGTTGATGCCATAATTGATGGATGTATGCGGAAGTACCATTCAACTGCTAGTTATACTTTCTTTTAGTTCCTTTACATCCCTGATAGGTTGGGTATCTTTAAATACCAACTGTTCTAGATGCCCCCAGGTATGGTAATCAACATTATTGGCATCGGGACTGTTAGTAAGTCATTTGTCCGGGCTATAGATGGTGTCATTTCGAATCTCCAAAAACTCCAGGGTAGCATTGGACCTGTGTGATGAAGCATTTTCCTATCAGAAAATGAAATTTCTTTCACATGTTTTTCCTATCCTTGAGGAGTCCTTTTTAACACCTCATGTCATTAACATTCAGAGTATATTTTTCCTCTTGGTTCAACAAAAACAGGGCCTGTATGGTCTTTTCTTTTTGGGAAACACCGTGTGGACACCACTACCCTTTCAGAAAAATGTCATCTTGATTTGTTTAGCCTTTTATCGCAAATGTCCCTATTCTTGCTTACTGATATACATTTATAGAGTGTATCTTGTTGATTACAAGACTGTATAGTACTTGGGGCATTTAGAACAGTTGGTCTATGAAGATCACAAGCCTATCAGGGATGTGGACTTCCGCAGAGATCCAGCAATTATACCAATGGCTTTCGCGTCTTTAGCGAATAATCTGATCAGAAAATGGGTCCGAGGGGTGGGTCTATTGAGCCATATTTGAACAGACTAGAGAAGAAATTAATTTGTTTTATGAGCATACACATGTTTATTGAGCATGCATGGTTCAAAAACTGAATGAAAACAATATATAATATCCAATTATGAAAGACTCGTGACAATGTTGCAATTTTTAACTGAACAGTAAAATTTGGTACAAATAGGCTTTTCTTCGCAAAATCGATAAAAATTGAAAAGGTGTTTTTTGACCCCCATGTAACATAAATTGTTATATCTCGAGCCAGGGTTGTTGCAAATTGTTCTATTATATATCATTTTGTTGCAAATGAAATTATCTTTAAAATGATATATCATTGTTGGTGCACATGTTCAAAAATGAATAGTTATCATGAATATTGGCTAGGGGGGTGGTTTTTTTTGGCCCACCCTGTATATTTAAGTAAACTACATATCTCCCTCTCTCTCCCAACAGCTACTATTTAGCTCAGTGCCTTGATGCATTTTCCTTTTGAACTTCTCAATGTGCTGGAAGATAAATCTCTAATCTGGTGATCTATATAAAACTTAAATATTATGTGCTTAAGTTCTTACTCTTCATTAGATGATGGAAAGCATTCATGAGGAAATAATCCATAATTTACATTGGGACTAATATGAGTATGAAATTTTGTCACCTCCTATTTTTTCACAGTATTCCAGATTTTGAATTTCTCACATTGCTATGTTATTTTTTCTATAAGACAAGACCCATTGTATTTCTTTTGACATTGAAGTGAAATCAGTCATGACACACGGTTAACTTGATGAAAATTATCAAAATTTAAATTCAAAATCATTATCAAAATTAAGATTTTCCACTAATCAAGTGGTAAAATCAGTCAAAAGTAGACTCACTTTAAACATAGTGCCAAGATGGATGTTGCAGTCTTAGATCAGTGAAGCAATTTTGTTTTGCAGATGCTGTTTTACAGTCAGATTTAACAGTAGTATTAGTTTCACTGCAGTATAGCTAGTGTCACAAAATAGTTGCAGATATTGCTTATGATTTTAGCTTGTAGTTGTGTATGGTAGCAATACTAATGCTAAAGAGGAAATAGCAGCCAAGTAAAAGATATGAGGGGTTTTGTCAGGGTAGGGAATGGGTGAAGCCAATTAAAGTAGATGAGGCAAAGAGGCCACTGTGCTTATATGGCAAGGCAGTTGCCAGTTGCCTAACCTACTTCCTGCCTGGCAACATCCAATTTTCCTACACCCAATCTTCCACCAATCAAGCTTGACAGAGCACAGGAATACATCTGCCTTTTGAAGTTATCATAACTCTGAAGAAAATGATCAAAATATTTCAGATATGAACAATTTAATACTTGGCGTTCCCGTTGGCAAACAGATGGTCTAAAATCCCTTGATAAAAGCAAGTATTCAGTGGTGGCAAGTACACCTATGAAACTGTTCACGAATTTAAGCGTAGACCTTGGCCCTGCACCTCTTGTGTGGGAGCATGAGGGGGAGGGGGTTCCTGAGAGCACACTTTGGTGAGTAGGATATATGTATAGGAGAGTATAAGGACATTGGGATAACAGGAGCACCTTCTTTGTGAAAATATTTAAAGTGGCTATATATATAATCATCATAGCTGAAAATGTTACCATGAAAATTGACAGTCGATTCATGGAAAGATGAATATATTATTTATGAAGCATAAATAAAAATTTAAAAAGCATGTTTTATTTCAATACGAGAATAAAAAGACTAACTCTATTTTGATTAAATGGAGCATGTAGATCTGTTCTTTTCCATATAAAAGCAAATATATAAATTATGTTTTGGAAAACCTGATGTTTAGTCTTATTAGATAGCCCCTTTAATCGTAATTCTCACAATATGTTCCCCTTATACTAGACAAGTTTTATTGACATATTGTATCATTACATGATTACATTAGTCACAACTACTCACTAAAAGTCTAAAAATATTATTGATAGTGGATTTGTTGTTATAAATTATATGTAATCAAGCTTAATAGTAGTATAATAATGCACATACCATTAAATTGCTCATGTAAGATAGTTGGGCAAAGAATATCCCAAAATCAATCAATCGATCAATTGATTATCAGAATTCTGTTTGAAAATCTAGATCACATCCACATTGAGATTTGTCATTGTTTTCATTCATTTGCATCTGATTCTATTTAGGTGTTGTTTATATTAAAGTTACTTCCGTTTCATTTATTGTTATTTGCTTTCTGAATTTTAAATGTCATACATTTGTACATGCAGATACTAGATAAATACTCTCTACAATTGTCAAGTAACTGATCTTTACCGTCATTTCCATGTCTCACTGTTTGGTTTGCTTTCCCCCTCTGCTTATTACTTAAGATTGTTTCCTCCTGCACTCTCCACTTGCCTTTAGATTTATGGCCTCATGCAAAGATTGACAAGATTTTTTGCCATTCTTGTCAAATATTATTTACTGTGACTTAATAAATTTGTTATAGTCACTTTTTTGTTGAAAGGAGAAAGTTGTTGGTCAAAGTGGTTTAAGCTTTTCATGAAGCCTTAAAGAATTATTTTCTCATTTATACTCATAAATACATGTATTTTTATTTTAGGTTTTTGCAATTCTTTTTATTCTAATCAAAAGATGGTATTTGCTTCAAAGGATGTCCGTTGAAGTATTTTCAGCTGTTCAGGTTAATATTATATTGGACCAAAGATCACATGTATGTTCTGATAATGCTCTAAATGCTAGCTTAAGTTTTTTAACTAAAGATATCTTGTATGTTCTGATATGGTCTAAATGCCAGCTTAGGTTTTTTATAAGCTCACATAGTGAGCTTTTGCAACCACTAACTTGTCCGTCTGTCTGTCCGTCCATCCGTCCGTCAACAATAGTGGCACGTTTTAAAACCTCTGTCGATAGGATTCCAGTTTTAAGTTATTTTTGTTCTACATCAATAAAAAAACACCCCTATGACTCCTGGTTCAAAAGCTTGCCTATTTGCAAAATGGTCGTCATTTTTGTCTCGCGAAATTCACTTTTGGCCCATTTCCTAGCTTTACAAATAATTTCAGGTGTCCTGCATTGTAAAAAGCCATGTCTTTGTAAAGAGTAGTTGTATGAAATAATTTTGTTACAAAAAATCGGCAAAAAATTATATCCGTTTTTTTGTTTGTTTTTTTGTCATTTTAGCCATCATTCACTTTTGAGCAACACCATGTGAGCCCAGTACCCACTGTACTATTTTTATTTAATCATCAAGGTGTTGGTTACTCTTCTCTCCCGTTATGCTTTTTTCAATAACAATATACCAATCACTTGGTTAGTCGGCAGTATCACTTTTTGAGTATTTGATGTCAAAAATCTTATTTATCTTTGAAGTTTTAAATTCCTCCATTGATTGGCAAGAGACCTGGAAACTGTAAGTCTTAGAATAACATCATAACCGGTAAGGTTGCTTGATGTTTGTCCATCCATCAACCAATGAAAACCCACTATTTTCGGAACTAAAGTGCTCATATCCTTTTCATTGGGTCCATACTGATATTTTACACCATTGGTCTCAAATTTGTATTTTGTCTTGTTTTTGAGTATCAGAGCTTTTTATTATCATTTTCACAATATGCAGGTCTGTTCAATTTGAAGTGTTCCCAAATCAGAGAAAATGTTGGAATTGATGTTTAAAAGTATCAGGGTCACTTAATCAGCTTCCTGGGTTGTACTTTTCTCTCTTTGCACTCTCTTAATTTTGCAAAAGTTATTATTTTTTATGAGTTCAAATTTTGCAATGTTACGCAATGATTCATGATGAAATTCTATTCATCATATTCAATTATCCTATTGTTTTATGTAGTTTACACCTATTCATTATTCATATTTAATTTGACCTACTTTTTCTGTTTGATCTATTTTTCACCATGTCCTGTCTTAAAGATGAGTGTAATGAATCACATTTGAGCCCATTGAATGGTGCCATATTTAACAAATACATTGGTATTTTCACTTCATTCCATTATGAATTTGTTCATATTATTCTTAAAGTCTACTGTTTCATTGTTCTTTTTTTGTATATTTATATATTCTTTTCAGGTTTCTACGGTTCTACTTTCCATAATTATAACCTGATTCAAGTAAAAATCCTTTAATTCCTGCATTAGAAATTTGCTTATATTTATGTGGTTTTGAATTGTTGATAAAAATCCTACTTACTATATGGGGCATGTCTTGGATAGTTTTTCAATAGGTTAGCTCTCTTTTGTGTCATTTTCTCTTATTTTTCAAATCAAACAGTTTTGAATTTTTATATCCTTTGGTCACTTTAACTTATTGCATGTTAATATTATCCTACATTCTACTGGTCTCTTTTTGCATTTAAATTTCTGAGATTAACTTGTTTCTTACAATTTTGCAATTGGAACAGTTGAAGTTTACAAATCATGATTCACATGATATATCAAGAAATATTTTCTCAACCTCATATTAAAGAATGCATTAACCATAATAGACTAAGAGACTAACAGACTTGCATATAGAAATAACTCTTCGTTATTACATGTATGCAAATCAGCTTTCTTCTCTTTGACAACTTTTATCTTGATATCCTTTTAAAAGTTGATTCAACATCTTAACACCTGTATGATTTATGCATGTACAGTATTGTGCACAGTCAACAGATATTGGAGCATTGATTTGTGTCCAGTGAAATAATGTGTCAGGTTTGACTGTGTTGATATTGTGCCACTCACATCAAAGTTTATGAATCTGCCTATTTGGTACACTGCTTGTTGCATCATGGCTTCATGAGGGACTTGCAGCATGGCTGTAGCCATGAGGCAGGCGAGGAAATTGTCTCACCAAAACTTTACAGAAAATTATTAATTGAGATATTATTTCAATTGAAACTTTATATATATCACCATATACATATCACTATATAGTGATATTTTTCATCCAAATTTGCCTCGCCAAATTTTCGATCATGGCTAAGCCCCTGTACAGTTTTTCAGTATATACTTACTGTATCATAATGAGAAGCCCCTCACAGAGTCATGATAAAGCTTACTATGTGACCAGGACATGAATACTACCCTGATCTATGAAATGCACAATTGTAGTTAATGTTGACCATGCATACAGCTGTAGTTTGAATGAATATGAAGTTTATGTAAGAATTCAGTAATCAAGTAAATGATAGAGTGATTATTGAGTAAATAATATTTGATAAAAACTCACTTTACTGAAAATATGCATAGAGTCCCTTTAAGTTAATCTCAAAACCCAGACATAATATATATATTAAAATCTGAAATTTTGAATATTTCTGTTTCCAGGTTCCTAAGGTTTTACTACCCATAAAAAGATGGCATATATCCAGTCAAAGAATGCTATCTAAAGCTAAGTGTAGAACAGCAAAAAGCCATAAGTGCCAGAGGTGTTATCGCATGGATTACATATCACCAGTCTCTTCCTAACATATCCAAGCCAAAGACTGACACTTGATGTATCAAGAACATTAATGCTTAATTGTCTCGTTGTTGTCTAGCCTGGCTTATATCTGGTTATAACCATTAAATTACTGTGTTCAAAACATTATGTGCCTGTGCCTTCAATAATCACTATAGTGTTGTAAATTATTATAATATTATATTACATTATTGTATACTGTAGATTGAGTTAATTTGGTGCCTGTTTTAATTTGACGAATTTGGCGAAGTAGAAAAAATCGCCCAAATTTTGAAAGAATTCCCAGGAATTTTCCAGGGAACTTTGTCCTGTGTATTTTTTAAGTTACTTATGGTTTAGTTTTTACAAAATCTGAAAAGGATAAGCTGAATGAACACCAATATAAGTGATCATTTCCACGGAGAATTCTCTTAATGATAAATTACTAGCTAGATAGTGGTTTAAATGAATGAATAGGTGTAACAATTTGTACTTTACTCCATTGTATATGTAAGTTATGTCGTCAGAGCAATGTCCAAGGCCTAGTGTCCGCCAAACTAAATAGCCACCAATAGGTAAAAAAATGTCAAAATCGCCAAATTAATCCAAATTACAGTATTATTATTTATGTATCTAAACTATTTAATACATTTAGGTACTGTAAAAGCCTATAAAAGTTCTATGGATCCACTAGACTTTTCAGGATTTTGTGTAATTTTTGGAAATGTGTGTAATCGTGTGTATAAATTTATTATTTTGTATATAGAATTCAAAACAGTATTTCCCTTCAATGAAAAATGGGGAAAAATGTATGCAGTGTATTGAAAATATATATCACTTTTATATAATGTCTCCTATAGCATATATACATATAAGATGAGTGAAAATATGAAAAGCATTTCCATTTCTTCAAATTATGGTTAAGAATTTGGAAATTGACAAGGAGGACAAAAAATCTGGGCCCCTTTTTCTGAAAATCTTGGCCTATTGATAAGAGGCAATTTTTCAGAAATCTGATATCAGTTCTTGATCTTATGATTGGAGGAGCAGAGTACAATGCATTTAATATATAGATAGAGATCAAATTGTAATTTTACATCACCATTCTACATTTGTTGTACATACACCATATACAGGACGTAGCACAATCAAATTTCACAAAAAATATTTAATCAAGATGGGGAAAGCTAGATTAGAGCTGGATCAACTGGGGCAATTAAATATGGCCAGGAAAGGCATGTCTGTTTTGCAGTGCCAACCTATACATCCAAATATACAAAACATCCATAGTCAAATCCTTTGCTTTAATTTTGACAGCAAAAGCCTGGTCTCATAATCATTTTTTCAACATGTCCTGCTGACCTGTGTCCAGGTGTCGTTAATGGAATCTGTAAAGTTAAGAAGTCATAAGCCAATTGTTATCATTTAAATATGACGTCATTATACCTGATGGATACAATGGTTGATTCAGGGTTAATTTCAGAATTCTCAACTTTAGGAAATTTCTATTGATTACTCCCAGGTAGTTAAAGGTGTTATCAGATCTGCAAAGAATAGTAGTTGTAGTACATGTAGTGGTAGTAGTAGTGACAATATTTGTTTTGATTTTAAAATATTTCCAGTTCATATCATTCCTTTTTATGCCTATTTTCTTAATATCCCAAAAGTGTATATTTTATTTGACGGAAACTAAAGATTTTTATAATAATGCGTTCATTTGTCTACAAATATGGTTACCATTTTTATCATTCGGGTGAATATAAATATTTACTCCCATTTTTGTACATTGAATCCTTAAGTTCGCCAATTTATAATATATCCCGAACTTTTGGGAGTAACTATATTTGAGACTGTAACAAATGATAAGGATTGCAGGTCAATTGATGTTGCTTGCAATTTTATAACTCCCTATACATGTAGACCTGAATCTGCATTTAACATGGCAGGGCCTTACATGTACATTGTACTTTTCAATTCTGATATATTATTATGTATATTACGCTTGACGTTGTAATATCACTCATTCAGCATTGTCAATAAAACACATTTTATAAATTAATAAATATATTAATCAAAGTGTTTTGTATCAGATTATGGATGTTTTCCAACTTAAAATGTTTCATCAATTATGTTGAGGCAGGGTAGTTCATCATCACTTTTATATGATAATTCCCAAACTGATTCCCTTCACGTTTATATATTTCTGTAATTTTTTTAACTTGTTTTGAGTCGTTTTCATGAAATGATGAAAGCTCTTCAACCAAAAAACATCAATCTGAAAATATTAATTTTGTCCAATCCACTTTGTCTAATATAATAACATCATTCTATCATTTATATTCATTTTATAGTTTGTATAGGTTGCTGTCTCTTGTCTTGTTGCCAGCACAAAATAATTAAGGTTCTTTACGTTGACAGGTATGTTATAGGATTCAATTAATGAATACTCTAGAGACACTCAAATGGGGAAAATGAAAACTACATTCTGTAAAATGGTATTGATTCACTACTGTAAGTGAGACTAGCACATTGCCCAGTTAGACAGTGATATCGAACTTGCAGAATCAACTAAAATACCTTTTATATTACGTTTTATCCTTCAAAGGCGGTTGTACAATATTCATGTTGTTTTGTCCTTATGGAATGAGACTGTACCACATGAACATTGATTAATATAAATTGAACTCATGTAACGAATATACTCATCACTGAATAAAGTGAATGTAGCAGTCACTCATGAAAACACTCTTAAGGTGCCGTGGTACTTAACAGGAAATGACAAAATGACCCTAAACATGATGAAATAACTTTTTCAGCCCTCTGAAAATGTGACTGAAAAATAGCTAAAAGTAGGAGCGTAGGGATAGTCACTGAACTGAATCTTTTGAATTTTTCAGAAAATGTTCTATCTTGATTCAAAAAAATGTTTGAAATCCAGCATGGTTTTGTCACTTCCTGTTTTGTCACTTCCTGTTTTGTCATTTTCTGTTAAGTACCACGTCACCTTAAATACAATTGTTCAAGTTGGTTTTGATTTGATTTTGAATTTGATAACATTGCTCTTTAAACCACCACAAAGTAAGATCAACATTTTCCTAAACACATAACCATTTCCATGGACGGTTTACCTTTACCCCCTCGCTCACATGGTTCCGGTGTAAAAGGTTAGGAGGTCCTATCAAATTATGGTCCTACTCTCCATTGATTTATATGGTGTACTAAATACAACTCTTTCCCTCATTATCGTATACGCAATCAGGGCCGTTAAGAAAGGGGACCATAATCCCAAGGGGTCCATCATTTCTTTCACACCGGATTATTTGAAAACTGACAAAGTGGCCTCAATTAGATAAAAAAACAGACCCTGGGGAGATCTCTTGGAAGTGAAATATTCATATTTGCTTACATTATTTGCTAACTAATAATACACATTCCATCAATTTTTGTAAGGGGGTCTTTATTTAATTGAAAGAACTTGATCTATAACACATGTAACACCTTAAAATTGAAATCCCATATTGTCAACCGGCAATCTCACGATCATCGTTAGAGGCATGGTATTTTCGATTCAACATCCGAAGGAAAAATGAGAATGGCAACGTTGGTAGAAACCATTATACTATAGGTAACCTAGCAGTGGCAATGGTAGGGTTGTCCATACTTGGAAGCTCGTTCCTGGCATTTGTCCACTTAGCCTCTGAACATCTTTGTATGGTCGTCATTAACATACTGGGTGTTCCATGTACCGTCTCGATATCCTTGTTTTCTCTTCTTGCCTTCAACCAATATTTCGCCATCAAAACGAGTCTGGAGCGCAGTTGCCATCGTTTGGATATTTTCTGCTGTGGTTGGGATGATTGCGTTAGTCTGTTAGTTGTGAACATGAGTTTCACACCCAATCGAAGATTGAAGGGTTGCTCTGTGTCGCTAGATTTTGATAAAGAATATTAGCTAAGTTTCATCATATTTACATTATGCTACAATTATCAAGGTAGTTCACAAACAGGCAAAAGTAATGGAAGGAATAAGTGGGAAAGATAGTGATCAGAATTAAAGAAATTGAGACAGAAACACCAAAATCACGAGAAAATTCGTCTTAGTCGTGGCTTAGTTTCTCATCTGTCGGTAACCATCCATGACTGTCCAGATTGTGGTATCACAGAAACCGTATTTGCAATTGTCGTCGGAATTGCTACAATTTAAACTCGTTCGTGAATTTTGTGATTTATTCGATCAGTTTCAAGGACTTCAAAGATGCTCTAATGGCGATGGATGTGTGGTTGTCCTCGAAGCAGAATAACTAAAAATGAAGAGGACGGAATACAAAGCACACTCAAACTTGAACAGGGAAATAGTGCAGTTCAAACAAGGCCCAAGAGAGTTATCTTATTCCAAAATGTTTGTATTTGATCACAACCTATTTTTTATTAAACACGAATTGGGCCATTTGGACGAAGTAAAGCATATTGGACAGGACATTTAATAATGGAACAAAATAAATGTCACCTTGTGGTCGAGAAAATCATGATTGTGAACATGACATGTAAGGGGTGTACTATGGACCCCATTGTTTTTTATACAATATTTCCACTACTTTAAAGGTACGCGTAGATAAAGTTGCATTAACATCATTCAATAATGAAACAACAGAAAGGAATTAATTATTGATGCATTGCCTGATTAAGTGAATCTAATTGCTTTGAACATTTTGTGGAAGCAGGATGCACCACCAGACATCAAAATGGCTACAAATGGAACGGCTGGTTATGCGATGGACTTACAGACTGTAGTGGAAGAAAGTATTTTGTTAACTATTGGAGTTTCAATTGTCATCGTTAATGCCATCATTGTCTTGATAGTCGCTAAGTTTAAACAATTCAGGAAGAATATTGTATACGTTATCATGGGTGAGTGTATGTTTTGTACATGTATAATATTTATTGAATAAACAAAAATATTGACGAATCTTTCTCTGGTATTATCCCAAGCTATATTTCAATTACGACTATAACTTTAAGATCAAACTTCTACTTTTGGATCAACAAATTTTTTTTTTTTTAATTTTTTAAAGGAATTAATGTTTTTGATACAAACGCATCAAATAGACCGTGTTATGTACATGTATACCATTTTGAGGTATAATTGATATATGAGGTGAGCAGTGAGCGAGTGATATATATATCATCTCCCGCTGACGATATACAAGGTACATCAAGGTACATCAAGGTACGTATTGATTGGTATACATGTACATCACCCGTTCATCAGCAATCCTCGAGGATTTCGTCCGGTGCTTTTTGTCCACTGAACGATATACATTTAAACACACAGACAATAACCCAGATGCGAGTAGAAATAATCTTGATTTACGTCATT